CCCTAACCCTAACCCTAACCCTAACCCTAACCCTAACCCTAACCCTAACCCTAACCCTAACCCTAACCCTAACCCTAACCCTAACCCTAACCCTATCAGTTAGGCAACTTGATATCGTCAGCATCCTCTACGATCTAGGCTAAAATTGGAGAACGACTCCCATTGAAGAATAAGAATAGTAGTCAGCCGGAATATGACTATGGATTAGTGATATGTTTATTTATGGCAGCGGTAAGCATTATATTGAAATTTTGGTATGCTAGGACTAATTCCAGAAGGTCTACGCCTACATAATACTGTTAACCTTTGTCGGACTAGAAGGAAATGGGAAGAATGGAAGCTCTACAGGAGATTCTATGATGGAAGTTATCGATGGATACGAAGACAATGGTGCTCTGGCAAGTAAGACAGATCCTAGACATCAAAAGTCGGACTCTGTCTAGACTGCAGGAGTAAGGGTTTCAGACTCAACAACCTAGGCTACGGGCTTGAGGCCTATTCCTGATATTCAAGAGCATGTGCGAGTGATAAAACTGTTCCTATAGCCTTCAGATTTTTATTCTATAGTATATCCGTTGAGACGCAGTTGCTCTCTTATCTTTAGCCCTTAACGACGAAGTTGAGAAAGAAAAAAGAAAGCCCAAGTATTCATATACTCTCCTTTGATAGATGGCAGTGAGGAATTAAAGGGAACTCCCTATAAAGTAAGCCTTTTTGAATGTTAAAACTAACCGCGCCGCTTTAATTAAGAGTTAAACTGAAGCACTTAAACAACATAAAGTGATTTAGGAGATATAGAATATAAATGCTGTTATATTCTATAGAAAGGAGCACTAGACGATTGGCTACACATTTTCCCAGCAAAGGAAAATTGTATATGGTCGAAGATTATTCAGTCTGAAGTCCAATTTGCAATTTCTGTCCGAATATTATGGATAGTTCAAGCTTCAGAAATCACCTGGGGATGCTTCCATCAGATGGCTTAGAGCAGAGGACAAGCCATCAAAACTCACACACTCTCCATCCTCTGATGGCATTGATTATAGTACTATGTTTTAATCCTGATTTATTTTATGCATGGGTAGAATCTATAGATATAATACAAAAGAATACATCCTGTATGCTATAAGTACAAAGTCCAATATATTCTTAATATATTACAACTCAGGACTGATTATACTTTCTTATATAACACCAGAGATCCCTCCTAGAATCAGTAAAGGCAGTCATGATAGGTTCATTAAGAGATGCTGACAGACCTTATATAACTGACCTAATCATAGGGTCCTCTTCAATTTCATCCTCCTTCAGATTAAAGAGGTCAAGTATGTATCTGTCCTTTTCCTTTCCTTCAGTATGTTTCGACCTCTCTTTTAGTGCTTTGGGTTCTTATTGATTCTTCTCATTACCCTTCCCTTGGCTAATAGCCCCCTTTCCTTCTTGTTCTTCTCCCTCTTCGTCTTCCTCTTCCTCTTCTTCTTCCTGTTCCTCATTATTATCTTCCTTGTTGTTTTGTTCATTATACTTATTGGCTGCATCATTATCTTCCTCATTGTCCTCCTCATTGTCCTTATTATCAATATCATTCTCATCCTCAGGGTCACCATCTTCATCAACATCAGCGCCATCATCTTCGCCATCATCTTCGCCATCATCTTCGCCATCATCTTCGCCATCATCTTCGCCATCATCTTCGCCATCATCTTCGCCATCATCTTCGCCATCATCTTCGCCATCATCTTCGCCATCATCTTCCTCATTGTCCTTACTATTGTCCTGGTCCTGCTCATAACCCTCATCACCAGGCTTAACATCTTGGTCATCGTCTTGGTCATTATCTTGATCATTGTCTTGACCTTCTTCCTGATCATCCCCTTGATTCTCATCTTGGTCTGGGTCTTGATCATCTTCTTTATTATCTTGATCTCCACCACCGTCATCATCCTCTTCGTCCTTATTATCCTCATCTTCATCCTCATTGTTATCATCAGGTTCATCATCAGGCTGGTCATCTCGATCTCCACCATCTCTTTCATCTGCATTATCTCCATCATAATCGCCTTCATCTTCCCCTTGGCCATCATCTTCCCCTTGGCCATCATCTTTAGCATAAATCAGTATTTGCTATAGCTTTTTGGGTTTGTGTTATTAAAGATGAGGGATTAATTAGACTATCCTCGCCACTAGTTGATAGTAACTACGCACAATGTGATTTAGAAGACTGAGCGGGAGTATTGCGATGCAACGTCAAGGAAATCGACCAAGGCCCTCTCAAAGGTATGGTAGGGGAGGGATAGAGAGGGAAGTGTGGACTTCAGGGTTAATTTACTTACCTAAAAAAGCTCTCACAGAGTAAACTCTATATATACACTGGGGAAAACTGGGAAGGATGCATCTCCGGGTGAAATTATCCGCGCCATTAATCAGGATCACATTCTGTATTCAAGGTGCGGCCAGACTGTCATCAGTCTGATGTGAGGTCATTGGCAGCACCAAGATAATTGAAAAAGTGGAACTACTTCCCCAGACTGTCATTTGTATCTACCCCGCATTTCAACAAAACTAGGCATCTTTTTTATTGGTGCTTATTGAGTAAGTGCGGGGAAAAGATCGTCATTTGTTGGTCCGAATCTGGGGTGTAAAGCGAAATTAAACCGCCGTAGTACGTAAAATTAACCTTAAATGTCTTGGTCTGCTCAGGCATAGAATTGAAAAGGGAAAACTATAATAACACGGGCGAAAACCCGTGCCGGTCTGGAGTCCCGGTGCGTGGCCCGGGTTTTCTCAAAGTTTCTTTGATTGTTCAAATATTTTCGTTCTCGAATTCTCAAATATCCTTTTCCCCCAAGCCTTTATACATTATACATGATACACCATATATTATACGTCATACATTCATAACTATATTTCTCAACATGCCGGAGGAAAAAAAGGAAGAGTCTTTATCACCTGTGACTTCGCGTCTCGAAGAATATACCGAAGGTCAACATGATGCCGTCTTTGGAGAAATCACGGAAAAGGGTCCGAATTACCGCAATGTATGTATACATATTCGATAACTACCTTATCTACACAAAAACTTCTTTCTGTTTCTATTTCATCGGTCTAACATTTCAGGTACTTATTAGGTAGGATGGCTAGGAACAACTGTGCTGATGTTAAAAACCCAAATCGGACTTGGCGTGCTCTCGATCCCAGTTGCTTTTGATGCACTGGGTATAGTCCCAGGTGTGATTTGCTTATGCGCTATTGCAGGTATCACCTCCTGGTCCAACTATATTGTCGGTACTTTCAAGCTTCGGCATCCTGAGGTCTACGGCATTGACGATGTTGGTCAACTGTTACTCGGTCCCACTGGGAGGATTCTTCTCGGAGGCGCGTTCTGTCTCTGTAAGTTGAACAACATAGACTAGCATGGGTGTCACTTGCTGACGCTGACAGGGTGGGTGTTCGTTGCCGGCTCGGGAATGTTGGGCCTTTCTATCGGTTTAAACGCAGTCTCAGATCATGCGGTTTGCACCGCAGTTTATGTTGCTGTTGCTGCGATTGTAGCATGTATCCTAGGTAGTATTCAGACGCTAGGCCGTATCTCCTGGATGGCTTGGGTTGGTTTGGCTTGTATTATTACCTCAAGTGAGTTTTCTCTTTTACCTTTCTGTGGATTTGATCTAATCTGTCTGTCTGTTTGTCACCAGTCATGATCGTCACCATCGCTGTCGGCCTCCAAGATCGTCCCTCCGCGGCGCCAAAAGACACCGTCTGGGTATCTGATTACAAGATTGTGAATAGCGATGCCTCATTTGCTGATGCCATTGGTGCCGTATCGACCCTTGTCTTTGCGTACGCCGGTACACCAGCTTTCTTCTCCATCGCGGCAGAGATGCGGGCCCCCCATCATTATAATCGATCGATGATACTCTGCCAATCCCTTATGACTTGTTTTTATATTGCGATTGGTGTTGTTATTTACTATTACTGCGGGTCCTATGTCTCTTCCCCAGCCCTTGGCTCTGCTGGCCCAGTCTTGAAGAAAGTTAGCTATGGATTTGCCATTCCAGGATTATTGGCGAGTACCTTACTATTTATCCACGTAAGAATTTATCGCTCTAAAAGGCAAACATGGCTCAAACGATACTGACATTATTTGAGATCACAGCAAAGTACATTTTCGTCCGACTTCTACATGGCTCACGACACTTAGCATCCAACACTCTGACCCATTGGATGGTCTGGCTTAGCTGTACCATCGGCATCGCCTTGATTGCGTATGTCATTGCTAGTGCTATTCCGGTATTTAGTGATCTTGTTTCTCTTGTTGGTGCTCTACTTGGTACCCCAATGTGTTTCCAGCCAATGGGAGGCATGTGGTTATATGATAACTGGACACATGGCAGGGGAGGTCAGCGATCACTAAGGTGGATCGCTATGGTCTGCTGGTGCATCTTTGTCATAGTTACCGGATTCTTCTTGATGATTGGAGGCACCTATGGATCCGTTGTGACCATTATGGACAGCTACAAGAAAGCTGGGGGTACAGCTGCCTGGTCATGCGCCGATAACTCCACCTGATATGCATATTTTCCTGCTTTTGGATACGATATGGATTTTTGATATACCTTCTGGTAATGGTCAGCTCATTATTTCATCAAGTTTGCAGGGAGTGCTGCACATTGAGATAGATACATTTGTGGGCATTAAAGCTATATTTTTCTGATTTCGAGTCATAAATGTCCATATTTCACTGCCATGGCAACACTCCTTTTGTTATTTAAATACTCAGTAGAATAGCTGGGCAACGGGCTAGACAGTCGATATTAGTAGGAGAACGCAATGTTTTGTACACAAGAAGCTATCTAAATTCTGGACTAGAAAGGAGATAGGAGATCCGTGGCGTTCGTCGGCACTTCGCTATCCCGACATGCCAATCTTTCGATGGTTTCCCCAACACGACATTTTTTTGGATAAGTCAGCGAAAACTGGAAAAGTACTTGGGCAGTAGCCAGCTGCCAACAAGAACGCCACGGATGCCCTATCTCTTTCCTAAGAAGGAGCTTCATGCATGTATGCGCTTAATGTGATTATATCACTTACATCAATATTCTATCTGATGCTTCATTAGGTATATGACCCGATGTTGTATAATGATCGAATGGTGGAAGAAGATGAGGGGTAGACAAAGTAAATTGAATTACCGCTCTTGGCTGCATCGAAGGCATGTCGTACCCCAATAGAAAAAAATGCCAGTCCAAGATATGGAAATTGTTAATTCGGGAACCTTCTTCAATATACCATCGTACATAATTCAAACAATCTTGAAGTACATTCTGCTGTATCTATAAACATAGCGAAACATTAATTCTGAGGTAGCCCAAAGGTAAACCCGGCAGCGTGATTATGAGAAAGACCGCAATACTAGTGTGGCAATTAATATATGCCGCATGAGTTATAGTTGACCACTAATTAGCCGAGTGCTGATACACGGACAGGAAAAAAATATTTAGTCAGGCACTATGTCCACTAATTTTCGGTCTCAGATCTGAAATAATCTGCACAGCTTTCAGAGGCGACATGCGGTTGATTTTCAACGCAGCTATTTTCCACCTGTTAGCAATCCTTGATGGGCTCCAGAGTGTAGATTGCCATTACAATATTGATAAGAGCTACTGCATTGACGTGCACTCCCATCCAATCCCGCAGATCTGGGTCAACGCACTGATTGAGCATGTATATTCCTTCACCAACGATAGCCTCGTGGTGGAAGAATTCCCAGTTCCCGACTGGACGCTCGAGGGTTTTTTGCACAGTATGGACAGTTACGGAGTCAATCATTCCACGGTCCTAATTACGACTCCCAGAGTTTATTTTCTCGCATCGAACCCATATATCGTCTGTATTCCACCGCGTATTACTCCATGCGTCATGAATCAACCAATTCAGTGTTGGAATAGCCTGAAAAAAAATTAAACTGATAAATATGCGACTCATGTATACCATCACAGTCCCTGATTCAGAAGGAAAAGGTCTTATAAAGATGTTGCAACAAACCAATTGAGTGTGAATTTCACATTCCACTATAAAACTGGCTAATAAATAAGACCACCCGTACATACGAATTATTGTGGGAAAAACTGTGATTGAATATCCGTTATTTATAAGGCAAGTCTAAATCTTAAATAATCAAAGTTAAGGGTAAACTGCCACAACTCTGACCTCACACAGCAAAAGGTATTTCAAAGACAAAGGACAAATTTCTTCGACCAGTTTCCCAGTAAGCCACCGGCACTAGCATGGCAAGAGCCATACTACTATGTGCGGCACCGTACGCGATTGATGTGACAGTTCCTGTAAGTCTTTTTGATTGTCAAAACAGGCTGGGAAATGAGCCAACCACCACTCCTCCTCACGCATACTCAGTCATATCAGGTCGTCGGCATTGGATAACCGGTTACATAATAAAATCAATTGTTTTTGTGCATATATGATGCCAGCTCTGACATCTTCTTCTTCTTATCAAGTAGCTTCGCCGCTGCAGCATAAGGGCCTACACTAATCGACAAGCCCAGCACAGTGAGACAAAGGTTTGCATAGCTAACTCTATTTTGACCTGGTGACATTCATCAATGTATAATGCTATGCTCCAAGACAATATCGCAGAAGGGCGGATTCTATTGACCCACTGAAACATGAACACGGTCAACTCCATCAGCGAAGAATTAACTGGTCTTCTCCATGACAGACATGGGATGAACATTCTCCCCAGGGTTGATAGGCTTGTTTCAGGAATTGATCCGCGCTTTCACTCATGGCTACAGATGCAAGGATGGGTGGAACATGGAACACAGCGCCACAGACGAGGGTGGATGCATAAACAAAATCAAGATGCGGTTTGGCAGAAGATAGTGTAGAGGCTTTTCCACAACGTAGCGATGCGAGTAAAATTGTTGGCACGATCAGAATTGGGCAGCTGTTCATCAGAATGATAGCATGCTGTCTGAGACTTGCAGAGAGGCCCACAGATGGGGTGACTGTGAGCAGAATCATGGGCAAGTAGAAAAACAGTATGATATAGCCGTATAACGCGTAGGATATCCGTGGGTTATTTGCAGGAGTCTCGTCTGCCGAGGCGATCTAGCTGAAGAAAGGCTGAGCGCAAGGTATAAGGGAAGACTTATGGCAAACCCCGTGAACAGGCTAGAACAGCCCAGGATAAATATATTACCATAGTCAGTGAGGTAGCCGTGGGCAAGGAAGTGGATTAAAGAGGATGATACGTACCCCATTGCAACTTGATTCCATGACTTTGTTCGATAGTTCTCAAGTGCGGTCAACATCCATGCCAGTGATATTCCCCCCAAAAAACCAAATATCTGCAAGCTCTCAAGAGACACTTCTGCATCACTGACTGTTATATACATCAGGAAGAGAATTGATAGACCCTGGTCAAGAAGAGGGAGTCCGGTATAACTTGATCCTATGAACTTCTTTCGCCAAGATTGCTCAAAGAATATCTGGACAGATCCAAAATTGTGGGCATTACCCAAAAGATGCATAATCCGAATACTGATAGAAATAGGAGAAATAACTTGGCTATCTGTATCATCATGGTATGGAAGTCTTATCTTCTTCGGATTGATGTAATGGTAAGGGATTGCTCTTGATATTATATTATAAGAAGCTGATATGAGCTTGGAAGTAGACAGATAGTTCATGGCATAAATAAAAATTCAGATAAGAGCCCAGCAAGATTTCAATTTGTGATCGACCGATCGAGGCGAATACGCCCCTACCTGAAAATCTAATGAAGCCAGATGACTATCATCATATTGGTCCAGAGCGTGGTAGGTGATGGGATGTACTCCATGCACAAGTCTTATCATAAATACTGAGCGGTGATAAGTTCGGATTTTACTTCTCGTACACCACCGGGCAGTCTCTGTTGAGAAAACGATGTTTTGAAAATTACATGGTTTGGACTACCTAACTACGGTCTGGTTATCTACATTCACAATCCCTTTTTTCCCACGATATATTATCACAAGTATTTGTCATGGCCCATCGAGCGACCTTAAGAGGGAGTGATTTGGGGTGTGATTTGATACCTATTGATATATGCTAGGAGGTTCATCTCACACTTGAAGTAAACAACAGTAACTTGCTAGTTGGTTCAATATGGCCTTGTGAAATTAGAGATTTATCAAGTGAAATAGAGCATAGTTAGTGGTGACGTAAAAAATACCAGATTCTTAAATACACAAGTGAATTTTTAGAAATATCGTGATACTGTATCGCAGCTAGATATATAGAAGTACTATTAGTTATTATCAGCTACACATAAAACACAACACATTGCAGTTCTCTGTATTTTAAAAATGCCTAACCAATTGCCTTCATATTATGGACTATGTATTAATAGTTTGGCACGATCTGCTAAAGGATAAAACGCACCTTAGAACCCTTAATATGGTATACAGGACCGCACTGATCTAAGTTCTGTCTGAACCTTGGCCATGCAGACACTGGAAGTTGAGGCATATTTCTGCATAGCAATATGTATTTAGAAGTCGCTATAGCAGGAAGTCAGGAAGAAGAGGTCTACTGCTTTTACTACTACTAATATCTAATTAGCGCTCAGTTCACCAGTAATCATCCAATATCAATGAGTTATAAGCCAAGGAATTCTAATACATCTGCAAACTTGGAAATCCATTTTGCCTGAATGTTGTCACTCAAGGAAACTGAATTCTCTTCCTTTATATTAGCTTCCCATTCGTCTCTTCCAACGGAATTCCACAAGGGATCATTGCTTGGCAGAGGGAACTGAAGTTCACTGGCAGGTAGTAAGGGCCTGCCTTCTAGACTTGCGTTGCTCAATTTCACACAAAGCTTATACAGTGTTATGTTGAATCGCTTGATTTCTTCGACACCCACCCAGACAAATGAGGGCAGGTCTGCTTCCTTATACCTGGCGAGCATGTTCGGATAGAAGAACATGCCCAGTCTTCGACAGCTTCCAACAAGTGATTTGAGTAATAGTAAATGCGCAGCGGAAATAGACACCTTCAGGTCAAGGTTGACAATACTTTCACTTTTCGTGAGAATAGAGAAGATCACGTGTAGAAGGATAGCCTGGTACGTCGCTATTGGCCAGAAGCAAGTGCTGCCAGGCCCCTCTACTTCTGAGGCATCCCATTTCTCCTATAACTTACGCGTCAGCCAAACAAGTGCATTGCAGATCAGTGATATGATGTACCCTTTGATCCCGAATAGCAAAATCAAGTTTACCATGAAGCTCCATTGCCGCAGACTGCGCAGACCGTTCTCCCATGGTCCACATGCCTATAGCTACTATTGAGTGTAGCAGTAGTGGGGTTTCCTGGCGTACATTGAACGATCCTTTATGGATGAATGGCCAGCAGGGGTGGAATACCTCAAAATAATGATGAACGTACTGCTTCCTCTTCTCCCAATAATACAGTTGTGACTTTGCATGGTTTAGAGATGATGAAGGTGGGGCCAAGGAACTGGGATATGGCTCTTCTGCAACACTGGCATGGTCTTGAAAAGAACATTGAATGTTGCGACGAACACACTCTTCACATGGTACACCCCCTTCGCACCGGCTCTTGCCTGCATGGCAACTCACACAAGCTCGGCGCGCGCGATTTAGAGGCTCTGTTATTTTATGCTGTTTTCGAACATGGCGTTGAAGTGTATCACTAAATTGCAACGTTCTACAGTCAGGGTTTTGGTGTTGAGGAAGGATAAGTGAAAGCACACAGATACCTTCGTGTAAATTGGCGACCACAGATGGAACAGGGAAAGACCTGCTGCTGGGTGTGTTTTGATGCTTCATGGCGCTTTAGATGCTCCTTGCGCCGGTACCTTGCATTGCAGCCAGGAAATTGACACTGGAACGCGTCGTACGCGAAAGGGTCCGAGGGACCCTGAATGAGGTCGATTTCGCTGCCGAACATTTCCATCAGTAAAATCGGCCCTGGCAACCAGCGTTTCTTCAAAAATGGTCTGGAATCAGAGGAAGAGTGGGCCTTGCTGAGGTTCGCATGGGTGTTCGGGTTGTCAAATAACTCCTTGACCTCCTGCCCGGCTCCCACCGGCTTCCCACCGGCCTCCCGCCGGGTTAGTAATTCTGCGAAATCAGGACTCTCGAACGCTTACCTATTAGAATTTCTAATCATTAAGATTTTTGGAATAAATTACAAGGCAAAAGCAACGCATAAATATGTCTGAACCCCCCAATATTTGGCCTGTAGCTCAGTGTGAATTCTGTCATACCTCAGAGCCATGACTCCTTCCATCCTCATCGTTGGTGCCACCGGCAATACCGGCCGAGCCGTCGCCCAAACATTGCCAGAGCTGCTTCAATCCAGCAGCACTTTGTCCGAGCACCGCATTATTGCTCTCACTCGCTCTTCGGACAGTCCAGTGGCACAAGCCCTTGCCAAAAGAGCCGGAGTTGAAGTGATTGAACAGAACTGGGTTGAGATCACCGCCGACTGGCTCCGCGAACACCAAGTTGCTAGAGCATTCATTGCATCGCACAATGAGCCCAACCAGTTTGCCGAAGAGTCGACCTTCCACCTCAACGCCCTCAACGCCGGCGTCAAATATATCGTGCGGATCTCAACCACGGCTGCAAATGTCCGCCCGGACTGCCCTGCCTACTATGCACGCCAGCACTGGGCCATCGAGGCTCTGCTCGGCTCACCCGAGTTCGATAATTTGCAGTGGACCTCTCTTCAGCCGAACGTCTTCTCGCCATTCATCCTGGCCCCCGCTGCGGAATTCATCAAGAAATACCGCAAGACTGGAGAGCAGGATACACTTCGGTTGATGACGTCAGAGGATGCACCCGTCGGCCTTGTCGATCCTGACGAAGTTGGTGTTATTGCAGCCCATCTCCTGTCCCAGGACGACACTTCTGCGCATAACAAGTCCAAATACGTTTTGAATGGGCCCGAGGATATCACTGGAATTCAAATTGTCGCAATGGTTGAGCAGCACATTGGTAGGCCCGTCAAAAACGTTAGCTACAAGGATGTTTCATTCATCGACATGCTATATGAGTATCAGTACGCGGCCACCAGGCAATCGAAGAATGTCATCTACTCCATCAGGCAGGCCCCGGAGACGGCGTGGGAAGGGAAATGCTCGACTTCAACGACCAGCAAGGAGATCCTGGAGCTTGCTGCTCCGAAGCGTACACCTGCTGATAGCTTGAGGGCTTTACTTGAGGGCTGAAATCATATATTGAAAAATAGTGGTCTATCTGGGTAAATCAAGCTGCATGTATTGGGAAAACAGGAAATCTATATTTATTTGGCTCATAAGCAAAGAAATCAATAATCGAAGATATCAGTTCTAGCCAAACAATGACCGTTTAGAATAGGACTTTCACAGATTGGCGTGTGGGAATGATACCTGCTTTAGCTTTTATGTGGGGTGCAGAATAACAATCCAGAACGCTGAGTAATATGGAGCTGATTTAAATTAGTGATCTGATGACAGCAGTTATTGCTCATTTCCTGCTCACCAACCTCCTTGTTGTGAAGTGAAGTTTTTGGTGGTAGCGCTCACCTCGGGAATTCATCCAGTGCCATGTACCAGCCTACTCAAATTATGTTCGACAACTACAATCTTTTCGACGGGAAGACCTATAACGCTTGAATAGCTCACGGATAATTCAAGGCAGCAAATATTTTATTTGCAGTTGCATTTGCCAGGAAAATGGAGAAGAAGGGAATATATTCGTATTACCTGCACCCGGGGGTCTGTCTGGAGTAGATCCAGCAGAGTGGCCAATTGTGGGATCTATGTTTGAAAACAAGCAGCTCCAAATGCCGAAGGAAAAGAACATTGAGCAGGGCTGCGCGACTACTTTTGCTGCGATCCTGGACCCCGCGCCTAACGGTAAGTATATGAGTAATGGCAGTTGAACGAGTGGAAAATGGGCTATCAATTTCACGCAGGTCGATCATGGTTTTTTTTAAATGACTACATCCATAAAAGGGTTTGGATAAAAGCTTGACGCCTTTGATGCAGAGAAGTTGTGGACTCTGAGTGGCAAAAATGCCCAGGAAGAAATTTGCTACCGAAATGCCTCTTTGGTCCTGCTTCTAAATGATTCAACATGGTTTCAAACACATATAACGTGGCTGGATTGGTGCCTGCCTTCGCGTTCTTCGGTAACTAGATTTGTTCACGTGAATTCTTTTGGAACATGTCCATGGTTTTTGTTCTCTTTTTGAGCAATGGCAGCGTAGAAATCCTACGAGTAAATGTCGAACTAAAAAAGTAGTCAAATAACTACTACTAGATCCCTCCGGATACGATTATTCAAGTGTACTCGGTCGGCCAAACATTGTGTAGTATGTAATCCGACTGTGACCATGCTCTTGCGGGAGAGCCCCTAGGAGCGGTAAGCTTACCCAGATCCATTGATCAATCTGACCCAGCTTCTTCTGCGATGAAGCTGTGTGATTGCTTTACAAGAAAGATTCCATCTGTCCAGGGAGCTGTTTAAATCCACGTCAAACAGAGTATGGAGGAATCATAGGAGGAGAAGGACGTAGTCGCGGTGCGGAAGAGGGTCTTTCGCGGGGGATTAGGTGCCACAGAAATCCTAGCAGTGGGGACTTCCGTATTATTTTTTAATTGCTGTCTGAACTTTAGGCCAGACTATCTCCGTCGACTCTAACCCAGGGCTTGACCCAGTGAAGAAAGGGACTATGCTCTTGCAATAGTCCTAGCAAAACTCATCTTTGCCGCCAGATACGAAGATAGACGTATAATCGAGACAGTTTCGACTTATTCAAGACTTGTTAGAGAATGGATAAGAGGACTGAGGTGATGAGTAGTTTTATGATAATTCGAATTTGAAATATATGTTTCTAGGTACCAAATGTACTATTTTAGGAGCCAGCCCTTGCCATTCAAGTTAGTCGTCGTCAATAATGGTATTGTGTATGGCCATCCGTGTTTGCCCATGGTGCAATAATAATGATATTCTTAAAATGTGTAGGGGTTTAGGTCGAAGACTACTGAAGACTAAGATTGGTGAATGAAAATGACCTGAAATCTGTCGTCCATTGAAGAGCCTCGTGATGACTGAATACTCAACAAGCCCTGAACGTAACCTGCGCTAAACAATCCCTGGAGTATCCGCAATGCGGAAAACGTACTTGATAGCGCTTGCTTTTCCAGCCTTCAAGTCTTTCAAGGCTCTCTCAACACCTTCGAGGCCTCGCGGCCTAACCTCGAAAGGATGGCCGGAGAAACTGCCATTTTGCAATGCTCTCGTAAGATACCGAGAGAAAACGAATCCTAGTTCCTCATCATTACCAAACCCAGGTTGCCTGTGCACCGATCCCACAGAAGTAATCGATTTGACAGCAGGTGAGACGTCCAGGTCGTTGGGCAATACAAAATCAACCTGTCCGCCCGGAGTGACCGACTGCTTTAAGACTTCTGCGCTTTGCGTAATGATAACGGTATCAAGTGCGTGGTGCACAGTAGAATGTCCTGCCAGTACAAGGCTGTCTCTTATCGCCTTGATCGTTGCTCCTGCTCCTTCACGATAGTCGATCACCGTATCTCCTTTGCTTTGATCTAGGAGGCCCCGTACAAATTGTGATCCCTTCCCTGCAATGGCAATAATTGGATGGATGTTGCTGTTGCGCGCCAATTTAATCGCGTAAGAGCCAACAGCCGTGCTTGCGCCGTAAACGATGAATGGGGTTGGTTTTACTGCAGGGTTCCACGGCGGTGGGAATTGAAGGTGTGCATACAAGGACACAGCGGCAGTCAAGGCAGCAAGAGGGATTGTTGCGGCTTCTGTGAATCTTGGTCAGTTATGATCTATATGAATGTTCTTGCATTAGCGCACCTTCAAATGAGGTGTGCTTAGGAAGATGGAAAGTTGTATGACTCCACGCCAGTGCGTACTCAGCATACGAGCCGCCGGGCGTACACATTTCGTGGAATGCTGCGACGCGATCGCCTGGCTTGGTAAAAAGTTAGCTCAGACAAATATAACTAGTCTAGACGGCTCACTTTGAACTCAACCACTCTAGATCCGACCTTTTCAACCACACCGGCAACATCGTCTCCTTGGTTCACTCCCTTCTTGGCCTCAATCATCATGTCCAAAGTGCTGTCCCCAGAAGCTGCAAGGTCTGGGACTTTCCAGTCCTTGGGATTCGACCCAGAAACGACCACTTTGATAAGAACTTGGTCCTCATTTGGCTGAGGAATCGTGCTCTCGACAATCTTTACGGTCGGGCCTGCCAGATTGATAGCCTCCTTCATGATTCGCAATTTGGGTATTCGACTTTGAGTAAGTTGAACTAATAGCTTCCGGGTACAGTCGAAGGCAGACGTTCATAACCAGCTCGCACAATTGCCTTGGGTGAAGAAAAATATTTATAGTGAATTGGCTTATAAATCCCCTTGTTCATTCAAAACAGTTAAGAAAGCTTTTATCTCATCTTTTGCGTCATAAATGGCATATTAACTGCTAAGCGACGTGCCAGTGATGGGAGACCGGTGGGAGAGTGGGAGAGTGAGTGGGAGACCAGTGGAACCCGGGACACCGGTTTGTAATCTCCCACCAGAATGAATTATAAGCCAAAGCACAAGTCTCTCAACTTTACGACAAAGCACCCGTTCAAACTCGAAGAAGTTCAATCATGGCTGCCGCAAGAGATAACTTTAAGCCCTACATACCTGTTGCCGGGGGCGCGGATGATGGCTGGTCAAAAGAAGGCCAGGCGACTGCCACATGCTACTGTGGCGCAGTACAGTTGGCCTTTGTAGGTTCTCCCAAGCATATATTCCGTCTAATATATCCCGCTTATGTGATGGAAAAACTTCAGCCAACACAAGGCCCAGGCCTAATCGGCACATTCACCTGCCATTGTGTGGACTGCCGCAAAATCACCGCATCCATGTTCGCCACCAATTTCATTGTGGCAGACACACACATAAAACACCTACGTGGCCAAGAAACACTCAAGTCGTTTACCCAGTCGAAAACCATAGCCTCTGGCAAGGCAATGACAAATTGTTTTTGTTCTACGTGTGGCTGACTCATGTACCGCATCAGTGAAAGGTTCCCGGGGCATTGTATGCTGCGTACCGGAACAGTGGATGATTTCACCCTGCATGAAACGAGATTGAAGCCTAGGATTGAGATATATACCAAGGACCGTGTAGGATGGCTTCGGGGTGCAACTGATGTGGAGCAAGTCAAGGGATCATCTCATACTCCGGAGGGTTCTGGTCCTTTTGTACTCTGAAGTAATTGGGGCCTCGGTGTATTAACTCCATAGCTCTATTTATAAGGTTACCAGAGACAGTTATATCCACCTGTAGTCCTAGGTGATATTTGAACCTAGGAAATCCACGTTCCATTGGTCCAACCTTACAGAAGTGCGTATACATTACAAATGACGGGCATCGAAGGGCTCCGTCCCCAGATCTCGCAAACAGATTTCAATGGAACCTTCCATTACAGCCGAAATGGTGTCTGCAGAACGCACAATCCTGGGCTGGTATTGGGCTGGGACACCCTGTATGATTTGCTGGATGAGCCATTCTGATGCGCTGAATCCACCAAGAAGAAATATATTCTATTTAATGTTTTTACGTCAGCAGAGCTAGCCAAATACCAGGTACGGGCATCTTACCCGAATCCGTCGACTCTGTATATCAGCAGCCTGGATTTGATTGGTGATCAGCCTCAAGATACGATCGACGACCGGATCAAAACATTGTCGAACTTCTTCATTCGTAAACACCATAGAGCCCCCCTTGAGATGAGCCTGAGCTAGATCGAACTCAATGGCCACATCTGCTGCCCATAGCCGGCGGTTGTTGTTAAACTCTGCTTTGATTCTTCCTTCGAAATCCTCCATGCAGAGGCTGTGCGTTCTTCTGATGAGACGTGCCCCCTGCCCTTTTAAAACCTTGAGGTGGTTGGTATTCGCCTCGACGATGCTGCTCAAGTTCTTGTTGACAGTCATGGAGCCACATGAGTCGCTGCATCTTTCAATGCAATTGAAAATCGGGAAGGGATTCATTTGTTCAATTTTAAGGACATTCGAGTCTGTGTGAGATCCACCGCAGTTGACAACAAGTAGCATGTCACCAATACTCGCCTGCGTACTATTCCGAGTGGCGTATACTGCAGCAGCTTCAGACTCAGCGATGACAGCTAGATTATGTTTCTCTCCATCAACAGCGAATGCCCGAATGCCTGCCTCGTGTACTGCGTTCTTGGCCTCTTGGATGAAATCATCTGGTAGAGAGATCACATAACGGATGCGATCCTCCTTATTGAGCTCGACCCCTAATGCCTGCTGGACCTCGGTCTGCAAACTCTCATAAAGCTTGAAGAAATAATCCGCCATAACATCGATATCTGATTTCCCGGGGGGTGGCGATGAGATCTCCGAACGATCGCTTGTTGGGGTATTTGTGCATTGCATCGACCGCAGTTTCAATAGTTCGACTTTATATTCTCCCTGAGGTCTCCACGCAGTCCAGTACAAGCGTTGGGCCATTGGAGAGCCCCAGTGCGTGACCTCCAAGTTCTGATTGTAGAAGATGATGGTCGGAAAGTTCAGCTTTCTAATCGTGGTGATATTTGAAGGTGTTTTATGATCAGTTAGAAAACACGCAGCGGCCCCAGAGCATGTCGCTCCAAAATCAATGGCAACGACCGCTCTGTTTGTGGTGGAATTAATATCCGTTGGGTTATCCATGCTGAGCATCCTAGTTTATATGGAAGATTATTTGGATAATGGCCATTTAGAAGGACGGTGTCTAGCTTTATTACTGTTCATCTACACAGCCCCACGAGGCACTGCCACGCGGGGTAAAAGTGAGTACAATTGGGGCCAAGGGGATTATGAACAGTGGATTAAAAATAGCATCACAATATCCTATGGGACAGCAATGTGGAAATGAAAATATCCATCAAAAGTGACCGGCGGCGGGCATCGGCAACAGCGGACAAGCACCATTGTCGCAGCCAACATAGGAGACCGTATTACCCCACCAGTTGATATTGACTGGATGGTATTGAACCGCAAAGAACACAATGATGGCAGAGATTGCAACGCCAGTGGAAAAGGCCGATGTGAGTACGTAGGCATACTTTTCCCACCATGCCAACCAGCGACGCTTGACCCAATAGTTGACAACAAATCCCACCATTAGAGACGGCCAGCCGTATGTCAGGTTGTAGGGAGCGAGATATGTCGCACCGTTGAGCAGAAGAGGAATATGGACGTATCGTAGGCTGGAGCGCGGATACCATTTGGCAAGGAAATAGAACGGAATCGGGAGGAGTGCGCAGACCAGAAAGCTGTAGAGCATCGGATTGTAGATATCCCCCGTCCCAAACAGCGCCTTCGGACCGATGGCTCCCCAAATGACGGACGATGTATAAAAGTCCCGAGCACCTGAATTGGTCAGTAAGAGGGATGGGGCGGATTAGATTGGGCTTACCGGCGCAGTTGAATTTGGCACTTTGGGTCAGAGAGCAGACATCCTCGATGTTGGCCAGAGCCCACGCATTCACACCCAGAGAGACAAAGGCACCAACAACGGTCGCGACCAGCTGGGCAGAGAACATGACGCGAGGCGCAATCTTCATGTAATGGCCGAGCTTGAGATCAGCCACAAACTGAATCGACTGGGCGCAAGTGATGTAGCCAAAGTTCTTGAACAGCAAATTGGCGATTGGCTTGTTGGGAATGGCGTAACCGGCGATGAACTCCGCAATCACATTGTTGGTGACTTCGCTGTTTGTGATGGCGTACATCATTCCGTATGGGATCTGTAAAGCGAGGCAAAGGAAAATGGACAGAACAATGCCCCAGATGGGCATGCCGGTGTTGTAGATGCTGACGGAGATGCAGCCAAAGACGAACGCAATTGCCAGAACAGAAAGATACCACCATTCGGGAACTTCTTTGTACCGCTTCATAAGGCGGTTATGCACGTCCCCATGCTCCTCGCGCGCATTGGTCCATTTGAATACTGCCCGAAAGCCTTTGGCCAGCTCTCGACGGTTGTAAAGGGCAACATGGACAATGGCAGCAAGATAGAGACCAAACGACGCCATAAATACCACAGAGTAGCCCGCGGTGAGATATGGGGGACTGTATTTGTTGTAGGCATCCACATCCAGCTCAGCCTGGCTGTTTAACACGCGGGTGACCTCGTATGTCCTGCCCTGGTTGTCGTAAACATCGTTGCTGTTGATGGGCAGATAGGCATAGTTCCAAACGTTTTTCCAGTACATCGGAACCATCACGACAAACACCGCTATAAACATACCAGACACATTGTTCAGGAGAGAGTAGAATGGAAAGATGATGGGGTCGAAGATAGCATAGACGATGTTCCAGTCGAAGGTCGGCCAGGGATTGAGGCCCATCCCATTGATACCACCGCAGATCACGGCCAGGGTGACATTTTCGGGGGAGATCCAATTGATCCAGTTGAAGTATGAAAGTGCCTGGAAGATATATCCAGGGAACCAGTAGTAGAAGAACATGCCAACAAAGCAATACATGAAGAATCGATATCGGCTGATCGTCCAGCCGTTGGCATATGCATCGCGCCCCTCATCACTGTGCAGAGCCTTGTTGAGTGCGATGGTCGACAAACACTTGGGATAAATCATGGACGCTGGATAGACTAGAAATCTTCGCACGATTCCAGAGCATCCATATCCCAGGAGTTGGGTCGAAAGACAGACCAGGATTTGGAAGCCTGCATGATCATACAACTCTGTCATATTGTAAAAGTGCTTGGACTTTAGCACTTGCAGGATATAGGTCACATATGCTGTTCCATTGGGGCCTCCAAACGCAACATTGGCCATGACCGTGATCAACATGTGCTCTTTCTGATTGAATGGACCGGGATTGAGGGTGAAATGCCAGCCGAAGAGATTCCATTCCCTGGTCGGCAATGTCTTGGCCAAGAATACACCACATGGATATGACAGCAACTGCGCGACAGGAGAGTATATCGTAATCGTTGGGTATCGGAGGGTGAACAGCTGGTTGACGCCGGTGAAGATGATGGTCGAGATCAGGCCGAGAAACCAGGCCCGAAAGGTGTTTGCCGATTCCTCGGGATTGTCGGTGGGATCGACGACAGCACGCACTTCGGGGTACGGCGAGTCATTCTCGATCAGGTCATTGTGCTTGTGGACCTCGGCAATGATGCCTTGCAGCTGCGTCTGGTCGATCTTGCTTGGATTGGCGGCAAGGATCTCTCGTGCTTTATTGATGAGATCGACAGGGAAGTTGACATCCAGTTCATTCTCTTTGACTGTCTGTCTCAATTGAGCGAGTAGGCTGTCAATGTCAAGGCCGGTTGTGTCAACAGTACCCATCTTTTCCGAGTCATACTGCCCGTCAATGACGATGCTCTCTTTGACGTTGCCAGCCATTTTTCTGTCGTTGGGAAAATGGAGTAGTACAAAAAGCGCGACTACATGTCTGTATATATATGTCGATTGTTTCTCTACAGCCCGCACACAATCCATGTCCAAGATAACGAATACATCTCTACTTTCCATGATCGAGTTCAAGATATGCTAGATATATTTACGTTACATGGCGCCATTTACCTCGCGGCGAGGGGAACCGCATGTTTCGTTCAGGCCAGAATAAATCGGGCTTGGTTTATCGATAGAAGTGGGTCTCAATGCTTGGTTCTGTCTTCAGCCAATCGGAGGTCCGGATAAGACCGCGTTGCTCGACCAATCATCTTCAGTAACACACCTGTGCGCTGGGAGGAAAATTCAAGCGATGCTGAAATGGAGGGGGGAACAGGTACAGCAGCCCATTGAGACAAAGAGTGTGTGGATTGGAATTATTTTGCCACCAATCGAGCGATGGGTCGAGCGATTGCCCATCCCACGCGGGGTCGGTAGGGCAGATTAGGGAAATCAGCATGCACCACAGCCGGGGTGGAGGCCAGTCTTTGGAGTTGTCGAGCATGATGTATAGAATATACTTCTTTGGATGTCCGTCGGAATGAACCGAATCTGAAGGGTGTTACTATTTTCCGGGGTGATTTCCATTTGTCTTCGATGCGATGGCGGATAAGGCGTTATCTGTTATCACAATGGCAACATGCAGCACCGAACCTATTGCAACGCTATAATTAAAATACGAGTAAATTCATATTTCCGAGCTGCACAGCGAGTCATGATTTGCCGGGATCGAGTTCTTTGTCGTCTTGTGATGGTGGGACAATTGATGTCTGTGGTGGTATTGGCGATGATAACGTGCTCAAGACGAATATCAGACCAATCAAGCCAAAGGGTAACAATTTTTCATCCATGCAACTCCTTGGAGTATCGACGATACTACCCAACAGGAACTGCTCTTTATTAACAGGACTTTGTCATAGATCTGTATTGGCCTCATCGAACTTCCAAATATAGGTTGTATCACATCTTGTTCAAAGTCGGAGTTCTAGCAGTATGAAAATATATATCACGCTGGTGATGACTGGGAAATTAAGTATATAATGGGATGTTTTTGATAATCTAAGTACATTTCTGAGGGAACGACATAGACATTATACCAATGAAAATTCCAATATTCAAATTGATCAGAATACAAACGGGCAGTTTGATGCCAGATATCCAATGCGTCACAGTTCGAGGGATGGCCTCTGACAACTGAATGAGACCTACCCCAACCACATCTCCATAGTTCTATTGATCTAGCGAATAGAAATTTTTTGTCTAAAAAAGTTTCTTTAAATAAAGCAGAAAAAAAAAACATTCATCGTAGATTGTTATTGTCACTGTAAATATCCGGCTGATCGGCATACACCGATCAAATGATCAACGGCAGCCTATTTTTACCCACGACTTTACTATGTAAAGGCAGAGATCAAGCTGCCAGGTATATAAGTAAATTATAATTCAAATCTATTGCTCAGGCTATTAAGGGTGGTGATTGAATTGAATTGATTATGGTGGAACAAGATGTGACGTCGAATATATACAGGGGTAAGATGATAGTTTACAGAGTACAAAAGACAGATCATGTATTTACTGTGTTAATTGTAGTTCCAATATGTGCTTGTGGAATAGATATACTCGGATGAGAGAGATAACATGTAAATGTCCATCAATGCTCATCTCTAACGAATGGTTTATTATAAGGCAATCATGAATGCACAGACGGCAACAACAGCGCCAAAGGTGGAGCCAGAAAGGCTGGCGGCAGAGTTGGCTGCGAGAGCAGAAGATGAAGAGGAAGCCCCCGAGCCAGTGGACGAAGAAGCGCCAGAGCCACCGGCAGGGCTTCCGACCTTGGTCGACGAGGCACCAGAGGCGCTACCGGACTTGGTAGCAAAGGGAAAAGCACCGGTGGAGGTGGAGTTACGGTATCCAGCGGTGGTCGAGTTCAGGTAGCCACCCCGAGTGGAGTTGAACGAGTTGCCCATTCCTTTGCCAGCGCTGAAGGTAGGCTTGGAGGCACCGACGCGAGTACTAGAAGCAGTGGACGAAGGGGTGGCAGAGGCAGATCCAGAGGCAGATCCAGAGGCAGATCCAGAGGCAGATCCAGAGGCAGATCCAGAGGCAGATCCAGAGGCAGATCCAGAAGCAGTGCTAGAGACAGCAACAGAGTCGGATGCAGTCGAGGACGAAGCTGAAGTGCTGCTCGACTTGGACGAGGTAGAATCACCAGGGCAGGTCAAGTTGAACAAGGGACTAGTGGACAGAGTGCTACCGACGACGCCGAAGCTGGGGTTGGGAGTCGAAGGGTTGGCATCTTGGAGGATGTACCACCACGTGTTGGTCTCACCGAACAATGGGCAGCCAACCTCGTCCCAGTATGTTTTGGCGTTTTCAGGCGAGGCCACGGCGAGGTTCTGGGTGTCCCCACTGACCGGCCATCCAGTTTCGGTGATCCAGACTTCCTTGTCGCCAGCAGCCGCCTTGGTCTTGGCCACGGACTCGTCGAACAAGGCCTTTGCATCGGAGATGGAGTTGGACATGGAGCTCTGGTAGTAAGGGTAGCCGTCAAAACCGAGCCAGTCGACGGCATCGATGGCAGCCGAGTTGGAGCCGTTGGTCCATGCCGTCCAGGTGTCGACATGGCCAATCGATGCGCCACTCAAGCTGGTGCCGGCAATGGCCGATCGGACCTCCTTGATGTATGAGACGAGCTCCTCGGGGCCAATTCCCACGCCGGCGTCGACCTGGGCGCCTTCCTGGGAGTTGCGGTAGAGATCCTCGCTGCCAACCGAGATACCGACTACCAGCTTGGTGAAGGATTCTCCGTACTGGCTGATGGCCGACTTGAGCGCAGCCAGCTCGTTGTCCATGCCTCCACCCGAGGCCCAGAGACCGAGGAGGAGGGAAGTTTCTTCGGCGATGGCGGCGGGGATGGCGGAAATGGGGGTGTTGGTGGTGCCACCTTGCTGGACGGGGTCAGCGGATGAGCGTGAGCTGCGTGATGGAATGACTTACAATCATGGTGTACAGTCTGGCGCTGTTGAAGCCAGAAGTGCCCACCAGCTTCTTTGCCGTTGCGAATTGCGATTGGAAATCCGACTGCTGCATGGAGCTGCCATCCGACTTGGCTGCGCCATAGTTGAAGCCCTTGTAGGCGGCCTCGGAGGTCGCGAGGGACAGGGCGAATGCAAGGAGATGCGAGAGGTGCATTGTAACGAAGGAATGAGTGTAGAATTAAAAGAATGTATAGCACGAAAGGAACAACAGCAAAACGAATGTAGAGAATGGGCGAAAAAAGAGAATTTGACCGGCAAGAAAATGAGCAGGAGAAGCGAATAAAAGAGATCAGGGCAGGCGAATCTAGACTCGGACAGACCATCGGATATCAGGCCTAAAGATAGATCGGGGGAAGCCCTAATGCCAAATCGGGACGGCAAGGGCTGGGTCCACAGGGGGATAGACCAATCATATCAGGGCTCGGGACAATGCACACGATCTGCAAAATCATTGACAGCAGAATGTCAGACTATGAAAGCTTGGTCTTTTAGACTGGGCTAGTCCTGCTCGAATTGATTGTCAATTACAATTAATATGACTTGTTTCACTCATCAGGTACGCAAATAGATCCCCCTTTTATTTCATTTTCAGGAGACACTGCGATTGGTGGCGAATGACCCCTAAATATAGCAAATTAAGCGACGCCCGATATCCGGCACCGAACAGACTTTTCAGGGGAAGAAATTTTTGGAAACATGGTTGACAATTCAGGGACTGCACTTTGTACCAGTAAAGTGTAGAGGCAATGGAATTGATTGGCGGGAATTATCGGCGTCAATGGAGGGCAGATGGAAATGTCGGCAGCATTCGAAAGTGGCACAATTAGGGACTTCCATACCGAGGATTGAGTAGATGGCAGCATACAGTATAATATCTCATCGTTGTGGTAATCTAAATTGTGGCTTTGACAGTGAAAGCGAAATCTCTATTGGCAGTCTTTAAGGACCAGGGACATCAATGTCTATGCCGAGGGCCATTATTTTAGGATTGGTGCACATTGGTAGCTGGCTCCTTGTTTGCTCGCTAAGCCCTTTGCATAATATTGTCCAAGGGAAAAGGTCGTCAAGAGTGAGATCTATGGAGTTGTCCGTCACATCGAGAGATCCCGTGGGTGCCATACTGAGCTTCCCATGTTGATCCGCAACTAATGCGTATTTTTGCCACAACGTTGGTGTCATAAACATCAACAGCCGGCGATCCGCCGGGATATTGAAATACGAGGTGCAAGATTTCCCAATGTGATCCTCGACATCACGGAGAAATCGCTGATTGCTGTCCTTGAGCTACCCAAAGCCTTGGCCAACAGTATGGTGAAGATGCTGGATGGTCCCATTGACATCACCATTCGCTCCACGGTTTACAAGAAGGTGGCCGGCGCTGAGATGAGTGTCTTGGACCTGGTTTGTCTGGTTGCAGCTATCCTGGCCAATGTCATCTTCAAGATGGCGACCAACCGTGAGCTATTCCCGGACAATGCCAACATGAATGCTCTCATTACCGCGAAGGATTTTGAGACATTGAAGAACCTCTTGACGTCGTCCAACGCGGACATTGCGGCCCAGGGCTTGACACAAGTAGCGACGATGTTGGATTGGGAGCGACGCTCGTGTCGGAGCTCTTCAGTACACTGGGTGTCTTCACATCCAAGGAGATTCTCAGCCCAGAAATTGCAGACCCAATATTTTCTGCTGCGATTGTTCTCCTGGCCATCGGGCTGAAGGCAGCGACTGGCGGAGTGATTGCAGCAGGAAACTAGTGAGCAAGTCATAGAGAAAGCCATAGTATTATTATTAATTGAATGAAATACGCATTTGGCATCTATGTCGAACGTTAAATCTCCTTCTGGCTACCCTTGACGTACTGGTCAAACCATACCACAGCCTGGCTGAATGCTTGCTCTTTGGCAAACCTCTGCCGTGGCTTGCACAGATCGCATCGCACAGCAAAGCCGTGCTCGACGTCTGAAAACATGTTGAACTGGTAGTGGACGTCCAATTGGTCCAGGATTTCCTCGCTCTCGTGGCGCTTTACGGTGGTGAAGACAAAGTCCCGGACTATACTTGTCAAAATGAATCATCGGGAGGAATGATAGACTCACCAGCAGCAGCAATGCTCAATGGTCCTTGGATCGTCTTGAGTTCATCCGCCTCCACCATCGTTGGGTGTGCGATGAAACCCACATCAAGTTTTCCAGGCTTCAGATAGTGACAGACATACTTACCACCGAAACAGTATCCTACTCCTCCAATCCGCTTGCATCCGAGGTTTTCGCGCATCTCTTTGAGCACAGCATCGATGATGGGTTCAGTCTGAGGGGGCAAGTGGTTCTTCACCCACTCCATGATGTTGAAGCCTTCAGGGCGGTTGAGCGGTACAGTATCACCAGTGAACAGATCCGGCATGACGACAAAGTATCCTTTCGAGGCAAATTGGTCTGCGATCAGTTGTGCATTGATGAATTTATGGCCGATTACATCAGTGAGGACGAGAATGGCATTGTCAGTCGACCCGTCGGGGGGATAGGCAACGTAGGCCGAGACTAGATCGTCAGTATATTACGAGTATATATGAAGGATACTTACTGCTTCCAATGTCTTTGATCTCGCCTTTGGCTTTGCCTTCGTGGAGAGAGCCGACGGTGCAGCATTGCGTGAGGTTGTTCGAAGTCATTTTGAAGAGGAGGCTTGATGGGAATATGTTGGGCAGACTGTTATTCTGGTATGGAATACTATATGGAAATACTTCATATCACAGATACCCTCGGCTTATATATTCTCATCGAAAGGAAATACGGAGTTAGGAAGTGAGATGTATAACCCCGCTAAGTCCGCAAAGGAAGCTTGAATTGGGGCCAAAACACCGAATGTCAGACTGGATGAAACCAGGGTGGCTATCCAATCAACTAGTCCAATCAGATACGTGAGTCCGTATGTGGAAAAATCGTCTCGGAGATAGCCGATGATAGACAGTTCTCTGCCTGAGTAGCCACTACGGTTAGTCCAGAAAGTTTGGGTTGTCTTCGTAGTCTGGCGAGGCATGAGAACATATTCATTTTTTGAAGGCGACGTTGGACGAAACAGCAGAACGCCCGGTGACAAGAAAACGAAACATTGTCTTTGGTACAATCTGGCCAACTATGTACATCGTCATCGTAGCAATACATAAAACCGATATCAGAAAGGTTATAATGGTTGTCATTCTACTATCTCCACTCTGTCGCATTGGCGGTGCTAATCGCGATGTCATTTCGCTCCGGAATCATGTCGCATTCGTCATTCGAGACTTTCGGTTTTTCGCAAGGGCCATGTTGCTTCAGGATAGTAGAATGACGCCGGCTTTCATCGAGAGTTGCGATGGGAAGTTGGATATAGGATGATGGTCGCAATGGGGAGTCTGATGGCCAGATCATACGGGAGTTCCTTTGTCAGTCTTTTGGGCTGTTGGAATGTCGCTTTCGGACAGATCGTCGGCAACGGCTTCGGTGATGGGGCCAGTGTAGACGAATTTGCCACGGATGTACCAGTAGATCATGGAGAAGAAGAGGACGGCCACGAGGAAGACGCAGGCGTAGTTCATCTAAGTTGATGTCAGTAGAGACAGGAGATGAGGGAGTGATACATACACTGTTGGCAGAAACCGGCATTGCAGTGGGCAGCACGAAGATGACACTGACAAACAGCGTCCACAAGCAAGCCCAGATGTTGACAATCGTGCTGAATGGACCCATGTGCCATGGTCCTGGCTGGAACTTGCCAAAGAACAGCTTGCACAAGACGGGGATGCAGTAACTCCAGTCAAGAGCAATGGAACAGACGGTGAAGACACCCGAAATGGCAGCATACGACCCCAATCCGATTAGGTTGATGGCGATGCAGAAGAAGACGGAGATCCAAACAGCGTACAGAGGAGTGCCTGTCCAAGGAGTGACTCTGGTCCAGACATTGGAGAACGGCACCAGACGGTCTCGCGAAAAGGCAAACACAGTACGTCCCAGAGACTGCATCGCCGTGAAGGTGACAAACTTGATGATGATCAATCCAGCGATCGTGAAGAACATGCCACCCCCCTTGCCCAGGCTGTTGTAGAAGATCTGCGCGACCGGCTGGTCGATGGGCGACTCGAGGATGTCGTTGGGATTGCCCATGCAGAAGCACAGGACGATGTTGAACAGAAAGCCAGCAACATAGGTAAACAGCATCGCAAGGGAGATGGCCCACGGTGCTTTCCTCTCAGGATCGCTCATTTCCTCGGTGATGTGCGCCGTGGCGTCGTAGTCGGTCATGGTCCAGCTGACAGACAAGAAGCCAAACAACCAGCTGAAGCCAATGGGTTTCCAGCCACTCGTGGATTCGACATGTGTAAAGACATACTCGGCTGAATGCTTGTCTTTGGTCATGACCAGCAGGGCAATGGCGCACGAGACGAGGACGCAGACGTGGAAGATGACATACATCTTGGTCATCTTTTCCATCCAGTAGGTCGACAGCGAGTTGGCACAGCCGGTGATGATTGTCAGCGCAGCCATGACGCCCACGGTGGTGTTGGTGTCGATCTCGTACTTGAAGTCTCTGCTCATCGAGACGGCAGCCAGCAGCATCTCAGCAGCCCCGTATTCGGACGAGGCGACACCGGCAACCTGGCCGAGGAGATTGAGCCATCCAGTCAGCCTGCGAGGTTAGATAATTATCGCGATGAGGATAGAGAGTACTGACCAACTGATGGAGGCAACCCAACTGTCGGGTGCCAGTCGGGAAATGGTAAAGTACAAACCACCAGACGTGGGATACGCAGAAACCAGCTCAGAAATAGAACTCTATACAATCAACATCCACCGTTGCATATTATACTACTATGGGATACTCACTGCAATGCACATGCAGCCAGCGCCCGATACAAACCAACACCAGACCACGGCACTGCTGCCTCCTGCTTCTAACGGGTAGGACATGGTGGTCATAACCGTCGAGAATAGCCCACTGATACTGACTGCGAACGAGAAGGTCGCCAGGTATCCGAATTCTCGCTTGAACACCGGGTTATATCCAAACTTGGTTGCCAGCTCAGAATCCTCTTGCACCATATCACCGACGAACATCTTCTGGTGTTGGCCATCGGGACCGGCGATTTCGATCTTTCTATCATCATGCTGGCGCTGTCGGAGGACGTTGGCTTGCGAATAATCGGTCGGGGTGATTGCAGCCATCTTGGGCAGACTGAAGAGGGACAGAGAGGATAAGATGATGAAAACACACAAAAAAAAAAAAAAAAAAACCGAGTATAAATGGAGCACAACGAAAATGAACAGCGGCGGGCTGCGAGTGACGCGGCCATTTGGAACAGCCTTTTATCGGACGGGATAGATTGACTGTATCCGGTTCAGGAGGGATTTAGATAGTATCACAGCCTGTCATTAGATGCAGCAGCGACCATGTGGGCATCTAGTTCTCTCATCTCATGAAATCCATAGACTGCGAAAAGCTTCAGTGCGATGGGTGCTGTGATTGGCGGAGAGACACCGAGTCGATTGAACAAGTCTCAAAGATAGCAATATCAGAGAAATCAGCTCGAAGAGAGCGGTCTTTTTGTCCCTGTCAGGGCAACAAATCCACGATAAACAAGAATAACCCGAAATCGGGATAGACCCCGGTTAAGCTTATCCGTCTGTAACAAGATAAGCAGCATTATCGACATTGACTGGGATTATGATTGGATGTTATTATCATCGTGATAGCTCTGATAACTATCAGTTTGGATCATGCTAAGAGTCTAGCCCACGGGAGTAGACCTTTGAGCCCAAAGGATACAGAATAAAGTAATGGCATAATTATAGCGCCGTGATAATGAACATAATTTAAAGATACATTACTTATAGAGTTATTAATTACTATTATGCAGGTTTATTATGGTTGGTAGACGCCATGATGTTTTGTAAAAGTAGACAGACGTCATTCTATACTTTTTTAATTACTAGTACATGTTGATTGCATTGAGATGTTAGTCAAATCCAGAATAAAGACTTTATGAATGTATAATTATTCAATATCATTTCAATGTCGATAAATATAGAAATGCCACGTTGAGCAAAATACTCTGTCTTGATTGGTCACTTTGAGAGCAACTCTCGTATTCCCTACAACTCATCCATAAATACTCCTCCATTATCCAACTTCACCACTGCTCAACATCAGAAAACAAGCAAACAGCCATGTCAGCTGCACAGAATGCTCTCGCTCTTTATTTCCGCAATCTGCACATTCCTGGTCAACCCCTCGTCCTCACCAACGTGTACGATGCAGCCACGGCGTCCCTGATCGCGAGTCATCCCTCGACAAAAGCCATCGCCACTGCTAGCTACGCTATCGCCGCTTCTCAAGGCGTAAATGATAGCAATTTAACACGGTCACAGAATCTGGCTACGGTTCGCTCGATTGCAGCTGCCTTGAAGCCATCCGACACACAGGATTCTCTGCCCAGCTTTCCTTTGACGGTTGATGTCCAGGATGGCTACGATGACATTGCTGAGACCATCAAACAATTGATACAGCTAGGTGCTGTTGGGTGCAACCTCGAAGATCTCGACAACAGAACCGGTCAACTCCGTCCTCTCCCGGATGCCATTCGACGGATCAAACAAGCACTCCAAACTGCAACGGAACTCGGTGTGCCTGACTTCGTGATAAACGCACGAACCGACGTCCTCGATATTGGTGTAAATGGCCAGAGAGGAACAATCGAAGATGCGATCGAGAGAGGAAAAGCATTTCTGCATGCCGGCGCGACCACCGTCTTTGTATGGGGTGGAGCAGGAGGACGAGGGGTGTCGAAGGAAGAAGTAAAGCAGCTGGTCGTAGCACTTGAAGGAAAGCTGAACGTCAAGATGGTTCTGAAACATGGATTCCTGACGGTTCCAGAGTTGAGAGAAATCGGAGTGGCCAGAATCAGCGTTGGGCCTGAATTGTATCGAGCTGCGATGCGCTCGTTTAAAGAGACAGCAGATGCAGTCTTGGATGGATGTATTTAAGAATATATCCATGTTTATATACATGTAGGGCCATTGATGTGCTTCAATATAATAAACATCACACTATACAGTCGGCCTCCCACTCCTTATACTTGAACGGCTCCTGTCCAAAATTGCCCCAAACCGTCGTTGAGCCATCGTGCAGACCAAGAGCTGGGAAGAGGCGGCCTTTGACTTCTTCGAATGCGTTGCCTAAAGATGGTCAGTACAGAAGGCAATAGATATGAATTGGGAGTAGATATACCTAGACGAATGCCATTTCGTGTATAGAAGATAATTCCCGTGACAAAGTCCACACCACACCCAATCGTGTCTCCAGGTCCATATGATTCTGCATAATCTTGACCTTCGCCGCAGTCATGGAGATAATGATAAGCTCTTCCATCGTCGCCATGGTATCCCCATGTTGGTGCTTCGGCGTTGTTCCATCCCGGCATCTTGTCCAACTGGGCGTACTTGTCGCAGTATCCAATTGCTACCGCACTATAGACAATTGTGAATGACTACCCTATATTGATGAGAATGAAACTTACGGATTAGGAACATTGCTCTCCAGAATGGTCACCTCGTAGTAATACCCTTTACTCCCAGCGGGAACGGAGTGATCGGCTCTAGCAACCATCGGCTCTGTGGGTGATTCAGAAATAGGCTCTATCTCCATGTCAGTCACGCTACATGCTCTGTTGATCTTACATACCGCCTGGATTGAAATCTGATAATTGCACACCATTTTCGGAGATAGTGAGCTGTTCATGTTTGTCCGCAGCGCTCCAGCAGCTTGGTGGATGACCCAAGAGAAATTGACCGGACTGAGAAGTAGCCAACACGTTTCTGCTATCATTCTTGGAAAGCAGCGATATGATATCGTCATTTCCCTCTTGAATGGCCAGAGCCAGAGGTGTCCAAGCGTGACAATCCACACCGTTTACAAGGCTTGCCAACTCGCTGCACATCGCCTTACACCCAACGGTGACGGCCAAATCCAAAATCTCTGGCTGCCGTGTGAGGTCAGGCACCGTTTCATTAAACACTTTGAGTGTTTCTACAAAGCGTGGTTTGCCTGTCTCGTCTGCTCTCTTCCAGGCTCGCAACGCCAAATGGACTGGCGTCTTGTATTCATGAATGCGAGCTGTAGGATCGGGGTCGTGCAGGAGAAGGAGTTTGACAGTCTCAACACAGCCATGAAAGGCAGCGCAGTGTAGAGGTGTAGAATCATCTTGGCTCCGCTGACGGCACATCCGGGGCGCATCTCCGGCATCAATCAACAGTCGGGCTGCGATCGGGCTGCTGCTCATGGCGGCTAGATGCAGGGGAGTGTTGCCAGATGTGTTTTTCGTATACAGACAGTCCAGGTTCAGGCCTTTGGCCTTGTATACAGACAGGAGGTATGAGAGTATCTCTGCCTGGTCCTTGGAAACAGCGGTAAAAACAGGGTTTTGTTGGCTTTCATCGCGCATATTAACGTCTGCACCTCTATTGACAAGCAGCTGTACCATGCCCAAGTTACCTTTGAAGACAGCGAGGTGCAAAGCAGTTATCCCGAAGGGGGTTTCGACTTGGTTGATATCCGCACCGCGAGACAACAGAAGACGGGCACCTTCTACGTTATCCGCAATGTTTGCACAGTGTAAAGGTGTCCAGCCTTTGTTATTCTGAACATTCACGTCTGCTTGATGATCCAGCAGTAATTGGGCAACGGCTAGATGATTGGCTAGTCTAAATACACCATGAATCGGTGTCTGTCCGCTTTCATCCCGGACGTTGGCATTTGCGCCATGCTTCAGCAACGCCTGACACATTCCCAGACTGCCTCTATCCACCGCGTAGTGCAGACAGGTCCGGCCAGATGAGTCGCGTAGATCGGGATTTGCACCCTTGCTGAGCAGGTACTCGACCATCGCAGGCGTGGGATAGGGCGAGTTCACCAGGGTAATGAGAGGGCTATCGGCCACCACAGGACCCTGGAGATTGGGATTCGCGCCAGCTTCAATGAGCAGTTCCATGCCCTGGTAATCGCCGTCTCCAGTGCAGCAGAAATGGAGAGGAGTATTGTTTCCCTCGTTGGCCATGTTGACATCAACTTCCTGACTGAGATACCTCTTTAAAAGACCAACCACTCCATACCGGGCAGCAATGTGCAACGGCTGGTCTGGCTGCTCGAACTTCCTCCACGGATGCGCCTTCTTCAGCCAGTTTTGATACACCTGCGAATCTGGTTGCATGAATCTCTCCACACTGTCATATATTGCGTCAAATCTGTCGACAATATCCTCATCCCGCGCTTCCTCCGGCCATACGAGCTCGGCGGATCGAACATGGTACGCCCAATGCAGTATTTCATATCGTACATCTTTGTATTCATCTTCTGTATCGCGACCCTCGATAGGCTGGTCTTGCACCTCGTTGTCGCATAAGAATTTCTTTTGAAAGCGGGGGCAGTTCAAGTGTCGCAGAAGCATTTCTGCCATCAGTAAGTGGCCGTACTTTGGAGCAGCCTGGACGGTGGAGTTCTTGACAAAACGGTCTGCACAATCTGGACAGCGCAGATCCTGTTTGTCAAGATGGACTTCATCTTCGGCAATAAAGCCTCGGATAGAGTTGTGTTGCAGTTCGACCGTTCCTTCTCCAACCTTCAGGAAATCCCGACCTATTTTGATCAAGTCATTGATGGCCTCACTTTCACGATCTTTGCGATCTTCCATATCATCCACTGACACGTCCTCTGCGTCCGACTGTTCGTCTTCGTCATATACATTCTCCAGCTCGTCAAAGATAGGCGACAGGCCCATCTGCCCTACTCCGCATGTCAGCCATCGGAGAACCACAAGAAGCTTTTCTCGCGAATCCGCATCCAGGTGCTCGATGCTTTGCCGGTAGAGGTGGTTCATGCCTCGTGGAAGCTCGCCCATCAGCTTCTTGAATGGGGGTCCTTTCGCTTTCAGACTTGTGACGACCACTTTTGCATCTAGCCTGAATTAGCTTATTGTTATTTATTCTAAAATAATGGCCATACATCGGAATATTCCCTCCGAGCTCTTCGCAATGGCTGCACTAGCTTCGTCTTTTTCTTTTCGCTTCCAACTGCGGAGGTATCCTTTCAACGACCCAGACACATATGAGCGGATGTCCGCTTCGGTCCTCGACTCATCAATGGCAATCTTGGGGACATAATACAGCGATTCGTGAAGATCTGGTTCCGGGCGACTCGATATCAGCACTTTGATATTGCTTCCAGACTGGGGAAGATCTTTCAATGCATCCAGGAAGCCAGTCTGCTTCCAGTCAGAGCATTCATCGATTGCATCGACAACCACGTAAATTCTCGAATCCAGAACCTTCGCAAGGTCTTTCAGCATTGGTCTGAGAACAGTGGAGAGAGGGGCTAGTGAAGCATTCGTTTTCGCTGATTCCGGTAGTCTTTTCCTAGCATCCTGCACGATCTTGATCATCTTTTCTTGTTTCTCTACTGTTCCTGCTTTCTGTATCTGGCTTTCGACAGTGCAAAACAGCTGTCTGAGGAGGTGCAGCATGATCTTGGAGCCACGCGAGGTTGCCTCATCGCCAGCTTTGCAGAAGAAGTAAACCAAGAGCGCTGGCTGGTCACTCTGGAGGATGTCGTTCTCCACGTATTTAATGATAGAGGAAATTAGGATGGACTTGCCAAAGCCTCCATCACCTCGCAGCCAGAGAAGACTCGGTTCTGGCTTGTTTCTCCAGTGGTCAAACTCGCGGGCCTCGTCGGGGTTGTAAATCCACTGGCACGTATTGGGGTATCTTTCGTTCAGATTAGCACTGTATTGCGTCGCGTGGACATCCAATCCAGCGGTCGTTCCAGTAGACAACCATTCCCGTTGGGCTTTAAAGAGAGCCTGTATCTTGTCGCGAGCATGGTCATCGATAATCGTATTCTGGTTTGTTTCAATCCTCTGCACTGTCGGAACGACCGTCTCCTCGATGGTATTATAAAGCTCATGCACGACGGTGGCATCCTGTTGGAGTCCCTTCAAAACACTCAACGCCACCTCCCTGAAGGCGATGCCCTCGATGCGCATGAGACTGTCTCGCATGCCTTGAATCTCACTTACGGTCGACTCCAGCTCCTTCGATCGCCCACCGAACATGATAGACCCGACACGAATCACCTTGGTATGGCCAAAATACTCGCGTGTCTGATATCCGAATCGCAGAACAACGGCGTAGATCTTCGGGATTGGATCCAGGACTTTCTCGCGGAAATTCGTCGCAAGAGCAACCTCGCCGGCATAGCGCTTGATGTATGCCTCGCAAATGAAGATGACATCGGAAACATCGTCCACGGCGCCGATGAGGAATTCGCATGCCTCGGCATCCTGCAGAAAACCGGCGAAGATCATGCGAAAGGCGCACCAGACAATGGAGACTGTTTCCGGTGCGGTCTTCATCGCCACGTCGCCGACTTGGAGAATTAACTCGAGGCGTTTCAAGACACGGCCCAGTTTAATTTCAACGGGCTTGCCGGCGATCTTGCCAGAGTGATCCGTGTACTGGGTAGAGGCCTTGCGTTTGATCACTTTGAGGTCGCTGATGGCATCTTCGAGATTCGTCGACTCTTGAAGCTTGGCCAGTTGCCTTTGGCTCAACTCGCTGTAGAAGATATCTTTGGCAGCGTTCCAGAAGGGCTGAATGGCCGTGTCCGTCACTTTAACGTGCGCCATTTGTTCTGGGCTCGCCTCGTTCAACACTCAGGAGTGGGAAATCATTGCGCCTCATTTTGTAGGGATGCTCGCTTGTATGTAAGACGCAATGCAGATTAGCCTGTGATGGCGGGGTTGAGCTGAACAGCTCGTATCCACCAGTGACAGGGCCTGGACTGATCGCAGGATATGGCGATTGGTGCGATGGCAAGCTGAGCTAGCTATTCTCCTTTCATTGCGCAGCATGATGTGATATCAACTCTATATAATTTCCTATGCTCTATAAGTCAGGATTAATCTCTGGATAGATGCTTGGAAACCAAAGATGTTGAAGCCAACAGAATATTTGTTTGTGCTGTTTTCACAGTTTGCCATGTTTGGAGCATGAAAGCAGCCAATCATCGATAGTCCAGAAGTTGGGTTTGACTAAGGTAAGCCTTACCAGATATGGTTAGTGCATTTCTCCCGCTTCTATCGTTCCAAAAAGGGATCCATCTTGATGAATGACAACAGGAGCAGGCATAATACTAGTCTTGTTGAGTTGCTGTTGACTGTGGATTGCTGAAATGGTAGCACATACATTACTTCTGTTCTTTCACTTCTTTTACATGGTTGTTTATAAAATGATTGAGTTTGGGACTAATAGAGATATATATACATGACATGTTTCATCATATTGAATGCACCTTCCTCAATCGACGAGGGAAGGAGGTATATCCTTGTGGCGAACTTGGTAACTCGTAGGATGCCCATTTTGATGTTGATGAGGAAGTGAAGTACGAAGATCATGGTGGTATGTACGCCGTGTATACGTAACAGACTCTAGACCGACATACAAATTCCATTAATATGATGTCACAACGCACAACCGGCTAATGCCGAGTAGACTAAGCGTATATGCCATCGGTAGCATCCGACATATTGAATAGATGCAGGCAAATGTTGTGGATTAGATACTAACTGTAAGAGCCATGTCGAATTTCACGAGTATATTGCCATCATTTCATTACTGCCAAATAGATGAAGACCAAGCATGTGCCAAGTGTAACAAGCAATAGAATACAACATGGAAGTAACCGATCCCGGCTGATGCTCATCGCGGAGAAAAAGAACCCGCATGTCTCAATGGATGATGACTACTAGCCCCCGGAATTTCCCCACGAAGCCCTGGTACTTTACAGTCGATATCGCCCTCTGCTTCAGACCATCGACTGTTGACAGTCTTCACCATGAAATACTTTCATCTTAGTTTCGTGGGTACCCAATTGCAGGTTGCCTTGGTTGGTCTGATTGTGGCACCTTCATTCGTTCTGTTTGGATACAATCAAGCTGTTCTTGGAAGTCTTCTCAGCCTGCCCAGTTGGGTTGCCGTCTTCCCTGAAATCGACACCATTCATACCACCGGAGCACAAAAGTCCCACAATTCAACATCTCAAGGGGCATGCAATGCCTCGTTTCAAATAGGATGTCTGATTGGGGCTCTGTCACTCTCGCTCTACGGAGAGAAACTCGGCCGTCGACGCACCGTCTTCATCGCAGCCATCATCACCGTCATCGGCCAGGCCCTGCAATGCTCCGCAACGACTCTGGTCCAGTTCGTCATCGGTCGAGTCATTCCGGTATTTGCCATCGGACAGACTAGTGGTACTGTTCCTGTCTGGCAGTCGGAATGTTCGTCCGCAAAGCATCGAGGCCAACATGTCATCTGCGACGGCATCTTCATCAGTACAGGCTATGCGTTGTGCAACTGGATCGACTTTGGATTCAGCTGGATTCCTTCTTCAACGGTGCAATGGAGAATCCCTCTCGTCGTCCCATTCCTCTTCTCTGCCGTTCTTCTCATCTTCGTCTTTTCTCTCCCAGAATCCCCTCGATGGCTCGTCTCCAAGGGCCGTGTTGAAGAGGCCACCCTCAGCCTTGCACAATATCGTGGAAAGCCGCATGAAGATGAAGCCATTTCAAGGGAAATTGCTGGAATTGAGCTGGCGTTTGAAAGCACTCAAGGTTCATCGTTAAAGGACATCTTCCGCAAAGACGACAAGACGCGTCTCCTATTTCGCTTCTGGCTGTGTATGGGCCTCAACTTCTTTCAACAGGCATGCGGTGGCAACCTCATCTCAGTGTACAGCTCGACCATCTTCCAGAATTACCTCGGGATGACTCCATCCACAGCCAAAATGCTCTCATCCTGTGTGTTCGTTTGGAAGACCCTCTGCTGTTTCATTTCCTTCTGGGCCATTGATCGCTGGGGGCGACGACTCTGCTTCATGATCAGTGGAGCTGGAATGGCCGTCTGCATGGCCGTCCTCGCCATCACGACCAGCTTCCACACCATCACGCACACCATGGCGATCGTCTATGTAGCCTTCATGTTCATCTTCAACAGCTTCTACCCCATCGGCTTCATGGGAGGCAATTTCCTCTACACGGCGGAAGTCGCCCCCGTTCGACTGCGAGCTGCGATTTCCTCGTTGGCCACTGCGAATCACTGGCTGTGGAACCTCGTGGTCGTGCTTGTAACTCCGGTTGCCATTGATACAATTGGATGTTTTTACTACGTCATCTACGCGTTGATCTCAGCATCTATTCCAGTGTGCATCTACCTGTTCTATCCAGAAACGATGAATCGAAACCTGGAGATGCTGGACCAGGTATTTGCCAATGCTTCATCTATCTGGCAGGTTGTTCCAATGGCACGGAATCTCCCGAATGGTGAAACCATTGTGCTAGACGAGAAGGAAAGAAAGGAAAAGGCCGATGCGGCTGGGGAAGTGGAAACGCGGGAATATGTGTGATGACATAGATGATTTACATTATACGCTAGAACTGGAAGTCAATTGTTGTATAAGATGTGTTGATAAATTTATCGAGTTATTATCCCTACTTTATGCTGACACCATTCGTATGCTGTATTGTAGACAGAATGACAGAGTGTGCTTAGAATCGTCCTCGACCATCTGTTTAAGGAAATGAATAATGCTTCACCAACCAAGTCAACGAAAGTCAGCAGGCGAGTCACGACTTGATGACCCATTTCTCCCCACATTGACAATACAACTGACGTTGTGTGCATTGCCAACGCGTCATCGGGACAGCCGATACAACGGATGCATCCGATACAGCAGATGGACCAATCAGTGCCTCGGTAATAATCGTGAATCAAATAAAAACATGCCTTGAGACAAGAATCACTCTGATGTATTTTTCGGTCAATGCAGCCATGTCGACCAAAATACTCACTCGTCCACGTCGGTGGAAACCCGTGCAGCAAATCAGAGGATTGGCGTCTGTCGGTTCTACAGCATCGCTGAGTCGACTCGAACTAAACCATGCAGTGGATTTGAGCAAATTCGTCCATAAAGTAGGATCATTGCGCGATCGGTATGTGTAATGTCCTTGTGCTATGGCCATACTGATAAGATAGGTTGAAACGCCCTCTGACCTACTCGGAAAAAGTCCTGTATAGCCATCTCGACGACGAATTCGACGAAAGTATCATCCGCGGCCAATCGCAGTTGAAACTACGGCCTCTCCGCATTGCCTGTCAAGATGCCACTGCTCAGATGGCCCTGATCCAGTTCATGTCGGCTGGACTGGAATCGACTGCTGTCCCTACAACGGTGCACTGCGACCACTTGATCGTTAGTCGAGATGGCGAGGCTCAGGATCTTCCCCGTGCACTGGATGCCCATCGCGAAGTCTATGAGTTCATGGAGAGTGCCTGTCAGAAATATAATATGGGATTCTGGAAACCTGGAGCAGGTATTATTCACCAGATTGTGTTGGAAAACTACGCCTTCCCCGGAGGAATGATGGTGGGAACGGATTCACATACGCCGAATGCAGGTGGAATGGGCATGATTGCGATAGGTGTCGGCGGTGCCGATGCCGTCGATGTGATGGCTGGACTGCCATTGGAATTGACAGCCCCGAAAGTGCTGGGAGTGAGACTGACCGGCCAACTGTCGCGATGGGCATCGCCAAAGGACATCATCAACACTGTCGCAGGAATGATCTCCGTCAAGGGAGGCACTGGATCCATCATCGAGTACTTTGGCCCTGGCGCAGCGACTCTATCGGCGACGGGAATGGCCACGGTGTGCAACATGGGCGCTGAAACAGGGGCAACAACGTCCGTCTTCCCGTATGCACCGCAGATGGCAGACTATCTGCATGCTAACAACCGCGCCGACATGGCAACCGCCGTGCAGCGTATATCTTCAGAGCTACGTGCCGATCAGGGAGCAGAGTATGATTGTGTCATCGACATTGATCTGTCCGCGCTGGAACCGAGAATCAACGGTCCCTTCACGCCAGATCTGTCTACTCCATTGTCCAAGTTTAGTGATGCTGTTGAAGGGAACGAATGGCCAGGCAAACTGACAGCGGGTCTGATTGGATCCTGTACAAATTCATCGTTCGAGGACATGGGCCGAGCAGCCAGTCTGGCCCAGCAGGCCTTGGATGCCGGGTTGAAGCCAAAGATGCCGCTGCTGGTTTCGCCTGGAAGTCTGCAAACCAGAGATACTCTGGAGAAGGCAGACATCCTGCAAGTGTTTGAGAAGTTGGGGGCGACGATGTTGCCAAATGCGTGTGGTCCTTGCTGTGGCTCGTGGGACAGAGTCGATATGCCAAAGGTGTGTATAGCTTCATATGATCAGACACATTCTAACCAGTACAGGGAACCAAAAACTCCATCATCACCTCGTACAACCGCAACTTCTCTGGTCGCCTCGATTCCAACCCGGCTACTCACGTCTTCCTGGCCTCCCCTGAAGTTGTCATGGGCAAGATCTTCTCCGACGATCTCTCTTTCGATCCCAGCGTCGACTCGATAACCACCCCATCTGGAAAGGAATTCCGCTTCATCCCTCCAACCGGTGATGCTCTTCCCCAACAAGGATACGAGGATTCGGACTCTGCATATGAAGGCCCTCCCACCGGCGACCGCAGCAATCTCGAAGTGCAGATCAGCCCATCATCCGATCGTCTACAGAAGCTGGCTCCTTTTGCTCCCTGGTCTGGCGAAGACTATACCAACTGTCTGATCCTGATCAAGACGAAGGGTAAATGTACAACAGATCATATCACACCTGCGGGTCCCTGGTTCCGCTATCGAGGCCATCTCGAGAACATCTCCAACAACACTTTGATCGGGGCTGTCAACGCGGAGACAGACAAAGTCAACACCGTTCACAACCAGCTCACCAACAACGACGGTGATGTCCCTGGGACCGCCCGTGACTATCAGTCTCACGGCCGACAATGGGTCGTCATCGCCGACCACAACTACGGCGAGGGTTCCTCTCGTGAACACGCCGCTCTGCAGCCGCGGTATCTCGGCGGTGTGGCCATTATCGCAAAGAGCTTCGCCCGCATTCACGAGGCGAACTTGAAGAAGCAGGGAATGCTGGCGTTGACCTTTGCAGATGAAGCCGACTATGATCGCATCAAGGCTTCGGATCTCATCAACATCACTGGTCTGGCATCGCTGGCACCAGGCCAGTCGTTGGCGCTGAAGGTGACGCCACAGGGAGGAGATGAATGGGAGGCGCGGTTGAATCACACATTTACGCCAGAGCAGATTGAGTATTTCAAGGCGGGCAGTGCGTTGAACTTGATGGCGAAGAAGAGCGGATGATCTGTAAATTATTCTTGTGTTAAGACAGGAGATAAAAAGTAGAGTGTATAGTTTCATGCGAAACTACTTCAGGGTAGACTATTTGTATAATTTCTGATGGATCAAACATGTAATACTGGCTTTTGTACAACTAGCTCTATAACAATATATAAACTACCCCCAGTGCATACAAATGTCTATTCATTCTTCCAGAAAATGCGCCCCTCAAACAGACGACGAGCCGTTCGAAAGACAGTCGCAAAGCTCAATCCACCATCAGCATCAAAGTCGGCGCCAACCAAGAGATTTCCACTCGCATGGCCAATGGAAATACCAGCGTCATCCACAGGGCTCTTGCTGGCCACATCTGCGACAATACTTCCAGGAACTCGTCCAGCAGCGGCCAACGCCAGGGCCACCGTAATGGGGACTGCCTTGTGAGGCTGTCCGACTGAAATGGCACGAACAAGCAGATCAACATCGGCAGATGTCTGCTTCTGCGCTTTGCTTCGTGCATCGGATGATGGTGTCGAAACGATACCGATCTTAGGAACACTGCCAGGGACCCGTGAGACTGTATCGGCCAGACCCATCTGGACCCCAGCGTGGCGACGGATCGAATCCAATCTCAACAGCAGATCTGGGTGGGCGGAGATTTCATCGGGAGATATATTGCCTTCAACGCCCAGATCCGCAGCTCGAACGAATGTGCATGGATTGGCGACGTCGATGCAGGTGGCTAAGACGCCATCGAAGGTGTCGGTGGCGTTGCCAGTGGGCAACAATTTCCCGGTCGCAGATCCAGCAGGATTGACAAAGTCGAGTTGGACACGAGCAGCAGTTCCAGCGACGCCATCGATGGAGAAATCACCACTTGACGCAGCCTCACCGTCGACAACGGGAAATGTCGCGTTGATAATCTTGCCCGAGTTGGTGTTGTGGATGCGCACTGAGGCGGTTTCAGGATCATTCAACGTGACCAATTTGGAATCCACGGCGAATGGACCAACAGCACTGATCATGTTGCCACAGTTGCTGGAGTAATCCACCTCGGTATTCTTTACCCCCAGCGAGACAAAGGTGTAGTCGATATCCGCATCCGGATGGGTCGACTTGCCCACGACGCATACTTTGGACAGACTGGAGATGCCGCCGCCCAGTCCATCGAGTTGACGGCCATATGGATCAGGGCTCCCGATGACGCCGCGGAAGATGCTATCCCAGTCTGATCGACGGGCAGGGAGGTCATCTTGTTTGAAGAAGACAGCGCGAGAGGTGCCTCCGCGGTAGTAGGCAGCGGGGAGAGAATGTTGGATCTTGGTGACGCTGGATAGAGAGCGTCGACCAATGCCGGATAAAGGAAGATGAGATAATGATTGTCTGAACATGGTGATGGTTGCTGGTTGATGGGTCGTCGATGCAGAATAAAAGCAGAGTTGGACCATCGGATGCATCCGATGGCCTATCCGTGTGTATGCTGGCTGTGAAATAGACTGCCAAAATAATCGCCCATGTTGACCATTGATAATCGATTCGATTCGAAAAATGGTTGAATGAAATTAGAAGAATGCATTACTCGATAGCTACTATAAAATGAAAGTAATTATGTATTTATATTCCTCGATAAGTTCAACACCTCTGCATGCCAGGCATGCTACCGAAGGCACGCAACACGAGGTCACACAATATCCAGAACTGGCCGTTATGCGCCATCGGCCTACTCAGCGTAGTTATTCTTAACATACTCTTGCGCATCACGTTCCAGCTTTCTCTTATCGAGAAAGTCCCGGCCCTTTGTTTCGGCAATCTTGACAGCGAAAGCACCAGCCGCCCCAGCAAGAAACTCCTTTGCCTTTGAATGACTCACTTCGCCTAGAGACTGTCAGGTACTTTTCTGCTGTATGAATTCTAAAAGATCCAACTTACCACCTGCAGCAGCTTTATGATCTTCCCATGCTTTGGAAGCCTCATATGCGGCTGCACCAGCAATAAGTTCATGAGAAAGATGCGCTTGATTCCCTTCCTCGGCATTCACAACCTTCTCGTAGTCCTCCTCTGTACCCGAATTGTCAAAGTCTGTTGAAACCAGCGAGTGTCGGGCGAATATATCTTACCGTGATGGCTGAAAAGACCCATGGTGATGATTTCGAAGTGGTTTTTGCTTGTTCCTGAATAAGTGTATTTGGCTTCCAAGAACCATGGATCAGGGAAGGAGGGGGTGTTATAAGGCTGCCGTCTCTCAGCTAAGTTTGTCTTCAGCTCCCTATACCCCTCTTTACCCCACCTTGGATAAATGACGTGCCACGTCGCCTCTTGGCTGTTTATCCTGTTTGCATAAACTCTATATTTCATTGGGATCGACATTGGTTCCGAACATGCAATTGTATAGCAGCCGTCCCCTTTTTAAACCATGCGTTATGTAAGCTGCCCACCCATTCTTCCTGAACAGCCGGAATCGACGACAAGAAACTGCTTCTCTTCGCCGCGTCCTCAGCTGGTGGAAGAGTATGGACTTCTCCACTGGTGAAGACCTTCTGGTAGAAATCCAATAATCGGACTGCCAGGTTGCGACTGGGTGAAAGACCTGAAGTCGCTCGTCTGGGCGGTTATCGTCGAGAGCCAGATCCACCAGGACACCACGAAGAAGATCGACGGGAACCCAGTCAATGTGAGTCAAACGTGTCCCTAGCGTGTCTGGCATGGCCCCCTGTGTATTGAACCAAGGACAAGACTCAGCAACCAGTGTGACTCCAGATGGCTTGGGATTGAGTTGCACCGGGAGTATATGTCGACCTGGGTATGAAGATGGGAAGAAAAGCTGGTCACTGGCATACTTGAGGAGATGCTCTGCAATGTGAATACTTTCCATGTAGCCGTTTACAATGGGCGTCTTTGTTTCCACCCCTTGCTCAGGGATCTTCAAAGACGAATTCCAATAGCTCAGGGTGGAACCAATGCCCGAGACCAAAATAAGCGTGGCAGCGCGGTGGCCGCGGCACAGAAACGTAGGAGGCTGACTACGCCGATGAGCTGCGGCTGAATTGAGCTACAAGCCCAGCTCATGTTGGTTGGCCAGGCATTATGAAGAACGAGGGTTATATCACTGCACAACCTCTCAAAGATATCTGGTTGAAGATTGAAGTTCTCCGGTGTTAGATCGACTCGGAGGAATGTACACGAGAAGAGTCAACATTGCCATTCACTTGTCTACTATCACTTTCTTTTCTCCGAGTGAGCTGAAAAATTGTAATCGGTGCCAGCAACGCAATAATATGGGCCACGGAGGAATGCTTCAGCAATAGATCAATATATGGGCTGTCGGTGAGCAGAAAATGGTGTAGAGGTTGAGGCAATCATGACTGTGCCAAATGGAATGGCATTCATTAAATGCATGGCAAGATAGGCTCCCTCGCATATGACTTAGCCTCATTCTGCTGGCAATGAAGGTATAGCTGTGATCTTACATGAAATGGAGGCGGCATCGCAAAGACTCGCCTCCCAAAGAACAGCATGTTCTGGCCTCATAGCCTGGCGGTGGCTGCATGGAGAAAATCGTCATTCCCTTCGATGCGGTGCCATGGTTCGGGCAACCCTGTAGACCCGAGGTATGGATAACCAGCAGTGGGTCTGAGGCAGCTTGTGACAACATCTTGGAATATGGGAATCGTGGATATTCCTTGTCGAGAAGTACCACCGCATCTGGGATCTCAAGGGCCCGTAGAGGATGCTCGTCGAGAATAGCCTTTGTTGCAACAGGTTGAGGGGCTGGTGTGATGATGGCCCAGCACTGCAGTTGCTGAAGAAGTTCGACTTGAACTCCGACACTGTTGCGCGGCGATGGAAAGAACATCTACTACAGCTTTAGTAGCGACTCCAATATCGTCCCTTCTAACATATACAGTTCAGGTCTTCACAGCTGCGAGTGTCAGAACAGAGTATCTCACATTATTCGGGCCGATATACACAAGGTTCTCAAAGTTGCTTCCCTCCCAAATACTACCAAGCAACCCTTTTGGCTACTCCGATAATGGCATTTGCCAGGCCACGGTATGTAACATTGAAATATCCATGATTGTAGCTAGAGGGGGGGCTTGGGATACTCTGCGTATAGAACATCAGGTGTCGCACCAGCATGATGATCAACGATATAGGGCAAGATGTGGTCTCTCGGGTCGAATACACAGTGCTCACATAAAGACACCTTGTTTAAATGTTGGCTACACACGACCGTCCTAGACCTCCTCGTCGCACTGAATCCATTTTAACTCGCCTAGGGAAAGCCGATAGTTTCATATGATGGCGATGGGAGTTTGCGGATTGGGGTGTTTCCTCGATACTCGCCTGAGAACGTTCAGTTAGTCGAAATTATATTGGAAAAAATACATGTCCTTCGGGATAGTTGTTTATCAGCGTGGAGGGTATTCCTGGGAACCAGGTACATCTATAGTGTGACGTGTAGACTGCCTAGACTGTGCCGATCTGCCTTGAAAACATCAATTCAAATGGTTACAGATCGATGACAGTCATCTGATGCGGGTAGCATTAAACCTTTCATCTCACCTAGCATTGCAGGCATAATATGTTGTGTCACAATATGCCCATTTCCTGGCATTTACTAATGTGGTAGAGTATCCACACACCGCCATTTACGGGGGTTGTGGTGAATCTCAGTCACTGACTTCAAAGTCAGAAATGCAAGGATGGTTGAACCATTTTGGAATTCGGAGCCAGGGAGTTCTACGTGGCTACCTTTGATGGGGTCAAAGGTACGTGATATATATCGGCTCTTCAGTTCTTCTGTGTGGCTCTGGATCTGTCGACTATGGCTTGTATGTCGCGTAACCTTTCTGTCCAGCCCAGACTTCCAGCTTTGCAAGATGTCCTGATACAATTCGAACAGTCTCTTTTCGCTCATGTGTATACATGGGGCAATTTATCTTCTGACAGTTTCTCTGTCAACAACACTGGTTCCTACGCTTTTGCTCATCAACAAGTCCCTTCGGCTGCAAGGCTCTCTTGTTGCTTTCAATGGTGATATTGCCGAATTGTTCCAATTCTGTGCTGATATAGTAATTGCACCTGCGGTAGTAAATTTCTCCCTTTCAAGCAAATATGAGTAATATAAGCTTGGGAAATGATACCGTGTAACTAGATGAATGAGTCTTTGTCATGCCAAAGAATTGGGTCATAGCTGGGGAGACACTTGGCAGGTTGAGCAGGGTTTGAAGAGGCATTGAGCCCCCTTACATCCCATCCGCCGCTCCATTGTGTCATATGGGAAACAAGGTGCGTAATAGCAAAGGGTGAACAATTTTTATCTTGTAGGAAATGGACGTAACTTGACCTTTTCTGAGGAGACTCGAAAAGGTTTCATTCTTTTCTAGGAAGACTTCGTCTACTCCAGGAATTATGCTCTCCACCACAGCCAGTCTGTTCCGCATTGTCGAACATGTTGTCCCTTGTCAACATATCAGAGAATACCCCGCCGCCACAGCTGAAGAACAGGAAGACGTTCTGCATCTGGCTGTAAAGCAGTATATCCCACTCGACAATCTGAACCCACAGCCTGGTGATATGACCATTCTGGCTGCACATGGCAATGGTTTCCACAAGGTATGTCAATTATGCAATGGCTATACTTCAAGGTGTTTTGAATAGATCCCGACCCATGACTTAGCATGCACCGCTCAAATGTATCATAGGAGCTTTACGAGCCCTTTTGGGAAGAGATATATAAACGTTTACAGACACCTGGAGTACGGATCAGGGGCATATGGATGGCGGATGTCGCCATTTAGGGCCAAAGTGGTATTATGAATGAGAACCTTCTTGGGAATGACCGTAAGTCTGCTTCACTGTGCTATTTCTATCTAAACTAGGGACTTGGGACTCACAGCCACAGCAAGCTACTTTGATCATTCTCGGGATCTTCTTCATCTAGTCAACATGAAGCGATCCGAGATGCCACAGCCTATTGTTGGCATTGGACACAGCATGGGGGGTGCACATATGTAATAAACCCATCACACCATTTGCGATTTGCCATCTGATAGAAGAATTAGAGCAAACCTCAGCCTGATGCATCCTCGCCTACTGCACAGCCTCGTTCTTATCGACCCAGTCATGCAACGACACAGAACAAAGGTTGATGGCCACTACTTCCAGCTGAAGGATATATTCATTGAGATGATACGACTATCTACATACCGGCGAGATCGTTGGCCCTCGAGGGAGGTAGCAGCAGACAGCTTCAAACGGAATGCAATGTACCAGACATGGGACCCGCGCGTGTTGGAAAAATGGGTGCATTACGGACTGCGTGATCTGCCAACAGCAATACATCCCCTCAGCAAGGAGCAGATGGACCAGAGTCCCGGGAAAGGGCCACCGGTGACACTGGCGACAACATTGCATCAGGAGGCCTTTTGCTTCGTGCGACCCACGTATGATGGTAGCAGCCGACTATATCCTGATATTGATCCCACGGGTCTCAGTGACATCCCCTTCTACCGGCCTGAACCATCACAAATATTCGAGCAGCTTCCTCATCTACGGCCGAGTGTGCTCTATATATTCGGAGGCAAGTCCCCCATGGGTATCTCTGCCTTACGCGCTGACAAGGTCCGTACTACGGGCACCGGCGTTGGCGGCAGTGGCGGGGTCGATTCAGGCAGAGTCCGACAAGTTCTCCTTGAGCGACTTGGCCATTTTATCCCACAAGAGGATCCCAATGAGTGTGCGGAGTCGGCTGCTGAATGGCTGGGTCCTGAGATACGTCGTTGGCATGATGAGCATGAAACTTTCCGCTCTGCGCGGCGGCACAAGAGCAAGATTGAAAAGGTTATCATCGATAGGCAGTGGAAGGAGAAATTGCCTGTCCCAGGTACCCGCTCAAAAGAGTCAAAAAGCGATCCATCCTCAAAGCTGTGAAAGCAACCTTCTCCGTCAAGGATCCTTACATTTAAATGGAGGTTTCATAGTTGTACATTTCAAATCCGAATGGGTATATAGTAACGGAAATTAGACAGTGAATGTCACAAATACCATTTATAGAGGAGAGCTTTTCAAAGGATCCCTCACCAGAAATCGGAACTGCCAATGTCCAATCATTCACAACAATATGGCAGAGATAACACTCGCTAGTAGGCTAACAACCGTAGCGATAAACACCCCCTTCCACCGACGACCAAATGGGCGCTGGCCCTTTGCTTTCCAATATTGCACTATTTCCCTCAAAGTGTACATCAACCGGCTATAGATGGAAAGTATGTTTCTTCGGTATGAAATAGTAATTCCACGCATACGGGCTGTTTCATCTGGTACTCGGAATTGATATCCGCCCCAATATGGTAAGCTTTCTGCTGCCCTGCTTGCCGCTTTCTTAACATCCTACGATGAATGCTGGCTCCACCGTTACGTTGGTTGCACCAGGGCCCAGATTGACGCAATCTATCTTTTGCGAAGACTACTATTAGGCAGTGCCACTGCAGTGGAATGCCTTGATCATCTCCAATATATTTCCTCACGAGAAAAATCTCGCAGTGATGGCCAGCTACCCGGGACGGCGGATGCATCCGATAAAGATCCTTTTAGTTTAGACACAAACCATGAACCGGACTTTCAAAAATGAAGGACCCTGCCAGAGCCTGGGACACTTCGGATAGACCGATTACCCCAGATTTCGAATCCAGGGTGGAGGATCTGGGGTAATGACAGCTTGGATATTTAAGAACATGGCCTCATCTGTATAATTGGAGAATAATAAACGCATTCATAATGGCCAACACCAAACCCTCCCTCACAAAATACATCCACGCCATCAAAGACTCTCCAAGAGAGATCTTCAATCGGCATCTCTTCCTGGCGGTGTGCGCTTTTGCCATGGGCGGATGTGCCAAGGGTATTTCACCGTTCAGCTCTATATATACGGTGGCTAATGTATACAGGATGGGATGAAGGATCTGCGTCGGCCATTTCGCAACTTCCTTCCTTCAAGCATCGATATGGCCTCGACGACGATAGAACTTCTAATATTGTCTCTCTCGTCAACCTCGGAGCTGGAGTCGGTGCTCTTTTATCCTTTCTATTGAACGACCGAATTGGCCGCATCTGGTCGATGCGAATCTACCAGCTAGTCTACATCGCCGGTTCTCTCGTCTCCTGCTTCTCATCTGGCCATCTTGCTGCTCTCTACGTTGGCCGTCTTGTTGCTGGGCTGGGAATCGGAGCCTTGACGGTAGTGTGTCCCATGGCCATTGCTGAAATCGCCCCCAGCACGACGAGAGGATTGATGACTCTCTGGTTCAACGTCTGGATGCTTTCCGGTCAGGCGCTGGGTATTTTCACTGTGTATGGCTGCTCCATCCATATCTCGTCCACCACAGATTTGCAATATCAAATACCCTGGTTCACGCAGACATTCGTTCCGGCCATCAGCATCGCCCTATCCTTCCTGATCGTTGAATCTCCCCGTTGGCTGCTCATGAATGATAAACACCAGCAATACCTTTCAGCTCTCACACATCTTCGTGGTCTCCCATCCACGGCATCTTATGTGGACAATGAATTCAACGGCATGCTCTCGCAGATTGAAGATAGAAACTCCGGACTCGGACATGTCAGTTCTATCCAGATTGTGAAAGAAACACTCTTGGTCCGGTCCAATCTGCGTCGAGTCCAACTCACATTGGTCGCCTACATCCTCGCCCAAATGTCCGGTGCCAACGCCATCACGAACTATCTCCCTACTATATTCGGCCTGGTTGGTATACAGGGATCCAGTGTGAAGCTTTATACAACTGGCTTCTACAGTGTTACCAAGCTGGTCTGCTGCATTGCTGCGTCTCTCGTTCTGGTTGATGTTGTCGGCCGTCGCAAGTCCCTGATGATCGGCGCTACCATTCAGATCGTCTGCCATTCTTACCTTGCGGGATATCTCAACTTTTACCTCACGGACTCCGACACTGTGAGCAAAGGAGCATCCGATGCGGCCATCGCCCTCATCTTCATCCACGCTCTCGGCTGGGCCATTGGGCTGTACAGTCTACCTTATCTTTTTGGGGCAGAACTCTGGCCAAACCGCATTCGATCTTTCGGGGGTGCATTATCGCAGTGCTTCCACTGGCTGTTCTACTTTGCCATTACCAAGGCTACCCCATCTATGCTGGAGAATATGGATCAATGGGGTGCCTTTGTTCTGTTTGCCGGTTTCTGTTTTGCCGCTATCGTGTATACATACTTTCTTGTGCCAGAAACCAGTGGGCTGAGTCTGGAGGAGATTAACAAGATTTTTGAGCGTCCTTGGTATCGGCTGCGACTGCCTTTGGATCAGACTATCTCCGATGAGTGAGTATCTCCGTCTGATGTATGTTTCTTGCTAACATTGATAGATCAACTGAGCCCCGAACAGACAGGAAGAGTGAGGAAACGTGGATTGAAAAGGTGTGATAGAGTTGAAATTATATAATCTGAATCTAAAGGCAAAATGGCTACTTTCGCAGCCTCTGAATAGTTGGGCCCATTTTCTCTCCAGCACACAAAGCAGCGAAGGTCTTCTCGTCTACTTCCCATCGTTCCTGGCACAATTCAATAGTATTCTGGATGAGAGAAGGCGGAACAACGACAACCCCATTTTCATCTCCAACCAAGATGTCATTTGGATGAATCCAGAGATCGCCTTTGAACTGAAGAGGGACGTTGATCTCAGACGCCCGAGTGAAGGTATTCGATCCTAGAACAGACGTTCCTCGCGCAAAGACCTGCATTGTCAGTATGAACCATGTCTGCTATGCTTATTACTTACCGGGAACTTCAAATCCTTGTGCTCTTGAACATCTCTCATTCTCCCATCGATAATCACCCCCTGGCCTCCCATTTTCTGGGCTCTCGTAGACATTAATCCTCCCCAGCACGCTGAATACAGCCCCTTTGGCTGTTGGATGTACATGATATGTCCCTCCTTGTTAGCATCCGCAAAATGCACATCAGGCTTCGGTCCGGGACTGTTGGTTTCGACCATTTTGACGGTCACGGCAGGTCCGTAAATGCTGGTTCCAGGTCCAGGGGAGAACATTTTGAGGCCATCAAGGAAGCCGCCATACGGCTGTTTGAGCTTGACGAGGGCATCGCCGATCTAGATTGTTAGTGGGATTTTGGAATAGGAGAGACTGTACGTACATCACAAGTTGAAAAACGTTTGAGGTGTTGCAGACCTTTACTCAGAGTGGCCATGGTTATTGCTGTTTATCTGGTTGAATTGATCGAGCGTTATTGGATTCACATGGATTTGTTGGATGTTGAAGAGTGACTCGGATCCATCCGCTGTGATCCAGTCGGGGTGGATCGGAACAGCCGATGAGCATCACGACGGTCACAGCAATATGGTATATGAGTGTATATTCTCTTTCCACTCATGAGATGCAATCAATTATTGTTCAATCTATACAGTGGAATTATGACACTCAATATGTCGCCGCAACCTCAGAAAAGAGAAATCAAATTCAGCACTTTGCTGTGTGAGTACTTCCGATGGTATTATTGGGCCATTACTAACTGTTATATAGTGGGAGGTGGTTTGAACATGTTCGAGTATGTATTTGTACCTCATTATAGACTGATATTAACTCGACAGGGTCACATCATTAGGACAGCCCCTCGAAGTGATTAAAACAACAATGGCAGCAAATCGTGGCGACTCATTCGCTGCTTCATTAAAGAGAATTTGGGCCCGCGGTGGATTTCTTGGATGTACGGACACCTCCGTCGATCTATTACCATAGCTGACCGTATCAGTCTACCAAGGCTTGATCCCCTGGGCCTGGATCGAAGCCTCATCCAAAGGTGCTGTCCTACTCTTTGTCGCGAGTGAGACAGACTACGGCATGAAAAGACTAGGATTCAGCAGCTTTGGAGCAGGCATCACCAGTGGCATGGTGGGTGGTCTGGCACAGGCATACGCAACGGTCGGATTCTGTACATGCATGAAGACAGCCGAAATCACCAAGCACAAAGTCGCAGAGGCTGGTGGAAAGCCCCCATCCACTTGGAATACGTTCATGAACATCTACCAGAAGGAAGGAATCCGGGGGATAAACAAAGGAGTCAATGCGGTCGCTATTCGACAAGTCACCAACTGGGGGTCACGATTTGGATTGTCCAGACTGGCAGAAAATGCCATTCGCTCCGTGACTGGGAAACAGGATACACAGACACAGAAGTTGAATCCATTTGAGAAGATCCTCGCATCTGGTTTGGGCGGCGGACTGTCTGCGTGGAATCAGCCGATCGAAGTGGTGCGAGTGGAAATGCAGAGTTTAAAGGCAGACCCAAGTCGACCGAAGAACATGAATATGCTGTCTGCTGTGAAGTATATCTATAACCAGAATGGCATTGGGGGGCTATACCGCGGTGTGACCCCTCGGATTGGATTGGGGATTTGGCAGACAGTATGCATGGTTGCACTGGGTGATATGTAAGCGCCCCACGATGATGGTATACATGATGCTGACTTTCATAGGGCCAAGGAGGCTGCAGATAGGTTCACCGGTGGGAGATAGAATGTTGATGGTTTATTGTACAGTATAATACATGCATCCCTGAGCATGAATAGATATAGATGAGACGTTCACGATAGAAAGCTCCACACATCTGTAGACCCCATATCGAATCCTTCCACGAATAGATCAGCCCAAGGCAAGTCGACTCGTATATCAGGGAAATGTGGCGATATCCCCTGGGCATCTTCTCCAAGCACCTCATTTCTTGCCGGCGTGGCAAATGTATGTGTTTGTAGACCAAACCAGGACTGGAACTCGGTATCGACTTCATCTCCTGGTGCCTCTACGTCGTCGAAAAGAGTCAGGATGGAGTTACCCAGTCGTTCGACAATATTAGAGCACTTTTCACCGACCGCGCGACCGTTGGAAATCCCGCGGAACAGAGTGAGGAATGTGAAGATATTGGTTTGCACCACCGGTCTGGTCAATTCCTGCCGTAGTGGTGGCGATGCTCGCAATGCATACAGCATAGAGACTGCAGCCATAAAGAGAGAGTGAATAGCCACAAATGTATATTTAATTCGATTTCTCGCGTAGAGACCACTGTACGAACTGATCAAACCAATGGCAGATTCCGTGCAGACTCGAAGATCATCAGATGAGGGCATTGGAGCAGCACGAGATGGTCGATAGAGAGATAGGACAGCATGATGAAAGGCAATTTGAAACCACTCCATGGATTGAAAGGTAGACAGAGTATTGATGTATCGTGGAGCTGTGATCAGCCACTGGTTGAGCTCAGAATAATAACAGTTTCGTATGATATCCAGCTCTGTGGGCTCAGACAAGGTGCACCCGATCGAATGGAAGGATCTGTATACTCCTGCGTTTATTTTTCGCAGCTTAATGATATGGATAAAGGTTGATGTATCGGTGACTTGAGGGATTGTTGTCCGAGAGAGATCAGGGAATTCAGCTGAATAGCTCAGTTCATCGTCTGTCAACTGCAATGGCAACGGCATTGTGATATCAGATTCCTGAATCCCTAATGGTCGACCCATGTTGATGGCCATGCTGCAGTTCATCACATAGGCGCTCCAAAATATTCGTTTGGACATTTCAGTAACAAGTAGATTTTGGCCAGACAGACTCTCCTTGCGGTGAAGGTCGATGCCAATGGCTAAATGCAGAGCCAGGCCGGTTGTATACCACATATTGACTGATTGGGGCTCATTGTGGCCGTACATGCAGAGTAGGAGCAGGCATTGCACGCATTCAAAATCGGCAATGCCCATGATGACATGCAAGACTTTTTTTGCTTCGTTGAAGAATTGTCGATGAATACTACCATTGCCTTGCTGGATCCACGACTTTTCAGTTGCTGCAATGGCACACACGATGTTAACCAGAAAGCTGGATGTCGAACTTGCATTCGAGTCGACGAGAAATGGCGTCAAATGCTCATTAACGAAGCTGGGTTTGTGCAGCACCGGCAGATAAGGCCAGCGGCGATCAAAGAATATATTGACCAAGCTGCCATAGGCATCACAGTCGAATTCTGTCGTGATCGCAGTCGTCTGAGAAGACTCGTCCAGATGCACCGGGTCATCTCCCCATAGTTCCCACGCACTGCTCAAAGTACTCCCGTTGATATCTTTGGCATTCGGCCTATGAGAGAAGGTTGGTCGAAGAATACGGCCACAATAGCGAATATCTGGATTGATTTGCACATCCTCTTGGTGAGAAGAGGTCACCGGAATTTTGTCCTGCTGCGGATTATCTGCAACAGGATCTGGTAGTGGTGCAGGTGTTGATCCTTGTAAACCAGGCTCAATACCGCTAGCCTGAAAGACTTCAAGTCGCTCTACTTTTAACCGTTCATACTCTTCGAGAAGGGCATTATATCGATGCCCAGCCGTCTCCAGCTGTCCTCGAAGCAGATCACAGTCGCAATTTGAATTCATCGGCTGAATCATCAACCGGTCAGACAACACACAGTGGGCTCCAACAGCTGCGCAGGCACCACATGTTGGAGTTCTTCCGTCGCACTTGAACTCTATTAGCTAAAGGTGAATAGGTCAGATACAACTAAGAACTACCTTTTGCTTTCGTCGCCTGCACCGTTGACAAGCAGCAGCACTGCGAGTGAGCCCACGACGATGGCGTCGGGGAACCGAATTTGGCGACTGCTCGGTCATCGTCCTGGCACTAGAGAGAGCATTGTCAACTGGGCCTCATTGACAATCACTTTAGATGTCTGATTATGCCAGGTTAGATGCGGAATATCTGTAGGAAAGATTGAGGAAGAACAAGGATGCAGGAAGGCAGAAATCAAGATGCAGCTGTTTCTTGGCATTGCTGACAAATCATCCCCGGATTTGTGGGGTTGACTGGCCTATAGACGGCCAAGGGACTGTCAGCTAGAAGCCATGGGCAGGCCTTCATAGCATCATTTACAAAACTCCATTTAGAATCACACTCATAACGCTTTATATTTCTATAATTGACTGCTAATGGTATAATCGTCTAGGATTGTGCTTGACCATCTTCTCCCACGCCTCACTGCCCATCCAGCAGCGTAGATTCCGCAAGATTCCATCGTCGTCAATGAACCGAAATGGCTCCTTGACACTCAAGGCCATCTCTTTCACCCTGTTATGTCCATCTCCTGTATGTGGCCAATCACTACCCCAGATAACCTGGTCGGGAATCTCTTTTGCAAATGCTTGTATGATAGACTGCATGTCTCTAAAATTCGATACACTTTCATTCGACATACGGTATAGTCCGGATATTTTGACGATAACGCGAGACTGTTTGGCCAGTGATAAGAGAGATTTGAATCCTGGTTGTAAGATGGGTGATGACTGATATTCAGATGACAGTTTCGATGGACCCAAAACACCGCCGAGATGGTCTGCAATGACGGTGACAGGGAGGGCAAGGATATGATCATGCAGAACTATACACGTCAGCTTATTAATATACAAATACACAGGACACGAATACCGACCATCCCATGTCCATGCAGGAATGAATAACTGTATCATCCAGCCAGGCAGATGGCTAATACGTCGAGCAGCCTGTTGTAGAAGAGCCACCAATTTCGACAGATCAACTTCCTTTCCATCTGCTTGAAAATTCAACCGGATACCTCGTGCCCCGAGTTGATGCATATGTTCAAGTTCCTCATCTGTAATGGTTTCCAAATCGATCACCACAATAGCGTAAGCTGTTACTTCTCGATCTTTCAGCTCTTGCAGACAATGCATCAACACGGTACAATCGGTCTTGTATGGAGATGGCTGCACAAGAACAAGTGTTCCATTCTGAGTATTTGCGGCTATATTTTTATTGAATGCGATGAGTTTCTGCAAAGGAGCATCTTCCGGAGTATATGCGCGACCATCGGCATATGGGCCCAGTTTGGGGTCAAAGACGTGGACATGAGTATCAAAGGCACCGGGCGGGAGGAGGTGTAATCTAGGAAAATTAGATTTGGGAATTTGAGGTTGTCGATTATCATACCGGTTTGCGGGGGCTTTTGTAGCTATCCCTTTGTTGGTCGAATTGATGGTGAGTGTGGTGGACATTGATGCGTTTATGCAATCTTTAGTGTGGAAATATATCTTTGACCGGGAACCGAACTTGCTCAATAAAAAGTGTTTATTTAGCATAACCAGGTTGACCAGACCTTTCCTAAGTTGAATTTACCTTCTGGACGATATACCAAAATCTGTCGGTCAATGTGCTCGCAATATGGTGAAGTCATGACCATCGGAAGGGCCGATGCGCTCGAACATGGGAATTCTGCGACAAATGATCGTGTCGGATGCATCCGATGGGCAACAATGCCAACTTACACAAGATCGACCATTAATGTTGCCGAATAAATTGGTTCGAGAATGGATTGAAAAGCAGCTTTGACCTGGAATTAATTCCGACCGATTATTACTGGAATGAAAATGGCTCTACAGACTACAGCGATTCAACCCAGACTTCAAAATGGGACAGAGAGAAGGGCAATTCCATATAGGAATTTGGCCGTGGGAGCATTCATGAATATTTTTCAAGGTATTTGCTTCCAATATATATAGAATAATGGTCTAACTGGTATAGTGTCTACACTTGGACAGCCAATGGAAGTACTGAAGACACATGTACGTTTACAGAATGCTGCCTGCAATATCTTACTAATAATGACCAGCTGGCAGCAAACAGACACGACACATTGAAAGATGCAGTGCAGAAAACATGGGCTCGTGGAGGGAGTGCTGCCTTTTACCAGGGTTTGATTCCATGGGTATGATCGACATGTCTATAACTCAGGATGATATTGACGTATGCAGGCCTGGCTGGAAGCCTCCACCAAAGGAGCCATTCTCATCCTTACATCGAGTGAGATTGAGTATCACGCAAAGACCAAATTCGGTGCTTCTCCTACTGCATGTGGTATATTGGGCGGCATTGGCGGTGGTATCGCTCAATCATATTTAACCATGGGCATGACAACCTGCATGAAAACAGTCGAAGTGACTCGCACCAAGATGACTGCTGAAGGAGCCAGAGTGCCTGGTGCCATGGAGACATTCTTTAACATTCTCAGAGAAAAAGGAATACGCGGTGTCAATAAGGGAGTCAACGCGGTGGCTCTGCGCCAGGTTACCGGGTGGTCATCACGGATTGGCATATCTCGGTTTGCCGAAGAGAGTATTCAGACTGTCAGTGGGAGGCCGAAAGAGGAAAAGTTGATGATTGGAGAGAAGATCCTGGCATCGACGATTGGTGGTGCTTTGAGTTGCTGGAATCAGCCATTCGAGGTATGTTTCATCATGTCATTTATGATCGACACTGACAGTCTAGGTCCTCCGCGTGGAAATGCAATCCATGAAGAAAGACCCAACCCGTCCAGCATCTCCAACTATTGTCTCCACCTTCAGGCATATTGTTGCTACGTCCGGTGTTAAAGGTCTCTTCCGAGGAGTGGTCCCTCGCATTGGCGTGGCGGCATGGGCTACGATCTGCATGGTGGGATTTGGTGATACCGTCAAGGAACTGGTAAATCGGAAGTAATCATCTTTTATCATACCATAGATATTTTTGCCAATTGTCTAATTATCGCTTCGAGACGCCAATCTGAAATGTGAAGACGAGGTCTGTTTTGAACCTGGCAGGGATGAATCTATAGATTTGAGAAATGACAGATTAGAAGATGTAGAGCGGGAAGAATCTTACCGGTAGAGGTTTAAACTGGCTAGCATGACGATGAGGGTGTATTGTAGACAGAATAAGACAGTCAATGGCTGGAATAAACAGGCTGTCTGTCTGTCTCGTAGTCGATCAACCACCTCCGAACTGAATTTATCCGGAAGTCGTTGGATTTGATCATCGTTGATGATGATGGGCCCCGTATAATATACTAGAAGCTTTTTCAGCAGCTCTTCACCATTTCTATATTTTCAACAGCCGCCTCTATCGTTCTGTATGTGAGAATGAATTGTATCTTCGATTGCTCAATGGACAGATACCGAATGATATCCTTGCCACGTTTCACATTCCCAACCACCGCAATCAACACTTCTTCGTCGATACTGGCTCCATAGCTGAGAAGAAGCCTGAGTACAGTGATGCTGGCAAAGGGCTGTGCTGCAACTATTCCCATGGTTTGTTGACAGTTACAGGTTGCCTGGCTCTAAAAACACGAAAATCAACCGTGTCTCTGTCATAGAGGATGGGAATAATATGACATGTCAGCTTGAGGTGGGATATTATAACCCAGCCTTGTAATTTAGCCGCCAGGGCAAGTGCAGGGATTTAAGCGCCGACTGATAATCATGTTCATTGCTATATATAGCTAGTCCAAGCAAACTATACCACAGCACCGACCGTGAATACTACTTCATATGATGATAAGGATGAAGGAATAAGAAATCTATATTAAATCTAGATCTATGCAGTATATCTAGTTAGCCTTGGCCACATGCTCGTAGAAAGCCTTTCCTTGGGCCTCGGCGATCGACAATTCCAGCTCGGTGGGCTGGCGAGAGCCATCGGCGCCCTGCAGTATATTAGCTTCAATTCCAGCATATAGAAGATCATCAGACTTACAGCAAAAGTACCAGCACCCCAAGGGCTGCCACCGTGGACCTCACTGAGGTTGGACAGCTGGGCAAAGGTAGTCTTGTAACCCAAAGGAACGTAGATCAATCCGTGGTGAGCCAAGGTGCTCATGGCAGCAATGGCAGTCGATTCCTGGCCACCACCGAGAGTGCCAGTCGAGATGAAGAGACCAGCGTATTTACCCCAGTAGCCACCAGTAGCCCAGATACCGCCGGTCTGATCCCAGAATACCTTCCATTGGGCGGGGAAGTTACCGTAGCGGGTGGGGATACCGAAGAGGACGGCGTCGTACTCGAGGAGGGTCTGGGGGGTGGCTTCGGGGTAGTTGGCCTTGGGAGCGGCGTACATCTTGGCAAGAACTTCCTGGGAGAGGGTTTCGGGGATTCTGTTGACATATTAGTATAGTTCATTGGTGATGGTGAACGAGACATACTGGTAAATGTCTGCGCTACCACCGGCAGCTTCGATGCCCTTCTTCTCTGCCTCGGCCAGCTTGACAATGTGGCCGTAGGTGGAGTAGTAGACGATAGCGATCTTGGGGGCCATGATGATGATTGATTGATTTATTTATTGAATTGAGATGAATTGATAGTTGATGAAGAGTAAAGAGAAAGAGGAAGACGAGTGTTGCTGTTGTGTTGTGTTGTGGGCAGGAGGGCAGCTTTTAAGATGAGGGGATGCGGGGCTCTAGACTGAGGCAGACTGATTAGATGCACCTTAGCAATCATTAATCAGGCCTATTCTCTAGCATTCTTTAGCGTCTTTTGCGGAGTGCTCCATCCGTGCTGATTATCGATTGCCTAATCGGGCTATATCCGTACATCCGTATTTCCAGCCAATCAGCGTCCACTTAGTCACTCTTAGCTGAGCATCGCGAGAATTATTCAATCATGACGAATTCCGATCTTTAATACCCTACATAGTTACCTTGGAATCAACTTGAATATTCCTTATTCAATCCATGGCCTATATAAATCGAACCCTTCAACTCTTCATCTTCACTTCGCTCATTCTAATCATCCTCTCCTACACCATGTCGAAACCTCTCAGCCAAGCTCAAATTGTCCTCCGCCGCTCCGCCGACCGTGGATATGCCGAACACGGCGGCTGGCTCAAATCCTTCCACACCTTCAGTTTCGCCAACTACTTCGACCACAAATTCATGAACTTTGGCAGTCTGCGCGTGCTGAATGAAGATCGTGTTGCTGCTCGAAATGGCTTCCCGACCCATCCCCACCGTGATGCAGAGATCTTCAGCTACATTCTCAACGGTGAACTCACCCACCGGGATAGCATGGTCAAAAAGGGCACAGAAGGTGCTCAAGGAAAGCAATTCTACCGTATGAAACGGGGCGACGTACAATTCACCACCGGCGGAACTGGTAAGTCACTTCTCCTATATATATATGATCAATACTAACAGGATAGGCATCGCACACTCGGAACAAAATGAATCCAACAAACCCGTCCATTTTCTGCAGATCTGGGCGTTGCCGTGGAAACACGGGCTGAAACCTCAATATCACACGCGCACTTTTGCAGAAGAAGACAAGCGAAAGGCCTTTGTGCCGATTCTGTCTCCCCTCGCTGCTGGCCCAGAGGCAACGCCCGCAGAGGAAGAAGCTGCCACTCCCAAGATCCCAGACACGATTCCCATCCATGCAGACTTTGTCATGGGAGCGGGTATCATTGAACCTTCAAAGACATTCCAGTGGACAGTCGGTGCTGGAGATGCAGTCAGCAGTCAGAAGAAGCGAAAGGTGTATATCCATCTGCCCATGACGAAAAAGGGACAGGCGAAGATCAAACTGGATCATCGGGAGACTGCGGTTATGGAGGAAGGCGATGGGGCTTTTGTAACGGGGGTAAATGCGGGGGATGTCTTGCATGTCGAGAGTATTGGAGATGCTGAAGCTGAGGTTATCGTGTTGGATAGTGATTGATTATCTGTATAATATAATGTAATATTGTTAATTAATTTAGTAGCTGTCATGCAATGTCCACGCAAATATACGTGCATCTTGACATGTCAGACTGCAGGATCAAAAGGCTTCATCATGTTTTACTATAATTATATCTACTTCACCTTGATTGATATGTTTCAGGCCACGTAAGACTGTCCAGCGTGGAGACGCGATGATCGGCCTCCATGCGTGAGTGGAGGATATTGCGACGATCTGCCAGGCAGAACATGACAGCTGCCTATCAAATGGCGACATTCAGGGTTCAGCGACCAGGTTCGATTCCTGCTGTCGTATATAGCGCTGTCATTTCTTGACTTTACTCTCTCTCTTTTTTACTCTCTTACGCTCTTTATAGTCATCGAAATGTCCTCGAAACTCCCCACGGCAAACCCGACCGCAAAGCCGGCATCTTCGTTGCATCCGGCATTTTACATCAGGTGTGTTTTTATTATATTTTAGAGACTATTTTATTAATATTGTTAGTGCCTGGATTGGACTGAGTTCTGGTGTGATCATCTTCAACAAGTGGATTCTACACACTGCGGGTTTTAGTATGTTGGCTGTCTTCCATCGACAATCTATACTAACTGATCAGGTTTCCGTATGTAATTCACCTTCATCGTGAATATTATTGACAATTTAGCTCTCTTTCTGACAACATGGCATCTGGTCTTTGCAACGGTCATGACTCGGCTGATGGCCAAATTCACCACACTGCTTGACTCGCGGCATGATGTCCCCATGACAGCCCAGGTTTATCTGTATGTGAATGTCTACATGACAGAATTTCTCTAACAATCCAGCCGAGCCATCGTCCCCATCGGAGCCTTTTTCAGTCTGAGTCTGATCTTTGGTAACCTGGCCTATCTCTATCTGAGTGTCTCTTTTATCCAGATGCTCAAGGTATGTTTCCCATTTCCTCGATATCGACCGGCCTAATATGCTAGGCCACCAATTCTGTCGCCACCCTTCTTGCAACCTGGGCCATGAGAATTGCTCCAGTTCGCCTCGAACTGCTGGGCAACATCTCCTTCATCGTAGTCGGAGTTGTCATCGCGTCCATCGGTGAAATCAAATTCACTCTGATCGGCTTCATGTGTATGTCCTCCCTTCCTATACCGAGTCTATCTAACAAATAAGGCCAATCCCTCGCCACAATCTTCGAATCTGTCCGTTTAGTCATGGTCCAGCGTCTTCTCAGCTCTCCCGAATTTAAAATGGATCCCCTAGTGTCGTTATATTATTTTGCGCCCGCATGCGCTGTCATGAACGGGGCTATTACTGCCTTTATTGAATTGCCTCAGATGCGCTTGTCGGATATTACCAATTTGGGGGTTTCCACGCTTATTGCTAATGCGGGTATTGCACTTGCACTCAACATTGCAGTCGTTTTTCTGGTGAGTTTTTACCTGTTTCTATAGCTCTTGCTGACTTTTTAGATCGGCAAAACATCCGCACTGGTCCTGACGCTTTCTGGAGTGCTGAAAGATATTCTCCTCGTTGTCGCATCGATGGTCATCTTCAGAGACCCTGTTACGCCTCTGCAGGTTGTTGGATATGGCATTGCTCTTGGTGGACTTGTCTACTATAAGCTTGGTAAGGAGGGTATTTCTGCTTTTCTTAGGCAGATTTCAGGGAGGTCATAGGCTTGAAGGAATACACTGTATAAAGTATTGAGATGGAATTGAAAAGCGTGTATATTCACTGAGATATTCAATGACTTGACCAGATGATATCTACATCTCAATAGCACTGCGATGCTTCTTCCTCAACTCCCTCGCATACGCAACACCAAAACCATGACTAAACACCTCCCCAATCTCTTCCAGCGTCAGGCCAGAGACTTCAGGATAACAAAAGATGATCGCAATCCAACCCAGACCACACAGTGCAGCGTAGAATCCAAATGCACCAGAGGGTGTGATGTTCTTCATCATCGTCAAGAATGTAGACGAGATGATCAGATTCGATCCCCAGCAGGCACAGGTCATATACATCGTTCCCATGGCACGAACCTCCATGGCGAAGAAATCGGCGCTCATCCAGGCTGTATTGCCAACGGACACGCCGTAAAAGATGACATACCAAATGATGAAGACGAGAACCACAATGGCCGGGCCGGAAACGTTGGGGTCGGTGACTTCGAGTGTGTCCAGATTGACGGGGATGAACTTGAACGCGACTGCAATAGCAATCATACCAGCCGACATGCCCCAGACGGTGGATACGAGAACGCGACGTCGGCCCCAAGGATCAACGACCATCATATTGACGAATGTCATGACCAGATTCGTACCAGCGACGACGAGACCAACAGCCACGGGGTTGGAGAATCCGACGATGGAAAAGAGAGTGGACGAGTAGTACATGAGGGTGTTGAAGCCGGACATTTGAGATACCACCACTGCTGAGGTTAGCATTTGTCAACAATCGAGAGGGAGGAAACATACTCAGGCCACATGCGCAAACGAGAGCACGGAAGTAAGCCGGGTTCGTGTGCAGCTGTTTGATCATCTGGAATCGACTGCGTCCTTCATTGAAGGAACGGGCTTCCTGGACCGCGTCTTCGATTTGCTGCACCTTCAATGCGACCTGTTCGGGCGTTGCATTTCTGAAGATGCGCTGTAGGATATGTCTCGCCTCGTCATGTTTGTCGTGGTAGATCAACTGACGGGGAGATTCAGGACAGAATGGAAGACAGATGGCGAGGATTATACTCGGAATGCCTCCCAGACCAACCATGTATCGCCATCCATGAGGCACGTTGGCAAACGCAGCCCCAATTCCATAGCTGATCACCTGTCCTCCGGTGATACTAACATTATTCAACCCAATCATCCGGCCACGATGCTTTGTCGGTGCCAATTCCGCAATATACATGGGCACAATCATCGCTGCCGACCCAACACCGAATCCAACCACCAATCTACCCACGGCCATCTGTGCGATCGAGTACGCAGCTCCTTGGATGACAGCACCGATAGTGAACAAAGCACATCCAACGTAGATGGCACTCTTCCGGCCATATTGATCCGCAGTTAAGCCAGCAATGACGGACCCCACGAATGCGCCAGCCGAGCATAGGGCAGTCACCATCTCCTTCTCACTCGGGGAAAGGGCATGGCCGAGGTCTTCGTAGAGGTAGACGAGCACGGCGGAGATGATGCCGGTATCGTAGCCGAAAAGCATGCCACCAATGGAAGCAGTGCAGGCGACCAGCCAGATGAATCGACCGGTGCCGGTATTTTCGATATCGTCTATATCGGCTTGGGGTTTGAGGACTTCGACATGGAAGGAGTCTGATTGAGGTTTATCATCATCGTGTTTTGTGTCATGGTTGGTATCTGTGGATTCTAGTGTAGACATTGTGGATAATTCTTGAATCTGCAGGATTGATATAGTGCGAGAGATTGATATGCATGGCTGAGGGAAATACAGTCGCTTTATATCTCCATCGCGATCATTGACACCGCCGATCCGCGACAAAGAAAGCCGACAGTCACCCCAGATTAGGCTTGGCTCCACGCGGGGTACCCCATGGGGAGTGGATAGAGTTTCATGTTGTCGGGGAATATGTCCTGTCGCAGACGCAAAGTTATCCTGTTCCGTTGTTTTCGGGGGTTTTCGCCGATAATTGCCCGTTTGATTCGATGCAAGGTTGAGGGGCTAACCTTGTTGGGAGTTGCCACGCTCTTATCAATGAGCTATATAATGGTGGTATCTTTATAGGTTGATCTGATGATCCCAATAAACACATGTTTTAGAGTACAGCTCATTAACCTAATTAGTTTGCGATTGCTGTTTTGTTCTTCGATGGCAGGAAAAGCTGGAATTCGTTCCCGATCTTCGTATACCGGCGTTTGCGCATCGATTACTGCTGGTGCGCAGATTGGCGGAATGCTTTCAACGTCGTACAAGCACACGCCTTGCATAGATACCAGGATTGTTAAGAGGACTCAACTAGATGGTACCTGATAATCATGCTGTAGCACACCCAACCGTACACATAGGTTACGTCTTGGACAGGGGCAGCATCAGATCTATCAATGATTACTTGGGCACTAAAGGTAGCATTCAGATGATAGTGTAATTTCTACCCAATGAAGCTGATTCGACTTGAGAGAATGCCGATCACCAAGACGATTTCCAGTAATACCTCACTAGTCTAAAGCAGCTCAAAGCTATTATGAGGGAATAATGAGGTGAACACAGCTCTGTTATCAGGAGGCGCGATGCTAAGACTATCACGCCCTACAGATCAGCGTAATACTCGGCTATACAGAACTGTCAATAGCCGCAACGCAGCGATGAGGCAGAAAGGAAGACTCGTATATCCAGGTTAGGCAACTATCGACGGCCCTGACAAGACGGCTCGTCATCCCCGTCAACAGGATGAATGGCGTGATGGGATTGGCATTTAATGCTAACCACTTCTACATGGTATCTGGAACATAGCATGATCATTATAGAAAGGCGAAAAACATACGATAACTGTTTGACGCTATTCATCCCCTTCCCTCGCTGAAGATCAGCGTAGATGTTGCACGTTCTAGAAGGCGTTTGTTTTTCTTTGAAATGGCCACTCGACAGTTCGTTCTATTGTCATCAGAAATGGATTTTGCCGTTGATGATACCATTTGATGGATGTTTCTGAAAGCCCGATATGCATCTCAGCTCCTTACTGCCAAGTCGACTGCAGCCTGGAATGGCAGCATAATCACAATCAACCCTTAATCCTCGGCAAGTAAATATGCCCTGATATAAATGTAACTAATATTTCATCTTCCAAATATCGCATATCCAATGGTATAAAACCCATGTTCGATCATGAAAACATCTGTTCTGCCGTTGTCGGGAAATAGTAAATATATATCCTATCATGCCATGCTGCACTTTATGATGCGCGGATTCAAGTGGCGAGAATTATACCATTGCCTAGCGGGACTTATCGTTTGAATTGACAGTAATAAATAATAAACAGACAGGACCAAGTAATGACTATATTTTATCTACAATTGCTGAGAGCTTCCCCAAAGCAGTCGAATCAGAAGGCAGCTATTTATAGACTGGCCCCCACAATGGAGAAAGACATCAATCATCAGAATTCCCACCTTGACTCTATCCAACACCAATATCTAACAACACCATGGGGTCTACAATTCCCTCGATTGACTTGATCGAATTATCCAAGAGCGACATCAATGTGCCAATTCCAGCGGACATTCTTAATCAGGCACTCTCATGCCCGCCATTCCAAGAGGTTTCCGGCGCATTCAATCTGCGTGACATCGCAGTTCCAGGCGCCATCAGCCCCGGCATAGTCTATCGATCAGGCATTCTGGCTCATCTCACCGAGGAGGGCAAGTTGGAATTACTATCCAAGCTCGGCATCGGACTCATTCTGGATCTACGCTCCGAGAGAGAAACGAAATCCCACCCACCTCCGAATGTGCCGGGAATTAAGACAGTCTGGTTGCCAACGTATAAGGCTCCGTCGCCTCTAAGTTTGGATAGTTTTATTGGCGAGAATGGAGGCGAAATCGGATATACCCAGATGTATTTGGAGATTCTGGATCTCTATGCCGAGAGTTTCCGGGTGGTGTTGGAGTATCTCAGAGATGAGGCTACTCAGGGTCGAGGTGTTTTGTTTCACTGTTTTGGTAAGTACTATTCCTCTACTGATTGTGTAGATTATGCGACTAATATATTTCCAGCCGGCAAAGATCGTACCGGTGTCCTCGCTTCGATCATACTCAGTCTGGCAGGAGTACCAGACAGTGAAATCGCCAAAGACTACGCTCTCACTCGAATTGGCATCGAGTCACAGAGAGAGTTTCTCCTTCAACTGTTCTTGAAATACTACCCGGGATGGACGGATGAAGCACCGGGTGTTCAGGAATTCTTTGCCATCAAGCAGTCTTACATGCTATCATTCCTTGATGCAGCCCGAAAAGAGTACGGGGGATTGACGGCGTATGTCAAGTCTCGGCTTGGGTTTAGTGAGGGGGATATTGAAAAGATCCGGAGCACATTGAGGGGTGCATAGACTAGATATTAGATTAGATCTTACTCTAGGCATTTTGATATTCACCCTGGCTAGCGTATTAGAGTTGATATCCAGCATGTCTGTCAATAAGAATAACATAACAGTTGAAAAGCTCATCATGCCTGGTGACGACATTCCAGTGCAAATATCTCAGCAATTCCAACTCGAGCATTGACAGTTCCCGCGCAGAAACACCACCAATATACGCATAGTACGCATTCTTCCAGAAAGAGTCACTCACACTCTTTGACGCAACAGTCACACAGGCGAGGAATAGTCGATGGACAGTAAGACAATTTAATTCGAATCCAGGCTGAGCTTCACACAGTCGAACGACATAGATCAGCGCCGTGAGCAGAACTGGCGGTGTAAGAACGTTATACACCGTCAGTTGATGAAGATAGTCGTAGACAGTCGTATTAGGAGGGGTTTTGGAATGGAATCGAGTGAGGTCACTGGTCGATAGAGGCAATGCGACATTTTCGCGCGTACTGCCAGCGAGGAGCTCTGCTATCAGGCTGACTATATCAAGAGGACTTGCAAGTTCATAGCGTCGTGGAAGGATTTTGGCGGGTGCTGATTCGTGGCTGATAGTTCCTGTCTGGAAAGACTCGGGAAGACGGGTTTGTGGTGCAGATGGAATTGGTTGTGCCTCATGATGGATAGCATCTAGCACCCGTTGCTTCGGGTAGTAGGAGCGGTATAGATCTTGGAGACAGCGGCGGATAACCTCATCTGCAACATGCTTGATGGGAGTGTGTCGTTCAATCCGACTGGGATATCTTGGCTGCAGCAGCATCGTAATTGTCGAGCTGTTTATATGTTGGTCTTCACTTGTCTGTTGCCTTCTTCATAAAGGAGTACGGCTGAGCCGAGTTCATATCATCAAGATAGTCTCCGAAACAGCCATCGACTGTAAGGTCTGTATACAGAAAGAAGTCGCTGGTCTCATTCATGTCAAACAGACGATGTCTCGATAAACGACAAAACCGCCGTGCGAACGGTGTTGTACACATTCCTAGGTACTGGGCCAACCGCCCATTAAAAAGAACAGAAATCCCTGGAAAAAGAATGCAACGTGAGGGATTGGCGCTGATGATTGCGCAAGTATTCAGTCACAAACCACGGTTATCGTCCATCAACTGATACCGGATGAGCCAATGGGATGCATTCGGGCTGGGGATCACCCCACAGACCCACCAGGTGTCACCGCCCTAACCGAGGGAGGACTAGCGCGACTGTAGCTGATTAGATGGGGCAGTGTATGACACCACCACACTCATTCTAGAACCACGGAGCATCAAGACTCAATTATATTCAGATCCTTGAAATCATGTACATGTTCTAATCCGTCGATGCTATAAACTTCAGTCGCCCAACGGATAGCAATGAAGAACCTGTCCGTCTAGAGCACACCATGGTTAGCAAATGTGTGTCCAAGACTAGGGAGCACATACAATAAAACGAGGAATCAGCACTGGCCAAAAAGACAAAACTGGTGGCCACCTCGCTGGCCTGACCGGGTCGACCGAGGCCATAGTGCGAACCCCAGTTTTCCATTTCCGATGCTTCTCGAGTGGCGACTTGAAAGGGTGTGTAGATGCCACCAGGACTGTCAATGATTAGCAAGTACAAAAAGAGTTGAAATTGAAGCATACGCAACAGCATTCACCCGTATTCCTTTGGGCATTAGTTGTACTGCAAGAGACCGGGTGAAGCCAACAATGGCACCTTTTGTGGCTGCATAGTCAACCACACTGCTTGAACCACGGAATGCCGATACAGATGTGTTGTTGATGATGCTGGATGAGTTAGTTTAGTCTGCACCGATCAGGTAAAGCTACATACGAGTCTCCTCGAGCCATATAAGGCAGAGCGAATTTGGTAACGGCAAAAATCTGGATGATATTCGTTTGAAAGGTATCCTCTACCTCGTCAAGGTCGATATCGACAAAGTCCTTGCAGCGATATTGTTTGGCAGCATTGTTGACCAAAACGTTGATGCGACCGAATCTAATCATATGAGCTACTATATCGTAAGAAGGATATATGGCCTACTGTTTGATGTGCTCCTCTACTGCCTCTTTGCAGAAACTTCGATTTCGGAGGTCGCCCGGTAGTAGAAGACACTCTCGACCCTCTTGCTTCACCATTTTCTTGGTTTCCTCTGCATCCTCTTGTTCTTCCGGGAGATAGACAATACTGATATCTGCACCCTCCTTGGCCATCAGCACTGCCACCGATCTGCCAATGCCAGAGCTACACTAGTCAGCGCTATAATATCGGACAGAACGCATTAGACGAACTCTCCACCGGTGATGAAGACTTTTTTGTCTTTCAGCTTGCCAGAAGCAGTATATTCTACTAGCTCATTTCCGGCATCTAGCCTTGTGATCTCGCTGGGTGGTGTCATGTGCGTTTCCAGTCTTATCTGTCAGTCTGATCCTATGTTTTAGACAGACAGACTTACCCCGGCTTTTCCTGGCTTTGGGCTACCTGGGGCGGTTGAAATGTTGATGATGTATGGGACATCATAATGAATGTTTGGTTAATCTTGCAGAACCAGGGTTGTATATGGGATATAGGCTGAAACAATCGAGATCTAATACAGCTGAGATGAAAAGAAGAAAAGATAAAGAAAACAAGCGATATAATTGGCTAGGTGTTTCGACCTAGATCCTAGTCTTGCTATAAATATGTCTCTTGAAGATATACAATGTAGTACGCACGTTTGGTGTTGAGTTGTGTGGGTGGAACTAGGCCCGTTGCAGTAAACTAGGCGAGATGAAGCTATCCCCGCTGCAGATCATTCATCTTACCAGGTCAACTTTCGCAATGGAGGATATTCTAACTGCCACGTTCATTCGTGGTGTGCTCTATTGCTGTCCGGCCACGTCCTGGTCCAGCTCGAGTGTGATGAGTTCACACCGACGGAAGATCTCCAGCGTCTCATCGAGAACCTCCTGCCGCTCAGTCTCAGTCAAGAGCTTGTCTGCATTGACAACTCTCTCCCGGAATTCATCCTTGACCCTCTCATAATCTTCAACTTGCCAGAACGACAATGGAGCCGGGAAGCTGTTCATGCTCAGTTCCATTGACGATAATCCCCAGAATTCCGGACCCGCCTTAAACAGTAAACCACGGATCCAGCGTCCGCCGTTGAACAGGGCGGAATACATGATCCAGATATACGACACCAGGAGATGCGGCTTCTCCGCGATGCGTTCTTTGATGTACTGGCGAAACTCACTGCCAGCATTTGGTTTCTTGGTCGAAAGATCCGCCGCGGTAGGATCAAGCGACTTGAGAAGGCCGAGATCAGCCTCCAGACGTCGACTACGCAAGAGTTCAGGAAGATAGACTTGGCGTAGGACAGCCAGCACCCGATCCTTGTCGTTGGCGAACGAGGTAGATTTGTCGGTCGCACCAGCCCAGTCGATTGGATCACGGATCTGGTTGAGCCATGCTTCCTCGAGGCCAAAGTATATCTCTGCGTATCGTGAAAAGCCGAGGGTGTAGAGAGTGGGAAGACTGGCTTGGGGAGGGAGGCAGAGTGGAATGCGGGCGGTATTCAAACGGTTGACGGTGCCATGTGGCTCTCTAGATAGTGGCGATTGTTAGCTTGGAATGGAAAGAAGGGAGAATCTCACTTGATCAAAGTGCGGATTTGAGTGGGCAGATCGACGTCGGCCATGATGAGGATAAAGAGCGGTCATGGTTATTGGATGGATATTCTGAGCAATATACGAGTGGGGTGATTGATAGTCTGAATACTGAATGGGAGTCACTTTATAACTGCCGAAATCGCCACTGATCGGACCATGGGTGTCTACCGAACAGCTGTTCGTGACCTGTGGCGTCTCCATCACGGCACAGAATAATAGCCGCCTTTTGTACAGTCCATATCAGATGCAGGTGGCCCCTTTTGACTCCATTCTGTTGCACAAAGAGGGTGACCGGAGACGAGGAAGAGGGCTGATTCGCTGGTGATGGAATGAGCTGCTTGCCATATGACGCAGGGCGATGATCGGATTCCCCCACGTTGCCGCTCTGATTGGCCAATAAGGCAGATCACGGGCTTCTCCGGCTGTTGGTCCATTTCCATCAGGTGATCGCTGCCTGCGGGACATCCTCTGTGTTGTACAGCTATTATGCAGTGACATATTTTTATCACCAGCTCACAATCCCAGGTAAAGGGGTATTTACTCACCGGCCGCTTCGACTGTGGCGTCAATGTGGCTGACAGGCGATGCAGATTCCATCACGCAACCAAGTCATGTTATTTCCCGATTTCATGTTTGTCCATTTGAGTGATGAATGCCAGGTAGCATGCAGCATTCTGATATATTGAATCATTATCAAGTACACAATCTACAACCGCTTTATTATACTCAGCAATAGTAATAGCTCATAAATCATGCCAGTAATATCATTAATATTTTTAAACAAATGATTTCTTCAAACACCTTTTATAATTTCACCATGTTCATAAGATCATCATCCATGGACGATGCCCATGACACTTCGGAAACCATCGAGTCTTTGGAATCGCGACGGTATTCGTCCCCTGCCGATCTGAGGAATGTCGAGTCTGACAATGGCAACAGGCCTTGTGGGATGCCTGCATTTGAAGTTTCCCGTGATTTCGACGACGATGTACTCGACTCGCTCCTCGATCTTTGACCAGCGGGGACTGTGTTGGCAATGCTCCGCTCCATAAACGATACATAGTGTTTGAGGCGTTCATCATTGCACTGCGAATGCTCCAGCACTTCATTCTTCAGCGTCAGGATAATCGAGCGCATAGACCCGATCTCCGCGACTAATTTCTGGTTGCTCTCCGACTGCGTTTTGAGACGTGCTTCGAGGCTGTTCCGTTGCTGCTTCTTCTTCTGCCGGCATTTGTTTGCGGCAACCCGGTTACGTTCGAGGTATTTTTCGCGCTTGGTTTTCTCGTCGTCGTCGTTTGACTGGGAGCTATTTGAATGGTTTCTTTTTGGGGTGTTCTTGTTTGTTTTTGAGTATTGATGCCAGCTGAGAGATGGTCGTGTATCCTCAATTCCTGACTTGGGGAGATCTTCACGTGTGACGGCGGAATCCAGCATGTGGTTTTGCGATCGAGGAGAGATTGGTGCTTCATTGACTACATCCGGACTGGGAGTAGCAGGCTTCTGATTAGAATCCCAGTTGAGCATGGCCGACATCGAGTCTGATTCGAAAAAGTTCCGGTCATTCAAGATAGACAGGCCCAGGTCATTGGAGGCTATGTTCGCTGCCACTGTCGCCGGGACGGCATAGAGAGGATCGGCATAGTTTACGTTGGTATCCATAGAGGGTTCTTCAGTCAAAGTAGTGAGGGATGGTTGGATGCAGCTCATTTTGATTGGCAGTGGTAGAGTATAGCACTGAGAAATGAGAAAAAGTAAAAACAAACATGCAAAGGAGGCAGACGTGCGACAGTGAAATACACGCAGCCAGTGTGGATCCCGTCAAACGGACACATCCGGTTCCAAGTATGGAGAGCACGAACAAGTTGGGGATAAATCATCCGACAAACCAGAATCGAGAACCAGTTCTTGGGAATTTCAATGATACTACCCCGTACTTTTGGCAGCTCCACCGAACCGCCATGAGAACTGGGTCATCAGTGTTTGCTGTCCAATCCCCACCGGCACTACGAGCCATTGGCCAACTATCACCATCCATTGCTAACGGTCATCGGCTATGATTCCCACATGTCGAGCGCACCAATGTCTCTTTTAAGACATTTGGCATGGGTGGGTGTTTACACTGCAACCGGTGATGTGACGTCATGAGTTGGCAGGCCAGGATTCGATGGACTTCCATTCCATTTGTTTGAAACTTTGAACCCACCTTATCATGGGTATCTGCCATTGAAATTCCTGGTTCTTCTCATGATTGGCTGCGACGGGGAGAAAATCAGGTTTGCGACATTTAAGCTTAACCCGCCCCACAGAGCCTGCCCTATCAGAACACGCACACAGTCCTCGTCTCCACCGGCCCGTCTAGGTCTGGGGTCGTTAATCGTGCTGTCATGGCGACATCACCATTTATCCAGTGGATTATATATACACTAACAAATAGAAACTAGGACTAGAACAATTCAACCACTCAATAACCGCCATCATGTCCAACCGCCCAGAAAGAGAAGACCAAGACCTCTACGACCCATCGATCGGGGACAATGTGGTCGATGACTCGTACGCGCACGAGACCAATCCGGCCGTGAGATACCAGGTTCCCGTGCAGAAAGACGAGGATGAATACGATGATCCCATGCAGCCTGGGTATGCCGACACGTGGGACCAGCTAGGTATTCTTCCTCTGCTGAGTGTCATTCAAGTCTAATTGTCCTAGATTGGGATGAGGAGGAGGCAATTAACGAAAGTGCTGTTCTGGGTGGTGATAGTCTGCGCCATGCAAAGCCCCAGACTGCAAACAAGTACAACGAAGGCCCTAGTGAGGACGACTTGCCTATTAAATATGATTAAAAGTGGGGGTGTAATTATGATTGCTTGACTTTCGTTGGATATATTGTATAAAAATAAAGTGTTCTATCGTTCTTCGATCATGGTGGGCACCGAAGGACTGTTATATCTACCAGACTCGTGATAGAATCGAGCTTCTTGAGACTTTTGAGTCTGTTTTCCCCGGGCCAGAAAATGATGACCCACTTATTCCACCAGTAGTGACAGACACTTCCAAGGTTAGAGGTCTGGCAATGCAGCATCTCAGACCCTTAGATTCTATGCTGATGTTACACTTAATCGGTCAACAATTTCCCGGTCTCAATTCGCGTGGGATGAAAAATAGGCCTCTAAGTGTATTGACTGATCTGGTTATATATCCGAGTCATGAGGGTCTTATTGCAAGGTCAAAATGAAACGGTAGAACACTATTATACCCATTAGGGTATACCTAACTGATAAGGATCAAGGATGCTATGAACTCCAGACAAAGAAAGAATATATATAGTAGCCACGGTTAACGAAGAAATCATCACTGGGTGTACGGCAGGGTAAGTTGATGAATATATTGGTTGATAGTAAATACTTGTAAACATAAGTACTTAGCGATTGCCATATTTTCCCCCACTCCAAAAGCCTCCACGCAGTAATATATTGCAAGTTGAGGTTAATTGATGCGATATTCTGACAAATGGTGGGCTCTTCACTACGGCAGGGAATGCGCTGTGCGACGCAAGAACAACAGTAATAATGGAGAAAGTGGCGGAGGATCTGGTAGCGATCAATTCAAAAATAGACGATGACAAATGAATGGCATCGAGTAACCAAGTATGAGGGGTCTGTCATAAAGCTGCCCTTGCTGCATCCGACACGGCAAACCTTGCGATGAGTGGCCAATCCGCATAGCACAGCACGGCTTGGTACAAAGATTCAATAATTTCATTGCGCTGCATGAACGCAATGACAGATTCGGATAGTCGGTGAGGTGATTGATCTCATACTGGTTGCCAAGCGAAAGACGTGTCACAAACCCAGTGGAAGCGACGAGGTTCGACATGTATATGCTGTTTGATTATTTACTCGTGTATACTTCGTATCCACTGGGCAATATAAAAGGCATTATAAATAAGTAACAGTCGACTGAACAATGCTTTCCAGCAAGAGAGTAGAAATGGCGACAACATGATATCCGCTGGATCGGGAAATGCCGATCCCAGATGCATGTCGAATCCCCCTAGCAGGACTATCGAACGCCCCTCCGCCGTCTGATATCACATCCAAGTTACATGAATATTGCAGAAGGATGATTCCCACCCAGAGCGATGCGATATAAGCGGCTTCCCCCCTGTTTATCGAATTGCTTCTCATGTTGTCTGCACCGTTCTGAGCTATGACTTTGAATCTCTCGCAGGGTCCATTGCTGGACGCCGATTGGCATGGCGTCTCCAGAGTTGCCCTGCTGGTCTGTATCAGCATTGTTATCTGGGCAGGATACAAATTCATATTCTATCCTAATTTCCTCAGCGCCTTTCGGCATGTCCCTAGAGCCAAGGTATGCTGAACGACTCTTCAATGGCAGAGGGCACACTGACACCGACAGGGAGGTTACCCACTGATTGGGAATGCCATGGTTGGATTCGAGCGGCCACCAGGAGAATCAGTCTGGAAAGTCACAAAAAAGTCCCCCAACGATGGCATGTTGAACCTCCGAGGAGTGGTCGGCCTTGATCAAATCCTCTTGACCAAGCATGAGCTGATATCGGAAATGCTGGTGGACCGAGCATACGAGTATGAAAAGCCAGATGGCATTCTCGACGCCATGGAGACGGTCGTCGGGAATAGCCTCTTGGTGGCCAAGGGAGACGTGCACCGCCAGCACCGCCGGCAGCTCATGCCAGGATTCAATATCCGTCCCATCCGCTCGCTGTATCCTATCTTCTGGAAGAAAGGCCAGGCGTTCAACCGCGCCATCATCTCAGAATTGGGGATCGACCGGCCATCCAAGAGTGGCAATGTGCTGTCCGGCTCGTTTGACTTTAACCACCGGGCCACGATCTTGACCATGGATAACCTCATCTGCGGCGGAGTGGGTGTCGACTTGGATCTCGTGAGTCATCCTGACCACCCAATTGTGGCGGGGTACGAGGAGGCACTGGAGCCGACTCCAAGCAAGGTCTTCATGTATCTCGCCACCGACATGGGCATTCGGAAATTCGCGGATTACTTGTGCTGGGGGACCAGCAAGAGCTTTGAGGACTCTTGTGCACGGCTGCGAAGTATCGTGCGTGATATTGTGCGAGAAAAGGTTGAGCAACAGGAAAAAGGAACGAACTCGGAGGGCATCTTCACGCAGGTTATCTCGTCGCAGGGCTGCAGTCAAGAGAAACTCGTGGAACATACACTGACTCTGATTGCTGCTGGGTATGCCCCCTCCCACGTTGTATAGGATGTCCTACTGACTGATCCAGTCACGAAACAATATCCGCCGGCTTTGCCTGGGTCATCCACTCCCTGGCCAGGAATCCAGACATCCAGACTCGCCTTCGACAGGAGATCAACGCCAACATCCCCAAAGACCTTGCGACAGATCCAGATGCCAGACTGGCCGAGATCCTCGAGTCCCTTCCGTTGCTCAACGCCGTATGCTACGAAACCATCCGTCTGTATCCCAGTGTCTATGTCGTCTACCGCACCGCCGTCTGCGATACATTCATCGGCGGCCTGCCGGTTCCCAAGGGGACTCGTCTCATGTCCTGCCCATGGTCATACAACCGCAACCCCGAGATCTGGGGTCCTCGCTCAGAGGAATGGATCCCGTCGCGCTGGTTAGATCCCAAGACAGGCAAGTTCGACCGGATGGGTGGTGTTTCACCCAAAGCAGCCAATATGAGCTTCCATTTCGGGCCGCGCAACTGCATCGGGCAGGAGTTTGCACGCACTGAGATGAGATCGTTGGTGGCGGCGTTTGTGACTGGCTTTGAGTTTGAGCTGTCGAATCCTGATGAAGTGCTGCAGCCGACTGGGTTGGTTAGTGCTCGGCCAGGCTATAAGATGATGATCAATGTGCGGACGGTTGAGGCGGTTTGAGGGTGGTAGATCACAGAATTTCTAGTATGGCTTATCTTAATCTTAATTCATGTACACCAGTAGGTCGATTTCTGTCGAAATTCCCCTTGTAATATTCAGGATAATCAATGTCCTCATGGTCCTGGAACGGCCAGAGCCGGTCGACCGAGATCAGGTCGTCTTCATCTTCCGCTTTTGCCAGCCAGTCGTTCTTCAGCTGTCGGTTCAATGCTGCGACTCTTTCATAGGACTCGTTCCTGACCCATCCATCTTGTCATAGATCATCCAGCAGAGACCGCCAATGCTCCAGTAAAGTGGTTGCTTTTATCCAGTTTTCCTCATGTCGACAGAAATCCTCAGCCTCTCCTTCGCTGAAATGAGGCCAGCCAGCTGGTGGAATGCGTGCAAGCCGGATCAGCAATCCCTTCAGCGTAACAATATTTCCGGTCCATGTAACTTCACATGACTCGGAGACAAAAATATTGGATGAATTGAGATCTATGATGTTATTATACTGCGGGACTAGGGACATTTAGCAATGCTTACCTGGATGGCGTAGTGTCGGTCTATTCATAAAGTGTTGTGCGGTTGACGGGCAGGATGTAGGGCGAAAGGGCGATGTACTTCTCAAGTAAATTCACATACACCTCCGGTAAGATCTTTCCTTCAAGTTTACTGTTATGAGGAAGGTCATTTCGCTGCGGCCGGCCAAATCTGCGCATCCATTCCAGTTCCCGCTGGCCGAGGAAACGAACATAGTCGCGATGGTCTTTCCCTACGCACAGTTAGATTCATGAGACTCAACACCATGAAGGGCAACCAACAAGGCCCACGGTCTGGATGAAGTGATGCGCGTTTTCCGTGCCAGAACATCTAGTCCGCAGAAGGACCAATACAGAACTTGTTCTCTGCATCATTCTGGTCTGCTGTACGTGATGATGCGTAGAGATCGGCTTGCATGTGTGAGGGCAGACTGCTTCTGTAGTATAAACTCCCATTCAACCCAAAAGGGAGAAGAATGCAATCACCCGAGGAACAGGGATCCCCTTGGGTCGCAGGAAATCCAAGGTGGCAACTTCACTTTCTGTCGTCAGCGTCTTTGGCACAGTCGAATGATACGGAATCTTTGAAATCACTTCCAAGCCATCATCCATGACAAGGAGAAACACTGTTGAAGCCACCCGCTGCGAGCTTTGTCATACGGGTGAAATTTGCCCGACCAACCCTGCCTGCAGCGATCATCTTCAGCTCCTCCGCATTAAATTCGACATGTCGTTCCGTCAGGCGGAGATGTTCATTATAAAGATAGCGTCCAGCAGTATAGGATGCAACTATTCGGCAGTGCGAGTGAAGGGCCATTGGTGGCTCAGTGTTTCAAGCTATATAACTGAATGATTTCACAGTCGGGTGGTTGAGATATCCGCCAGACATTGGGTTCACATGGACGCATGCTTTTATCACGGCGACAAGACTTCTGCAAAGACTACAAGTATAGCAGGACACTCGTGCTTATGCAATGCTCTCATAGTACTATTCAGACAGGCACTCCCAATTTGAATCCTCCCCAGTTGAGGCTCGAAAAGACTCCATTTGCATCATATCCTGCCTGCACATCTCTCATCTTCTGAATATTCTCCTCTGGGAATCCCAAGTATGGATCCTGCCATTCCCCCGCATCTCCCATATAAACAAATTCCGAAGTCAGATCTTTTACCTTGTATTTTTCATGGAGATTCGTGATGAGTTGACGGGACCACGCCTGCACACGGAGGTCATCTTGTTCATGAGCCCAGCTGGTGCTGAACTGCCAGACTGTACGATATTAGCGATGATCTCGACCAAGAGAGAAAACATACTGATCCAAGCCTGGTCATCATCCAGACTCCACACATTCCCAATTCCATTCGTCTTGCCGACTCGTGCTGCTCCTCGGGGAATCACATTCAGCACAAAGGTAGGGCAGAGACCGGCAACGTCGGAAATGCTCTCAATTCCACGCCTCCATGCTTGATACATCTCGTAGAGCACAGCTGGGTCTGGCTTTACCGTGCGATGGGAAAACATCACCCTGTACTGTTAGCAATCGTCCGTTTCCCTTGAAGATACATACCTATACATCTGGTTCGGCGTATCAAGGCCTTTAGCCCACTGCGCTGCTGTAGTCACATTATGCAGCTTGATCTGGCCGGGAATCGAAGTAAAATTGGCAAACTGCGATGGAGGATTACTGAATCCCTCTTGCAGTCCAAGGACAGATGCAGTGGCTTCCTTGCCGGACACGTTGTATGTCACTGTAAAGACACCACCAGCTGCAATGGGATAGGCATCATCCACAACCGCCATGTCTGTGATCGCCTTGATGAACTGCGGAATTTGGTCCTCGCTATAGGCTTGAATCGTGGTGCTGATTTGCGGAATCTCGTACGTCTGAAAGACAAACTTGGCGACGATGCCAAAATTGCTGGCTCCTCCTTTCAATGCCCAAAAGAGATCTCTGTTGCAGGTTGCACTGGCAGTCACTTGTGTTCCATTTCCAAGGACGACGTCGTAACTGACAACCGTGTCCATGACGAAGCCATACTTGTTGATGAAGTAGTGAAAGCCACCGATCAGAGTCAGCCCCGGGACTCCAATAGACTTGAGACGACCCCCCAGTGTCAATCGACCGTATGGCTCCAATGCACTGTAGACTTCATCCCATCTTAATCCCGGTCCAACTTCAACCGTGTCATCGTTGACTTGTATTTCTTGGAGTTTTGACAGTGCGACTAGGACGCCTCCTTCGATGTTATTCGAGCCAGGATACTATAAACCGTCATTAGCTGCAGTCCATGGTCATAGTTGGAATAAATACATTCATATGTCCACCCCCGCGCACAGCAAACTGTGCATTCGCAGCAACAATCTTGCGTATTCCATCCGAAACTTCCTCCGCCGACTCGGGGAAGAAAATGCAATACGGGTCTAGATTAGCACGGACGTCCCAGTAATTAGTTGCTTCAAAGGTATAACCATCTGACTCTGGGAGCAGAGTTTGGTCGGGGTAAAGGTCTGCTAGTTGACTGCAGGCAAGCTCAGCACCGGTCGTCAGACTGGACGATCCCAATGGTGTGATGATGCTCTCGCCTGCTAATATCTCAGCGCTGGCTGCGAGACCCAAGCCGAGTGCAACTGTCATTAACTTGACAAGTGCCATTGTGATGAATTGGGAAAGTAGACAGAAAGTGTTGTGTAAGATATTTCATGCATGGATAAGGGGGATAGGAAATATATAGATCTGGACTAGATTATATATACAAACTGGTAGTACCCTCAGACCGCTATTCACCCGGACTGATTTGAAAACAACAGATGCAGAGCAGCCCAGGTTCTGATCAGGTTTCTGATCAGTTTATAAGAAATACAAATCGACAGTCTGGAATAGAATCAAAGCTGGATTGACATCGGAAGAAACAGCCAATCACAGTCAGGCCCGAACACGAGTCGTATTCGGAGATGGACCGCGGTTATAAAGTGGGTCTGACAGGCTGCCATTGTGAAGATTTGAAAATGGAGCAGCCTGGTATTTCATACAATTCATATTGTCTGTTGAGTTGTCTAAAGAGAAATATCAGAAACTTGTATCTTATTTATTGTGGCAGGTCATGTGATCTGACGATAACTTCATTCGAAATCGCCCCTTTCCCGACAGCATCACAATGGCCCAACCAGGACGAAGAACGCACCGCAAATCCCGCAATGGGTGCCACCAATGCAAGGCACGCAAGATCAAGGTACACTCCCCCTCGAGGATGATCGAGTGGATCGCTCATTGTCTAGTGCGACGAGTCGCAGCCGTCCTGCAGGAACTGTGTCCGACACGGCGTGGGCTGCTCATTTGTCACGCATCCTGGCCCATCATCAGCCCATCTGCACGAGCAGCTGGCTTCCCCCCACAGCTCAGACACCGTGTCTCCACTGTCCATCCAGCATCTGCTCTCGCATCCGGAACCGGCAGCGGTGGATGATCTAGCGGTCTCGGACTTGGAGATGTTGCATCACTACTCCACCTGCACGGCGTATACGTTTTCGCGCAATCCAACCCTGCAAACGATGTGGAGGGTCAAAGTGCCCCAGATTGGATTCTCGTCGACGTACGCTCTGCGGGCGATTCTGGCTATTTCAGCACTGCATTTGGCGTATCTGCGCCCGGACAGAAAGCATGTCTATGTTGCCCAGGCCGAGATGCATCATGAGGCGGCGTTGAGGATGGTAACCCCGAATATCTCCAAACTAATGGAAGAGGACGGCAATGCTTTATTTTTGTTCTCGATCCTCACCTGCTTCATCTCGTGTGCCAAACCACGCAAATTGGATGATTTTCTGCTTATGGAAGGTGGCCAAATCGCAGGGTGGCTCGTCTCATTTCGAGGGACTAAAACCATCGTGGATCATGCTAAAGATACGCTTTGGGCTGGGCCTTTGGCGCCGATTTTCACCATTCGCGGGCGTAGATCTCGAATACGAAGCACCCGATCGATAGAGGGGCGAAGGTTTATGCAGGATTTGGAGCAGCTCATCAGAGAGGACGTGCGCGATGAGAGAGATCTGCATGTATACCTTCACACAATCCATGAGATGAGCACATGCTTTCCGGATGACGATGCACAAGACATCCAGGTATTCGAAACAGACGATGTTTTTAGCTGGTTGTTGCAAGTATCGCACGAGTACCTGGATTTTCTGAAGGAGCAGCGACCGATAGCACTGGTTATTTTCGGTTACTTCTGTGTGTTGCTACGACAGCTGGAATGGACTTGGTGGATGCAAGGTTGGAGTACGCATCTTCTATCAAAGATCTACGAAGTGCTTGACCAGGAACATCGGTATTGGCTGCAGTGGCCATTAGAGCAGATTGGGCTGGCTGTTGAGTATTAATGAATTATTTAACGTGATTATGTTGTATCATCTGTATGTTTCCCCATCGACTGGTTCTTCCACATTTCCAGTCGTAAAAGAACAGTGTTTAAAGGGACCATCTGAACTGACCACTCCCCACTGCATGGGAATACACTCTGTCGGTATCGCATTCTTCTCATCCAAGGACAGATTCGGATGGCACGCAGCCGCGATAGCCTGGCTGCAACTCCCGGCAACAGGCATGCCGGATTTAAACCGTTTAAACCCCAATCCGACTAAACACGCAACCATGAGCGTTCCAATAGATAGTGCACACACGATCGCTACAGGCGAGTACGCGCATGTGATGACATCGCGATCCGGAGCCCTTCCATGCTCTGCGGTATATGCATCGATTCCAACGAGGAACAAACTCTGTGAAATAAGCCAGTGGAGCAGGATAGACAAGAGTATCATCGGAATAGCATATCGATACGGCAGCGATAGAAAGTAAGAGCTGCGCTGTGCACCCTCCGGGCTACTTGATACACGAAGTCCTTTCCGCTGGATTGCATATTGACTCCATTCCGCGGCGAGAGTCATGGTCGTGAAAATAGCATTCAGGCAAAAGTAGAGCATCGAGTAGACCAACTGCGGTATGTTGGCAATCATTGTATTCTTGATCATGGTGTTTGGCCAGAAGTTGCCGTGGATCAATGTTCGAGCGTCGATGGCTTCGAATCCTAAAGACCAGATGCCGCGGGTATTTCTCATCTGGCTGAAGCCGTACAGGAGGAGTCCAATGCATATCACCATGGATAGAACATAGCTGCGCAGTTAGCAGTAGTCCGACATGAACCAGCATGCACATACAAGGAAATACCGAATCCCCATCGCCTCGTAGACACAGCGGATGCCCATCTCCGCTTCCTGCTCCGGAAGACGTAGTCTGTATCATCCGGTCCCTTTGGCTTTCGATGCCATTCAAAATCCACCACGAGGCTCCTGCCCGTGCAAGACATGTCCTTTGAGAATACATCCGGTTCTCTGATGAAGGACGCAACTGCATCGCCTGTCGTCAGGATAGGCTGTTCCTCTGTACTAAAGGCTATATAGCACATGAGGATTGCCTTGATTGCGTTGAAAACAATTACCACGATGGCCAAAGGCAGACTATACTGCAACTTGCAATGTGTAGGCGACTTTTCTACCAGACAATGATCGACCAGATGGCCATCCACAGTCCAGTTTCCCGCTTTGGCATCGGCCTCGATATCTGGGAGGTAGACGTTGCAGTCCACGCCTGGTTTTGAATACTCAGGACACAGCCATCGATACGGATCCTGGTCGGGACGAAGAGCACGCTGGTATTGCCGAGGACTAAAGACATATTGAGTGTCGAGCCAGGTATAGTTATTGGCCATGCTGTCGTTGTTGGTGACCAGAACTACACCGCCCCATTCGATCTGGAATGTTGTGCTGTATACGTTGACGCAGTCTATAGCGTCCAGCCTCGTGAGACTTCCATCTTGAGTCTCGTCTTTGAGTCTGTCGAATGCTAGTTCGGTTGAGTTTTCAAACCAGCCAGGATTCAAGATGCTGGTATTTCCTAAAGACCCGGTACCGACATATATGTTGTAGTCGTTGGCGGATTGCGTTGAGAATATTGTCGAGTTGTATCTATACCGTCAGCTGGATTATCATGAGACAGTGATATACTTACACTAGATGAAGAGGAAGCGACGTAAGAGCCAGACAAATCCATAGACAGCTTCGTTTCTTGGATATTAGAAGCAGGTTATGGGTACTGGGAACCCCAATGTCCAGCCATTGAGCCTTGCTGTGGGCATTGTCGATATTCCGCCGTGTCGGTGCACACAAACATTGCTATAGGTGTTAATATACGACCTATGACATCTCAATATAACCCACCATGCAATAGTTACTCGCACTCAGCAAAGTCGTGCTCAGCGTGTTGATAAGCAAATGAATCCCCACATTAGTCCATTTGACTCGATCGCAATCTCCATCAAACAGAATCCCTCTGTCATCTTTGACATTATGCCGAACCGCAGCCCATATCGTGAACGACAGGTTAAACGCCAGCACAATCACGCCCGCCAGCGAGGCCAGAAGCAGCGTCGATCGCCAGCCATCGAATCGCCCCTTTTGGCTGACGTGAGATTTCCCACTTGATCTCAGTGACTCTGCATCTGGGGTGCGCTCACTGCGGGCGATCAGCGTGTCTGTGGATTCTCCCTGTAAGTTCGCCTCCATTTTGTGGATGATCGAAAACCCCTGGAGAATTCAACGAGAAATGAGATGTCATTTTCAAGGGTTAAATCGAATCCTGCGGGATACCTGCGGGAGAATGAGGCTGAGGCTGTGTTCTTGGGCTGCTGCAGGGCAACGTTGAGCATTTCCTGTTACGGTTAGATTTCCCCCTTCGGGTTGTTTTGATGTTGTTTTCTGCCCCTATCAGCGATGGTTCTCTAATAATAGCGGAGCCGAGACTGTCTTTGACGTCATTTCTACCTGCGATTGTCTGTTGGATGTTTGATGTTACTGGCTACTTAGTGATTGTAGATATTCAATTCTTACATTGAGCTCATGGATTGACTAACATAGGCGAGGATATCATATTTCAACGGCATGCATAACGGAACCGACAATAGAAAACAACACTCACTAGGGAGAAACAACAAGAGGAGCCGCAAACTGCAGCTTCTCGCGAAGAATCAAAGAATGAATCTGCAAAAGCCGGGCTTGAGCCGCTGCATGGACATCACCATTCGTGCGAAAGTAGCCACTAACCTGAATACCCAACGCAAGGCCCTGTGCACGAGGACCAGGAACTCCGATATGTCCTTTTCCTCCATTGCACTGCATCACGAGGTGGCAGGCGAGCTCGCTGGCGGACTTGAAGGGGGCGTCGAGATGGTAGAACACGATCGGGTGGGCGGGTTTGACATCATCCTCTGGAGGGGGAATGTCATGTTCGAAGACTGCGTCTGTGACGAAGTAGTGCGCGGGGAGAATGAGGAATTTGTATGCATCTGACGGAAGAGGGAGATCGTCAGCAGGGAAGATCACTGTGCCATTGGGGCCATAGACAAGAGGTGGACTGAGATAGTGAGTTGCATTGGCATCAGATGGAGGGGGAACCCAGCTCGCGCGAGCCATTGTGATTGTTTTTGGAGTTTGGCGTTGGGACGAAGAGGTATGGCTGTGGGTAGGTGGAGGTGATAGAAGGAATTGAGATACCAGAAGGTGATGATGGGATATTGCAGTGTGGTTGAGGGGGTATTTATATTGCATCTGCGTCTGTATAGGCCGAACTATAGCATTGTACTCCATCTCTTTGTTCGGAGTTGAAAGAGAAGAATTGCTTTATACGGTACAAAGGCATTGTCAAGATATGAATGAATAGATATGTTCAAGAACATGATATCTTTGTCTAACCTTAAGTCTGACTTTATATCCCAAGCCATCTTCTCGTAGAATGGCATTCAACAAAGGAATGTTTCGGTTTCCTGGAGGAGCTTTACAAGCCATGATGAGATCCATCGGAAAGTTCCTTTTTACTCAGGCAAGTTCCTGCTCATTCTGCGATGGCTGGATATAGCTCTGCTTCTGCCTCAACCGAGGGATCGTCATCTACGAGGTGGGTCTCATGAACAATGGCCATTTCATGTCTCGGGGCAGATGGGAATTTTTGGTGCATGAACTATGAGTAATACGTAAAAAAGACAGGAACCATGTCATACGGTGTTTTTAATTATTGAATACGGGCTACTCTACTGTTCAATATAAAATATATAGACGTTTTGAAAGTTGTTTATTGCACGCAATACTATCAGGGCTCGAAATACAGGAAACGAAAATCAGCACCATCCGGGAATAGAAGACCTACTCAATAAGGGGATAGACAAACTTTACCAGTCGTCGATCTAGCATATTATGCAGCTGCCCAAGACGAATATTAGCCGCCGCATGAACATCGCCATACGTATAAAAGTAGCCACAGACCTCGATGCCAACGGACAGACCCTGACGCCGGTCCCTGACAGTCCCGATATTGCCCTCGCCACTGCTGCCTGCAAGACGGAGATCAGCGATGAGTTCATGCTGGTTGGAGTAGGAGCAGGAGAGATCGAAGAAGACGCAGTAGCGGGAGAGTGGGATTCGTTTATTGGGATACCGCATATAGTTGGTGTAGAAGTAGTCGGAGGGGTTGTAGTTGGCTTTGAAGATGAAGGTGCCGTAGGGCTCGCGGAGATTGCGGGTTTGGTGGTTGCAGGGGAAGATGACGGTTGGGCAGCCTTCGGGGGATTCAGGGACAGCATCGCCAGGCAGGTTGGATTCTTCCAGGACGGTGGCTTCATGGACGGTTGAGCGGGAGGTGATGGAGGGACGGACAGTGGTGCCGGACATGGCACTGGTGTTGATGGTTTGGACGGTGGGAGTACGAGAGGGCATTTTGAGATGATATTGATATTGGTAGTTCAGTAGTTGAAATATCAGTAGATGATGATAGAGGTAATCGTGGGCAGTTGGCGGTATTTATTTCTATTCATGCAATGATTGCAACTTCGACTCTGATATGTCATAAAGGCCTTTGTGCATGCTCCCTGTCAGCCCTGAACAACTTCATCCCGTGAGCTAACAAGGCCAGTTTCATATCAACAATAGATGACTCAAAAGGAATGCAATCGTTTCAATCAAGCCTTTATTCTATAATGAAAGATGTTTCACGAATACAATAACAATACAGGTTTCAATGTGTACGGCATTGTAAGCAACTACAATGACTGGAACATAAAGAGGTTGCTGCTAAACATACAATGAAAGAGAGATATGAACGAAAGAAATAAAAAAGCCTTGAAAGAGAAGAAATGAGCTTAAATGGTAACTAATAAAAACAAATTCACGATATCCTCACCAGTATATTTAGTCACATGGAGATCATCAAGACAGAGTGACCGAGGCAACACCCTTGCTGTTGTTGATATCACCTTCATCGACTCAATCATACCTTTTCCACGCAGCTCTCGTTATCCAGGATGTCAGACCTACTTGATTGGTAAACCATGCTCATCTCATTATAAAGAGCCCTATGATGAGGTACGAGTGGATGATGAGCTGATTACGAAAACACAAAAAGCAGAGAACGTCTATTTTCATGAAAGTAGTTCAAGAGTGATCATTACAATGGCATCAAATTATCTGAATGATTCGTAACCATACATGATACGTAGGCCCTACAACGCCCCAGCTAAGCATTACCATTAGAAGTCTTAATGAACCCGTTTTGCACGTTCGTCGAATACCCACTGAGAGGATGCATCTTGTTGAACACATTGCGTGGATCGTACTTGGCTTTGATGCTCTTCAGCCTATCCAGGTTATCTCCAAAGAGCTCTTCGAGGCTTCGATCGCCAGCTATGCCAGGTCAGTGTCTATCTTCAGCCTGCTGTGTTTACTCACTTTCAACAAAATTAGGATAAATCGCAACATCCCAACCTGCATGCTTCTCTATCTCCTCTGTGATGAGGTCTTTCAGATACCTCGCATGCTGACGAGCTTTGTCGTCGTTCTTTGGATCACTCCACCACATCCACACCCCTCCGTTGCGGGCATGACCGCGATTTGCGAATGCCGTTGCATGTCGTGGAATGGAAGCTACTTTGTCGACTTGGACGTTTTCAAAGACAACAAATGACTTGATCATGTCGGGGTCACACTTGACGATATAGGATAGCTCCCCCAGCACAGTCCGTGCAAATTCAGGGCGCACAGGTGATGTATATGAGAATCCCTTCATGCTCTTTCTCCCTCCATGGCTGGCAATGTCATTCAAAAGTCCATTGACTTGGTGGTATGGTATCATGGACACGGTATTCATGACCGGGTTGAGGTCGAACAGAGGTGCATAGCGCCTTTTGCCTTCCTCCTCTGATGTGTTGGAGACGATTTCCGTCATGATGGTTTGCTCGGAAGCCCCAGGGGGTGTTCCCAAGAAGCAATATATTCCCGATCGACCGTCCAAGCTATTTTCAGTGAGGGTACTCGCAAATTCCATCACCTGCTCGAGTTTATCCGGAGTGAAGCCCAGCAGACCTGCGTAGACTGGATCCTTCAGCTCATAAGCCTGCAGGGTGAATTCAGTGACAACACCAAAGTTATGGCCTGCTCCTCGTATCGCCCAGAATAGATCGGAATTTTCCGTGTCAGACGCAGTCAAGATCCGACCGTCTGCCAGGGCTATCTTGACCGCGAGGAGGTTGTCGATGACCAGTCCATATTGTCCAGTTAACCACCCATATCCTCCGCCCAGTGTCAGTCCTCCCACTCCAGTGTGATTCACGACGCCTCCAACAGTAGCCAGTCCATGTTCTCCTGCTGCTTTGTCGACATCTGCCCACAGCGCACCACCTTGGACGACGAGAGTTTGGTTGACCGGATCGACAGTGACATTTCGCATTTTGGAGAGATCTACGACGATCCCTCCGTTGGTCGAACTAGCACCAGAGGTCGCATGGCCTCCACTGACAATGGCGAGGTCGACATTGTATTTCGCAGCAAAGTAGACGGTGCTGGAAACGTCCTGGTCTGTTGCAGGAATGACGATGGCGCCCTGGATGTATAATTAGATCGAGCGCTCGTTACGGCAGTATGACGTACAGCTTCTTTTTCGGCGGCATCAGACCATCGCTTGATTGCAGCAGGATAGTCTGGGGATTCTGGAGTCAAGATCACAGAGTCGGACAGCTGCTTTTGCAGTTCATTCACTTTGTTGGTGTCCATTATGTTGTTCCTCCCGATGAATATTGGTGATAGTGTTTCCGGAAAGGGAAAAATATATATATTCCATCAACTCGGGGGCCACCACAATATATACATGACCACTACAATCGTGAACAACAAATAATGACGTGAATACTAAAGCTGCTGAACCACGGAAGTATATATTGTTGACAGTCTGGAACATCTGGGGTGATCGAGATCGTCTGCGTTAAACCGTGGTTCGTGCCATTGGATCGTCTGATCAGCCTAGACTTGCACGCGAGCTGTCCAATAGGATTGTTTATTATTTTCCAGTTCCTCGTCAATTTATTTTTCATTAAATTATTAATTAACCAATTTAAGTAACTGTGTAATGTCGTTTAATCTGTTTCATATGACACTCCACAGCCACATACGTAGTGTCATGTGATGCTCAGCCCGTCGATCTGCTGTCTGTTAATTTCGACATCACCGCGACGACGTGTCAACAGGAATAAACATTTGATTCTGTCGCCCACAAAATGGGTCGATTAAGCCCACAAGCCCGGTTCATCATCAACGAAGAGCAGTGGGCCAAGGTTGCTCCCAAGCCGCTACCAAAGAAGCGACCGCGGGCGTTGAGTGTGCCGCGGGAAGATGACCGCCAATTCAGCGTGTGGAATGTTCTGAAACAACCAAGAAAGACACTCGATCAGAGTCAATCACGGCTGCTTTCTCTGCCATATGAAATCCGAGTGATGATCTGGAGGGAAGCTATTGGTGGGCTTTTGCTGCATCTGATGCGTGCTCCGCATAAAGTGGCCAGTTTCAGATGCTCCGACGAGGAAGAAGGCAAGGAATATATCCAGTCAGGCCATTTCCACTGCATGTCGTATTATCAGCTCAGAGCGAGTTATTTTTCATATTGGTGGGAAGAGCGAAATACCGATGCCAAAGTGAACCATGCCAATCTGCTGCCTCTGCTGCAGACATGCCAATTCATGTATGTCTCTTGATCTTTCCCCTTGACTTTTTATTGACGAAATAGATACTCCGAAACCATCGACATGATCTATCAAGACAACATCTTCCATCTCACCAACACAGACACTCTCATGAACTTATCACGAACAATCTTACCACATCGCTTCAACCAAATCCGAATCTTGCATTTACATTGCGCCTTTCCATTCCCAATATCACAAATCTATCACGAAAAGAGCCACATCGACCGCTGGATCGAGACCTGCTTACTTCTGTCCGACATGAAAAGCCTCCAACAGCTCTATCTCTATCTTGGTACTGGGCTCATCCCCAAAGACCAGGATGAACCTGATCTGGAAAGAAATGTTGGTCTTGTTCTGGCACCGATGAGCCAGATCACCCAGACTGCTGTTTTTGATGTTAGAGTTCCACGGACACATGAGTATTTCTGTCAGTTTGGGACGAAGAATATGCCGTTTCGATTGTTGTTACAAGCAGAAGATCGATCAGATAGAGAGCCTTGGCTATAATTGCTTCAATATGATGCCGAAAGAGCTTCATTCTTCGTAAGTGTACATGTCGTATAGTATCATGGATTAGCTGGTACATCCAACCTTGTGACACTTTCTTCAAGACATCTTCGGCTGGTATAGTAAATGCTGAGTTTGGAATGCATGAAAGGCTGAAATATCTTTTTTATCCAGTCAACCATTTATTGTTCAACGTTTGACTATCCTGTGGTCTGAAATAAATACTGTACAGATAGGCCCTTTCTCATCCATTCGCAGGTCTCCTTTGCGGAAGCCACGGATGCGAAAGCAGGTCCTGCGCCGTGGTCCGGTCCTCGGGCCTCCAGCGTAGCATTCTAGAAACAAAGTCTACAAACTGGGACATTCCGTCATCATCATCAATTTCTGTAGCCATAGAGATCAGATCCTTTTTGCTAATGAGTTCGGGGAATTTAAATTGCCCTATAAAATCGATTAGCTGTGTCTAATTAGAATACAACGAGCATACCTTGAGCGTCAAAAAAACGAGATGTTTCTTTTCCGTGGCTGAGAAGATTAGGTGGAGGGGGCCCCAGGAGGGAGATTATCTTGCCCAAATGTGCTTCGTATGATGAGCCTGAGCCGCACGAGTCCGGTGGTGTGTCGAAGGGACCACGGCCGTAGAACAGGTCCCAAAGCTGATAGACTATTAGTGGTGATCGCGATTATGATAATGAGGTCTTTACCATGACCCCCAAGTTCTAAATGTCAACACTATAGTCCCAGTTGCCCCTAAGATAAACTTCTGGAGCCTGATATCCCTCTGGCTAGATGCGGTGGCTGTTTAGGGGCCTGTTGCCGCGCACGGCAAGCCTAAAGTCAGTGATTACTGATCTACCCAGTTTATTGGGCGACAGTCCCCAGTAATTCCAAGATAGGTATATATCCCAACCATCCAGTTATTTCCATGGAGAAGGATTATTCATCTCATCTTATGTAACTAATTACAGGACAGATAGGTTGTGTAGGGCCAGTAAGATGTTATCAGACTTAAGATCTTATTTATCTGTCAGCTGTGACTGATTTTAGGACTGGGTTAGTTAAATAACTAGGTACCTGTATAAATAGCGTGGCACTTAGTGTGGAGGTACCATAGCCCTTCTAGTATGAGTTTAGATACTGGTTTCAAGACATTGAGAGGGATGGTGTTTCCTTTAAACTGATGCTTTAGCATCTAGAGTGGCTCATAAAGTACATTAAAGACCATATAAATATAAGTGCTGCCTGGGCTAGTAACATGGAATAAGTCTAATAAAGTGGCGATAAAGTTACAGCCTAGATACTGGGTGTTTGCCTTGGTTATATGCTCAGTAATGCGCAGCTCCTTCTCTGCAGATTCTTGAGACTTATAATTGTTTACATTAACTTTGATAGCCACATATTGGGGCGGAAGCCATTGCTACCTATGATAGTGAGATTAGGCTTAATCTATTATCAGGTAATCCCATATACTGGTGGAAATCGCGTGCTAGCTATACTATCGAACTTGTTCCCCAGCCTATTTTGGCGGCGATTTGGTATCAGTTATTGAGCATCTCATAAAGACGTACAGGATAAAAGTGCTGAGGTTTATAATGGGGCATGTGCTCTTCCTCGACCAGACCTGCGGTAGGGAGTAAATTTGCCGGGAGAGGGGAGGGCTTGCAGGGAACGGACTGAATGATTTTTCTAAGGTACATGGCAGAGAAATAAGTACTCTGCCGTTGGCTTCTGTTGGTCGTGTTGGAAGCAGGGAGGCGGGTTTATATAAGCAATCAACAGGAAACTCGTCATGTGATTTACATGTCCCTTCGATCTCCCAATCGCCTTGGACCGATGGGGTTCAAGATATCTGCGATGGAATGTGGATTTGAGGTTATATAGACATCACGTGATACTATACCATGAGCTTATTTCCAACATAATCAATGTGGCACTTGCTCTCTGATTGGGTGCTATTTTAAATGTCTGGTCAAAGTGGGGCCATCCAAGGCTGCAGCGTCTGTTTTTGGTGATGACAACAAAACACCTTTCTTCATCATCATTTTCTATCTTATTTCTCCATCATGTCTCTGAATGACCTCCCACCAGAGATCCTACACAGTATTGTCAAGTATATCGATAATGATCATCCATTCAGCCTACTGGATTTCGCCCGCGTGAATAAACTCTGCTATTCTGCGACCACACCGATTCTCCTTCAAACCATCAAACTATCATTATCCCATCGCGATGATCTGGCCCGCGATGTGTTACATTATGTCCAGCTATACTCTGAACAGCTAGAACGCACCCAAAGTTTCTCGTTCGTCCGTCGTATTGTCATCGATGTTGATGAATGTAAGGATGGATATCCAGTCATTTCACCTGCCGATCGGGGACGAGGCGATCATAGTACTTTGGATGGTTATCTGGAAAACTTTAAAGGAACGTATCCAAAGGTAGACATTCCTGCTGAACAGATGGAGAAAATAAACGATGCCTGGAAGCCACTGGCCGATTTCATGCAGAAATTACCAGGACTGACAGATCTGTTGTTTGGATTGCCCGATCGGTTTCCGCCGTGTGTTTTGCATACTCTACATCAGCACCTTCCACAGTGCAGGCTGCATCATCACACATTCAAAATGCATAGCATTATGCATCCAGAGACAGATTCATCTGAGTTTGAGTTGATCACCTCACCGTCTCTATACAGCATCCGAATGCAGGAGTCTGCCATGGGTGGCTTTAGACATGAGCGTATTCGTGACTATAATAAATATGCCCTCATGCGGTTGACGAGTCTGGCTCCCAATCTCAAGGAAGTGCATCATTATGCAAACAACAGAAGAATGACTCGCGGATGGGAACCTTGGTCTGGATTTACTCAGGACGAGAACAAGGATACTCCGTCCCTTGGCTCGCTGCGATGTCTCCGATTGTGTGACACCATCCCCATTGAGGAGGAATTTATCAGGGACTGGGCAGCACATACAGACTTTTCCAAGCTGGAGACCCTAAGAATCGAAACGGAAATATCACAGGATGCGATGGAGTATCTAGTCGAAGAATGCGACCTCTCCTCGCTCAAGATTCTCGTTCTGAACATGGCTACGGATGACGTCGACCTCGTCCAAAACCACGAATACTACGACACTGCGAGACAGCTTCTCTCCAGTCTGCCACGCTTATCAACACTGAAACTGATCGGTTGGCATACTGAATTACCCTTTCACACGTTCCTCGAACATCATGGCCCGGAACTACGCAAATTGTCGCTTTCCGTTTGTCCCACTGATCGTCTGACATGCTTCCAGATTGCACGGATTGTAGACTTCTGTCCGGTTCTTGAAGACCTTGAACTCACCATCCCGCGGTGCCGGAGCGATATTACTGAATACACGATGTACAAACTGATAGGATCACTGGAATGCCTTCAACGCGCTTCGCTGACCTTGGATGCGTCGAATTATGACGTTCTCTGGAATGATGGCCCGGCTGAGACTCCGACGGATGAAACATTCGACGAGTTTGACAAGCAGTTCTGTACTGTTAATTCAGCTTTAACCCGTCATCCGCGCAATGGTCACGTCCGAGATGCAATAATCAACAGCGCAGTCGATCAGCACCTCGCAAGCGACATTTTCGATGCCATCTCGTCTGGAAAGCCAGATGGTTGCCTTCCCCTCGAAGAATTGATTCTGCGCGTCCAGGGTGGGGGCAAGTTTTGGAGCGACACATGGGCATCTGCTCTAGATAGGATGGTACGGCATTTTCCGCGAGAATGGATTGTCAAGCGGAATCAACGCGACGACAGCCCGAGCAGTTTGGTCATGACGGAGATTCGACAGACAGACGATGAAGATGAAGATCCACTCGATCTGCCGCCCTGGTTGGAGGAAATCTTCCGTCGGATCTGGCCGGAGAAACGAGAGGGAAGTAAGTGGTGGGAGGACTGGGCGAGTATGCCTTTGGAGTGGCCTGGTCAGGAGGATAACTCGAACGGTGATGACTTGCAGGCGTTGAAAGAGCGCTTGTATTCGATACGTGCTAGTTGATGTGATTAATTACCCAGTCGTCATATATATTTCAAGCAACTTAATAGTCTTGATCCCAGCGAGAACGATCAAAAAACTGTGCCGGATACGTACTTTCTCCTTGGCATGGAGTTTGTCCGTACATGATGTCGGAAATATACATCAACACACACCAATTACTGTATTGAGGCAATGCCCTCTGGAAATAAATAGACGACATTAATTATAAAATTCAAATTTATTTATAATCCCTGAATGAACAGGCATCAACATTGATAAGCGATAACCCCTTATCTTATCGCCGGAAAGAGTCCATCCGCATCGCGCCATTCGCAGCCCTAAAGAGGCTAAAAAGACGGCAGGTTCCAACTGCGAATCACAGGATTTGCAATTCAATCAACATGGCTTCTCATACTGGGCACAAGTATGAGTTTGGTGGACCGTATGTTTCTCTCTTGTCACTTGGTGATTATGCTGACTGTCTAGTCTCGGGGCTTCTGCTATTGTGTTTGGTCTTCCGGTTCTGCTTCAGTTTTTTGCGTTTGCCTGCAATGACGTCTCAGGTTGTCCTGTTCCATCGCTGCTGAGTCCTAGTACCTTTACATGGGATAGATTCAAGATAGAAGCTGGATGGCCGGATGGTGGTGTTTGGGATTTGTGGAGTTGGAATGTGACTGCCATGGTGTTGGGCTACTACCTCTTCAGCTTGGTTCTATGGAGGGTTCTTCCGGCCCAGGAGGTATACGGCACGAAGCTGGTTCAACATGACCGTCCATTGCTCTATCGTCTTAATGGTAAGCATCCTCTACTGATAGCATGCATGAGCTGACAGAAGAAGCCTTTTCGGCTACTTTGGTCCATCTTGGGATCTGCGCTGTCGGGACCTATCTCCAAGGCGCAGACTTTATTGTGTGGACTTATATCACAGATAATTACGTGCAGATCTTGACAGCCAATATTGCGATTGCCTATCTCCTATCCATTTTCTGCTATATCAAGAGCTTCGGCGTCAACACGAAGTATCCCAATACCGACCTCCGCGAACTCGCAGCTGGTGGAAACACAGGCAACATAATCTACAACTTTTTTATCGGCCGCGAGCTCAATCCACGAGTCACCCTTCCATTCTTCGGTGAAATCGACATCAAAACATGGTGTGAAATGCGCCCTGGTTTGACCGGATGGATTCTCCTCGACCTCGCCTTCATCGCGAAACAATATCGCACCTACGGCTACGTCTCCGACAGCATCATCTTCACGACCCTCGCGCAATCTTTCTATGCACTTGACGGACAATACATGGAATCCGGCGTTCTGACCATGATCGACGTCACGACCGACGGGATGGGCTTCATGCTCTCATTCGGTGACCTCGTCTGGGTTCCTTTCCTTTACTCAACACAATGTCGCTACCTCTCCGTCTACCCCGTCCATCTGGGCTGGACTGGTATCGCAGCCGCAACCACCGTCTTCGCCCTGGGATTATACATCTTCCGCGCGGCAAACACCCAGAAGAATCGCTTCCGCAGACAACCCGACCACCCCAGCGTCGCCGGCCTATCCTATATCCAAACGAAACGCGGCACGAAACTCCTCACAGCTGGATGGTGGGGTCTATCCCGACACATCAACTACTTTGGGGACTGGCTTCAAGCGTCCCCGTTTAGTTTACCAACCGGGCTAGCGGGGTATACTATCCTGCCCGCGGGGAGTGTCGCTGCGTCTGCAAAGGTGTTTACGATGCTTGATGGACGGGAGGTGATACAGGGTGATGCGCGGGGATGGGGGGCTTTGTTTACGTATTTCTACGTGGCTTGGTTTGCTATTCTCTTGATCCATCGTGAGGGAAGGGACGATGCGATGTGCTTGAAGAAATACGGCGCGGATTGGGAGACGTATAAGCGGACGGTGCGGTGGAAGATTTTGCCTTGGGTTTATTAGCTATAGACAGCATTGGCTGGCGGTCGACTTGAGTAGCAAGTAACTGTCTGAATCCTCATAAGGATTAGTCAAAATATCGTTAACGTTTAATCCTTTTCACCTCATAATCACTATGCAAAGGCACGCCATTCAGCCTCTTTTCATCCCTCTCTGCTTTAACAGGAGATTCCTCCTTGCACTCTATCTTTGGTTCACTTTCCGGTTTGACTGGATCCGCTTGCAGCCAGCGGCAGAAGAGCTCAAACGGGGCATGCTCGTGTTTTTCAAAACTGTAGACATTACTGCAGGCAACGACCAGCTTATTATCCTTGATATGTGCTTGCAGTATACGGCCATGCTGGGGTGGCATCAGCGACACCATGAGGGTCTGCGTCTGTTAGATTACATTCAATTGTATATCAACCTGCATGTGAAAGAAAAGCAAAAGAAGAAGAGAAGAAGCGGGAAAGTAAGCGTACCGGGAACTCTTGCGGATCTTGGAAATTCTCGCCTTCAAGACGGAGCCACATCGCAAGAAGGACGTGTCCCAGCTCGTGACGACGCAGCGAATCCTGATCATTTTCAAGGGTCTAATGCTCCATCAGAATCATTATGTGCGAAAGCACTTCATCCTCATCGCCGAAAACCATTCGTACGGGATGTTTCGTGCGTTGAAAACCGGGTGGGCAGACGTAGATATCGGCCAGATTATGTGGCTCACTGGGTAGGACATATCTATGTTAGAACAGATACCAGGCGTTGAAAAATGGAGTGTGCTCACGAAATGCACGCCCACTTGGTAAGGTCATTGAGAGAATAGCCCGTCTCCGGTGGTATATTCATACGGGCCAGGTGGTTGAGATGTTCGTCAAATATGCTGGTAATCCGGTGGACACAAGCATGGGGAGTCCAGGCAATCCGTTCTGTGAGGGGGGATGATTTGCTGATTCGCTCCACGATGGACTGGTCATATTCTCTGATTTTGACCGAGTCTGGAACATCACCATCGCCTGCTCTGGTCGACCAAGGTCTTAGGGGATGGCCTTCTAGAGTCTGAAGAGATATGGGCTGGAAGTAGTCCATGGAGCTCTGCAGGTCGAGCCGGGTGAGCTCGATTCCCATTATCTGGCATTGCGTAGTGTGATAAGCTCATTCTTATGTTTTCGGACCTTATCGAAGATTTCATACACTCTCTTCTGTAGGCGAGATTTGGGTGTTTCTGGTTGCTTCTTGCGTGGCATTTTAAAAATACGCCGCCTGTGGGGTATCGAAACATTTGTTGCACGGGAAGTGCGATGAAGGTAAAATACTGCATAACGTAAACGTGTCGTACTTGATGTTGGTGTGATGCGGTGTTCCACGTAATCAATGACCGAGTTTGTTTGGCTTTCTTGCATTCCCAGAGACATCACGGGGCCTGTATTCATCTCGGTTGTATACTTCTCCAGCAGCATAATGATGTGGGAAAGAACCTCATCCCATCCTCAAGATCATTTGCGTGTGATGCCGATTCCATTCGAATCCCTGGGGGCAGTAGTAGAGCGAGACAAGATCGTTGGGATCTCTCGACGGCGACAGCAGTGGTCTCTGGCCTGACTACGCATACTGCGTTGGTGTTTCATCGACAGCAACCACCACTACACCACCGACAACGACAACCGCCTCTCGAGATATTACCCATAACATCTGAGATGCGTTTTAGACAGTGTTTGGGATGATTGTAATAATAGAAATAAGTATATCTCTAGGATAATTATGCACTATAAGATCCAGTTCGGGTAATTCCGACACACTAACCCCTCCACGCCTAAAGAGCCCAACTTTCACTCTCCATCCTCAAATTCTCTCAGAAAACCATCACAATGGCCTCTCTTCCCACGGAAATCATCCATCCCATCGTCTCCTTTCTCTACATCACACCGGATTCAGGTTCATTCACATACCGAACCAGGATAAAAATCGCCGACTACGCGACCATCTCCCGCCAATGGCAAGCAGCCGTAGAGGCGATTCTGTGGAATCGCATCAAGCTGCTGTACGGGAATCACGGGGATGCACTTGAAAAATTGCACCAGTTCACGTCAGGAACAGCAGACCGACGAGCAAGAGCTGGCTATATCCGGACCCTTGTGTGGTCGCCGGAGATCAACTGGGGTGATCTGCTGGACGAGACAGGAAGTGACCATGCCGCGTACGCGAATCGTGTCCATGGTTTCTATCATGATCAGTTCTGCGCATCACTAAAGGATGTATTCAACATGTTGGACTCGTGGAAGGATCGACAGTCGAATCTAGAATTGTCGCTTTGGGTGTCTGATAATGATCTTCTAGATCCTGGCAATGAGGCAATCGAGGATGAAGAGATGGCATCATTGACGACGACTGATCTGTGGACGAGAGGGCAGATCCCCCATTCCCTGCACTTGACAGAAGACGATATCCAGGATCTGCCGACTCTCCCGTTTGTTCGATCTTTCACCGTCCATGACTCCGGCATGACCACCGTTTCTCCATCAGCGTTTTTCGGTATCCTCTCGCGCTGTCCACACGTCAAGCATGTTGCAGCCGGAGAGGGCGATTTCATCCCCAAAAGTGCTCTACTTGGTCTCCGCGAGCAGAGGCAAGATGTCGTCAAATATCTTCCTCTGATTCCCGAATCAGTCGATACATTGACATATGAGCTTTCCTCGCAGCGAGAATTAGCGCCAAATCCAATGTCCAATGCAGGAAACTATCTATCGAATAATCTCGACAACTTCTCCATCGCGTTCAGAATGCTGAGCATGCGCCTCCGCGAACTCCGTCTCCACGACGTCCGAATCAGCAGTTCTTTCTTCTGGCCTTGTGAATATGAAAATGCCAGTCCAGCGGATCAGTACTGGCCAAATCTTGAGGTTCTCGAAGTCATCGACGTACCCCCATTCACAGCAGATGGTATGGCCCTTTGTTCTCCTCTCAGATAACTCAACTAAGTAACCAGGGAAATGGATAATCGACGACGACCCCAACAAAGACTGGGAAGGCGATCTCGACACGTACGGCTGGGAATACGACAGCGATTACTACGCGATGCGCGGGATCATTAAAAGCCACGAAGTCGACCATTTGTATATTGCCATGGCAAAAGCAGCGCGCCAAATGCCGCGACTTCGCCGGCTGAAATTCTGCTTCCGGGGCGAGGTTGGTGAACGGGGGAGTATGGAGTATCTGAAGTTTGACCGGGATGAAACGGGGAAGGCGAGGCTGAGTATAAGTACGGAGTGGGAGTATAGCCTTGGGGAGGGAGTTATTAAGGCATGGGAATTGAAGGGGAACAAAGCGGACGGGTTTAGGAATAAGTGGAGTGTGTCTTTGGATAGATGGCCAGCATAGATTTATTGTCTTTCAGCTTTATCCATAATATAGACAGGATATTAATGAAGAAATCCTACACATTCCCCCATGTCACGATGACCCTCTTATCTAATGGCGTCATTTCTCACCAACGAAACATGCACCTTTCCTTATCGCCCATGTTCATTGGCATACGGAACAACAAAACCTGATTCGGAGAATACACAGCCTGATGTGCGAGCCGTGTCACAGAGCCTCGATCTATATGCAAGGCTGCGTGTTTGTGACACTCAGCCCTTGAGTCAAGGTCAATCCTCTCTCAAAAGCACAATTCGACTCGAATATCCAAATGATTATACAGAATGCCAAGTTACTATGTTTACATTCCCTCCCGGACAGATCGTGGTCCACTGCGGCCGAGAGATGTCGAAATGGCCAAAATGCCGTGTTATGTGAATGAGGAGATGCCACGGTGTGGTAAGTCTCACTTCCTGAGCCTTATCGAATATCTAACGAGTAAGATACGTGTATTCTCTGCTTCGAAAATATGAAGCCGATATCTCTGTTTCGAAAGCTGCCATGCGGACATATCTTTCACAAACCATGTATTGACAACTGGTTGTGCGGTGAGGATGGCAACTGTCCTGTCTGTCGAGAGACGTTTTATCATCTCAGATTACCGTTTGTGGTTTATCATTCGGGTGGTGATGAAGGGGGAGGGGAGGGGACGAGGAAACAAGCCCCTGGGTGGTGTGGGTTGTTTTCATGTTTTCGATCTTCATCATGATATAGATTTAGACTTCATGTTTGAAATATGGTTTATAGAGGTTGTTTTGAGTGGAGAAATGCTATGTTAAAATGTATATCACTCCCGATTTCCAAAGATCCACCCCTTATGAAGAAGGTGAAGCCTCCTTCGGCTAGCTTGGCGATGAATGCAGCACGTCCATGGGTAGACCGAGATGCTTCTCAGCTTCTGACAAAGAGCATTGATGTTGAACTCGACATGGCTTTCTTGGGGCCCTTGGTTTTCGTTGAAGATGTATCTGCCAGAATATGTCCCACTGACAGCATGGAAAATCCGAGAATCACAAACTGCACTGATTATCTTTCAGGGCTGTCAGAACACAATTTGTCTTTAAGAGATCTCAACTCTCGGATAATCAGTCTGTAGGACGGGGAATTGGCGTTTTTGCATCGACAGATCGTATGATGATCTGTGTTCTCAACCGGAATGGCTTCGTGGTCGGGAAGCCCAGCAGACTCCTTGGAGACAATAATCTGCAAGAAATATAGAAATTAGTCACTTCTGAAAAAACACCTGTATAGTAATGAGCTTACGCTTTTTTGTAAAAACCCAATGCTCGTTTTACGCGTCTCATGCATGCAACAGAATGTCACGGGCAACTGCATGAAGGCTGTCCTTTTTTGCTCCGCTTGCTCATCGGATGTGCTGAGTATATTAAGTAAGTCCTTCCTGACCCCAACTGCCTGCACAGACAACTTCAGCAACTTATTCCAGTCTGCCAAGGAGGTCCCCGAATGGGGTGTTGCCAGAAACATTATGCCGCATTTGTAGATATCTATAACATCATCGAATTGCGAATTGCCCTGCAGTCTGATCATGGCCTGGGTATACAGCGTTAGGGCTACCATAATGAAAGTAGAATGATGAGGAATACTGTACCTCTCGTGCCACCAACCCTCCCAGGGAGTGGCAGATGAATATCATTGGCCTGTCTCGTTCCTAGGTTCATGTTAGCGTTAACTGGAAATTGTAATGCAAATTTCGTCAAGGCACCTCCAGGGATGAGCGAGTTCGCACAAGGCTATGTAAGAGAGAATCTGCCCACTGTTCAAGTCCGGATCGGTTTGTCCGATCTACGATATGGGACGCATAGCCAAACGTCATTATGCGAGCCGTACGAAATTCCTTTTCTCGGGGGAGAAGGTCGCGAAGCCACATGGTCGTATTTTCCGTAAAAGTGTCGAAGGCATTGCCATTCAAACCGTGAATAGCACAAATACTGTTCCAGGTCAGTATCAGCTTCCATGGCATCATTAACAGGACGGATGGCATTTGGCATACTCGACGACTGGTTGGCAAGCAGAATGCACGACGGTCAATCCGTCAAAAACGTCATCTGCATTCGCGATCCCATGCAGGGAATTCAGAGATCTTGTCTTCTCGCTCTTAGAATGAAAGGTAACAGTCGCAGTTTTACGCGTACCCTGGTCTGCAAGAGAGATAATGGCATCCTGAGTGGAGGTCCTGCGGCGCGCAAAGAGCGAAAATGCGGGTTGTTTGTCAGGATATTCAAGTGTCCGAATGATATTCTCGGGCCGGTTGCTTGAGATGAGGCCTGTGAGCCGGAGTGACTTCTCTGAATGGGTGCGCATCGTCAAAAATGAATCCCCAGATTCCGTGTTGAACAGCACATGCGAATACTGTCTGTGGACTCTGAACGCGCTCTACCAGACAGAAGGCAAAGCGCGACTGTACCCAGGGCTAGCCCTCTTTGGGTATCGCGTCGAAAAAGTTACAGCATTTCCCGAATAGGAAATGCCTGCAGGTGCTGACCATTTCGTCTCCACAGGGAAGGCTGGACCCTCTACTTTACAACTACGAGAGCACTGCAGACGGCTGTAAAGATGTTTACTATTTCCAATTGCCATTCAGCTGTCATATCAATTTATACTGATCCAGTCAAGATGCTCGGGTTTATTCAGGGTTCTCACCATACAGTCTCTCCCAGCGGAACTGAAAAACCGGATCAGGTCACCGACGCTATGTAAGCATAGCGTAACCGATGACATTTCCTCAAAGTCTTCATTCATTTTTCCAATCCATCGTCAAAGGACAACATACAATGGAAGAAAAGGGATTCGACTCCCAGCCCAGAAGCACGGGGACGACCGAGGAAGTTGAATATACCGGGCCTTCCCACAAGAAAGACCACAAAGATGACCTCTGCAAATTGCTATCCATTGTTTGGGCTGAGGATGGGATCATTCCTATCGCGCTTTTCAGAGAATCATGCAAGCCTCAATCTGAATGGAGCTGGGATGGGGAGCTCCACGAGCGACGTTCAGCTCTCTGGACATTTCCACCCTGGCTAGAGGCCAGTCTTGCGCGGTTTGAAGATGGAAGTACCTCTAGCCAGCAGTGGAAGGGCTGTCATATTGAGAACATGGTGTTTGGCAAGGGAATCGTCATCGGGAAAGAGTGTAAAAATATTAATCTTTCGGGTATTCCGTATCAGGAGCAGCATTTCAATATCCTCACAATTGCCCTACAGGCCCTTCCCGATCAATACAGCGAGGTTCTATGGCAGGCAAAGGAGGATCAGCTGTGGGATGTCATCGAGACAACATGTCTTCCTTTCTTGTGGGATATACATGACCTCCGCAGATGGATTTCCATGTCTTCGTGAGTATCGATGGCTAGTTACAATGGATAGAAATCCTAACTCAAGCATGAAGGCTCCCACACATCCCGTACCTTTTGCATCTGACCAAGTTTCTCGTCCGGGTTCGCAACCGTAATAGACACAGTCTACGTACATGCCCCGCTGGACATGCCCAGGAAATCCTGCAAATTCTCCGACGAGAAACGAGCCATTATGAAAAGGCAGATCTGAACTATCTTGAGCTTGCAGCGGATCTGTGTGAGATTCTGAGTGCACGCCGTCGTCCACCGCTGGAGATGCTAGAAGACGTCAAGAAGCTCGCCTTTGATCGGAAAGATATACTCGATAGAAGGATGGTTTCAGAGATCGGATTCACCCTGTTTGATATCGCCAAGACCAAGAATGGAACGGGAGCAGCCATGCAGTCCTGGGATATCTCCTGGTGGTTTTCACTGATACAGAAACATCCTTCGACGATGGAGTGCATAGCCATGTCACTCAATCTGCCCGATGATGCTTTGATTAACAGGCTTCAGGATTGGCATTTGAATATCGATGCAAAAGCTGTTATTGGAATGGTAGCCACAACGAAAGAGTCGCATTCGGAGGCAATCCGCATACTGGACACGGCAATTCCAGACGTCAAAGCGAGGTACGGCGTTCAATCCATCGAGACTCTCGTAGTCGCTACAGCCCTTGTCATATCGTGCAATATCCTGCTTCAACACGATGTGGCTGAAAGGTGGGCGCGAGTGATCCTTGGACAATCGTCACGGAGTGAAAAGAGCTCCGCGGATACTCAGCACGCGGATCTTGAGTGGGCAAAGAGAATCGTGAAAGGGGAGACTGCACCCGCTCGTTTTGTCCATCTGCTCACTGCACTGGCAGATTTTTTCACTTGCCGGGAATCATACGCTGCTGCTGAAAGCCTTCTCGAGCGAGTCATTACAATTGACACCAGGATCAAGCCGAAAACGAGAATGATTACATATCTCATGATTCTAGGAATGTATGAAAAGCGTGGAGACCGGATGGAGGAACCGAAAACATGGAAATACCTCCAGCAGGCTGTCAAAATCCTCAAATATGTATCTTTGGAGCAGCAAGATAAGTGTCTGGAGGAGACTGTCCGTATTTTCCTCTCCCTTGATCGATATAACCGAGCGAATCTACAGAGAGCAGGAGAAATCCTCCATTCACTGTTTCTCGCCACAAGGCTCAGATGTAGGAATGTGCAGCGTGGGAGGCTCCGTGAAATTGCAGAGAGACTCAATATCTTGTGCCTCTGTGGTTCCCCCATGATGTTGGGACAGAAAATCCTTGATCTGTTTCCCCAAGCCCATCCCAGGATAATTGAAAGAATATCTGAAGTCAGCTGGGCCAGAGGTGTCCATATATACTGTTCCCACCCGTCTTCTTCGTCGAGATATATTGACATTGACGTTCAATCGCGCGGCTTTGAAGAGCCTGCGTTGCGGCCTTCCTGGACCAGTAATCCGCGCTCGTTGGCCACTCTGCTCGAGACGGTTCAGCGAAGATGTCCGATTTGCAAGAACCGATTTCCTGTTGGCATGACCAAGGCACAGAAAGAGTGAGTTGGACGCTGGTGACCACTGCGTAGCCCAGAGTTGACATGTATTCCAAGACACCATATCATGCTCGATCTAAGCCCATATATCTGCCCTTTCCCGGATTGCTGGCAGGGAAGCGCCTGCCACTCATCGAAGTCTACGTATGCAGCTCACCTCTTCCAGCATCTTACCAGTGTGTTCTATACCTGCTGCCGGTGTAAGACATCATATACGAGATCCGACAACCTTGCCTATCATCTGCGTTGCTACTACGGCGTGAAAGAACCCACCGTGGATTTAGATTATCATGTCATTCACCCTCCAAGGAATGCGAAAATGATGAAGTGTCCCCTGTGTTTTGAGATTCTGGATATCACGGCCTTTCTAGAGCATATATGTCATCACATGGAAACTGTGGCAATGTCCTGTGTTCCAGATATCAAACATACAAGATGGATCCCCTCCTTGGGCATCATTAATACCGGACCCGGGGTTCCTAATCCCCCGCCACCCATGCCGGCGGTGGATGATTTCGCACCGAGTATATTCGAGTTCATGACGGAAAGAAACCCAAGTCCGCAGATTGACCCGCAGGTAGGATACTTCAGATATGCCAAACGATTTAGTACTGACTATATTTCATTAGGGAGCTCTCCCCCCGGTGCCCAGGTTGAATACAGACATCCGCCCCCCTGGCGATTCAACGCCTACTCAAGAAGACAGGGTGGAAATTTACTGCGATGATTGGTGTGTGGATGCAAGTAAGATTGAACACCCTTTCGCGAAGAGGCCAGACTGACCATTCAGGATACAAGCGCCCAAGAAATACACAAAGATTCTTCCGGGTCGGCAAGGTTAGTTACTGCCATATGAGACCAGAGTGTAAAGATCTAACACGATCGAGGTATTTTCTATTGTACGTCGTGATTCTTCCTGGAATAATGCCATCAAAGACATTACGCGAGCCACGCCCGAAATGCGGGTTCATTCCTACATCCAGCGGCTGATTGTTGTCTGGGAACAAAATGATTGCTGCTGGTGCGTGTACGTATGTCCTACTTCGCCATTTCAATCCCCATCTAAGATATCCCAGACCCATCACCACCTATGGCGGCAAAGGAGTCGTCCAGGCAGGCGTAGACCCTTCCAAGCATGCCGTCCTTTTCGTCCGTGGCAGCATACCCTATACATCGCCAGAAGAACCACCCATGGGCAAGTCACCGATAGAAATCATCCCGTCGATCCCGATACGTGAAATGCTCATGTTTCGGGTTAATTTCGGCAGGGTGCATACGATCGAGCATAACGCGACAGTACTTGACATCGGAGATGTGAGTAGAGAGTCACTGCCTACGCTGCTAGATCATTTCAAGGAGGAACTCGTGTACTCGGGGCTGCATTATCGGTCTTCGGATTTTTCTGCGCGGACATTACTCAAATACTGGAGGAGGAAGGATTGACATGCTTCATTCCAGCTTCCAGGGGGAAAATCCAATCCAAGCAGGAATATTGACTCAATCCTTTGTCTGAGCCCCGCAACGACGGATAACCCTGATGAGCGGAGCGGATTTGATTCTGATTGACGCGTCGATGCACTCATTCCAAGCGATGTTAGTCTGTCTGCCCATATTAGAAGCAAATCCTGGACTTGTATCCATAATATGAGCGGATATTCCTTTAGGCTGGGTAGTATTCATTCACTGTGTTATGATCTGTTTGACTCGCCATATTAATATTATTCGACATGGACACTAAACCATCTTCCCTCCATGTGGAGGAGAATCCGAAGCAACTGAACGAGGTGCTGTTTGAGGGACTGAGCGATGAAGAGACGAACAAGTTGGAGAAGGGCCGTATGCACGGTCTCTTGTTATCAAGACCAAACTGACTGTATCGTGGTGCGCAAAATCGACCCGCATCAAACCATCCAAATACATCCCCACAGCCATCTTCATCTGGGGCGGCATCTTCATGACCATGGCAGCCACCAACTTTGCCGGCATCATACGTGTTCGTGTTTTTCTTGGCTTTGCGGAGTCGCCGTTCTTTCCGGGTGCTTTGTATGTCTGCCCCATTATATCAGGGGACGTGGCTAACTATGGCAGACTACTCATCAGTTCGTGGTATAAACCGTCGGAAATCGCAGTGAGAGTGGCGATTGTCTACTGTGGAAACACCGTTGCGAATGGCTTTGGTGGGCTCATCGCAGCCGGTATTCTGAGTGGATTGGATGGGAAGGGAGGGCTGGCTGGCTGGAGGTATACTTCTCTAGTACATACTACGAATCCTACTAATGAAGATAGATGACCCCTCATCATCGACATCGTCGGCAACGTCATGGTCATCTCCTCCTCCGCCACCGCCGGCCGCTACACAGGCATGTTCCTCATGTGCGCCGGCTCCTACGCGGCGTTCAACGTCGTCCAGGCCTGGATCGCAAGTACCATTCCGCGAACCCGCACAAAGCGAGCCATCGTGTACGCGCTCGTCAATCTGTTCGGCAACTCGTCGAATATCTATGGCTCGTATTTCTTTCCCACCAGTGACGCGCCGCAGTATCGGTCTGGGGGGATCATTCTGTCGTCATTCGCCGCGGGGGGTGTCGTCATGTCGTTGATATTGGCAGCATATCTACATTATCTGAATAAGAAAGCTACAAAGGAGGAAGAGACAGATGGCCGGATGAGATATAAGTATATTTGGTAGTTATCCTATTCTAGCTCTAAATGATTACGCGGTCACTTCGTTCAGCGTCCCATCTTCAATCCCGTAGATGAAGCCGCGTATGTCAATGTCTTTGCGGATGAGTGGTGATCTTCGTAGGAAGTTCATGTCGTCCACCACGCTTTGCTTGAGACTGCATTCCGTTAGTATAATCGCAAACTATTCAACTGAAGCAGAGTGTACTCTTTAATCTCCCCAAACTTCATTCCCTCCAGGTTCTGATGACCGGGGAATTTCGGCTTCAGACCGGTCCGGATTTCCTCGTCGGTTGTGTGCATTAATCCGCAGTCTTTCAAGTCAGTCTGATTTTAAACATAGCAAAAGAAACGAACCAGTATGATGGATAATCATAATATGGTCTAATCCAAACAAAGCCTCCAAACCGAGGATATCAACCGTCGCTCGATTCGCCCGGCCGCCAATCACCCGAACGACGGGGTACGCTGATCAGTCAGTATACACCCTCTCAAAGACAATGTAATACATACTCGGCGATGTCGTATTCGGCATCTCCAATCTCAAAAAGCGCTCTGGGACGACACGGGGGTCTGCGCATGTGACTGTTCCTGTTAGACATAATCACACACAGCTGTAGAGAGATATTTACTGATGATAGTCTGCGGACTGGGAACACGCGCCCCCTCTGGGCCGGTGATTGGAGGGGGCGATTGATGGGTGGGCACATATTCTTTGTTTTGGTCGAGGAGAGTGTCGATTTGGGACATTTTGCTGTTGACTGGGGATGATATTGTGCAGGTATGTTGGTTGACTAGTGGTGATATATAAACACACCGATGATGTCGTGGTTACAGAATGATAACATCACTCGAATTCTGCATAATGACTCAATAACAGTCTCAACAAGATATCAATAACATCTACTGCTCCACCGCAGTGTCTTCATGATGCACACTCTTCTCAAACAGCTCCGTCTTCTCCCCTCCCCCATCGCCCACCAAATCCAACAACCCAATATCCCGCTCAATCTGATGTCTCAACGCATCGTCTTCCGCAGCCATCCCCTGCGATCCGAAAATCTCGTCCATCTCTTCCAGCGTCCGGCCTTTGGTTTCGGGGACGACGGTGATCACGAAAATCACGCCCATGACGGTGAATAGGCCGAAGAAGATGAATGTGCCGTAGCTGCTGCGGCTGATGAAGGGGGAGGTGAAGAGGCCGACGGCGAAGTTGTTCAGCTGGCTGCATTAGTTTTGTGAGACGTTTTGGTTGGTATGGCTATGCTTACCCAGTTGCTGCTTCCGCCGATACTGACGCCCTTGGCACGCATGCTGAGAGGGAAGACTTCGGAGACCATGATCCATGCCACGGGGCCTATACAGTCAGTCAGTCTGAGAAAATAGTTCAGCAGGCATAGACAGCTCACCCCAGGAATACGCGAAATTGATAATAAAGATCCACACAAACACAACAGCCACCCATCCAGCCGCAGGATGGCTCGCAAACTGCCCGTCATATGCGCCAATAATACCCGCCACGATGAAATGGCACACGGCCATCCCGATACCGCCCGCGATGAGGATCTTCTTTCGTCCGATGTTGTCGACCCAGAGGACGGCGGGGATCGTGAAGACGAATTCAAAGATGCCGGCTACTCCGGTGGCGAGGAGGGAGGTGGTGTTGCCGCCTAGTTCGAGGCCTTTGAAGATTTGAGGGCTATTCTGTTAGTATGGATAGATGGATGGTTGTGTAGTTGGACTCACGCGTAGTAGTTGATTCTGCGATGGTTAGTATAGATCATATAAGAAGGCAAGGTGACTCACGCATTGATACCGTTAAACTGCTGGAAGAACATAGTCATGCACTGCATCCATTAGCATAATCCAACGTCTTATCCAGAATGCGTACCGCAATCACAGTCCTCTTGAACAACGACTTGTTCGTAATCAACGACATATAGTCCTTAACTCCAATCATAAAACGGCTCTTAAACGACCCATCCTGATACTCGGGATACTTCTTTTTGGCCGTCTCGACCTCAAACATCCGCAAGGCTTTAACTTCAAGGAACTCAATGCGCACGAGAAGATCGTCGGGCGAGGCATCGCGGAGTCGGGCGAGAGTCTGCAAACACTCCTCTTCCCGTCCTTGGTTCATCAGGTGTCGAGGTGACTGTGGCATAAACATGATCATGCCAACGGCGAGGATGATCGCAGGGAGAAGTTGGATGCACACAGGAATTTCCCATGCGGCAATGGACTGGCCGGCGCCAGTGCCTCCGATATAGTTTGTGCCGTAGCCGATCTGACGGTCAGACAATTATATCAATATATAGCGATGGAGACCTACCCAGAAGCTAACCATGATACCAAATGTAATGGCCAATTGCTGCACTGCCACCAGCGATCCACGAATTTCCGGCGGTGCCTATACTGTCAGCCATTCCATCTCTATCCACGTCATGGGCATAGACAGCGCATACCAATTCAGCATTATACAACGGCACGATCATACTCAAATTACCAACACCCATACCAGTCACAAACCGGCCAGCATAGACATATCCAGCATCCTTCGTACACGCCTGCACAATCACACCCACGGCGAAGATGACCGCCGCAACAACGACCGTCTTGCGACGACCGGCAGCATCGGCCAGGTATCCATTAATCAATGTTCCCAGCCACGCACCGAGTTCGAGAATCGACGTCAACATTCCTTGTTTGGTTCCGGTTTCTTCGGCATATCCGTGTGTCTGGGAGAATTAGCCGGGTACATGGGCAGAGGAAAGAAGGTGGATCCTACGGCTTCGATGAAAGAGGACATGGTGAGAATCTGCGCAAACATTCCCTGGTTGTCTGTGTTCATCAGCATTGTGTGTATCTATAGGATAAGAAAACATACATCCATAGACAAATCCTCCCAGCGATGCAAAAAGACCAATACCAAAGGTCTTCTTGCCGCTGATCAAACCACGCCATCCGACCTTATTGCCAGCCAACTCGGCTCGCTTGCCCGAGATGCCCTGGTCTGCTATACCACCAACCATGCTGTCGACTGTCAAAAAAGAGAATATTCAAATTGTCCAGTATAGCTGCCAAAAAGTAAGGGGGAAAAAAGAAAGCAGAGACTATTTAACCACTGCAACATCCCAGCCCAAATGAGGGGAAGACAAGAGACTACAGCAGCTGCTAAACTCCTCCTAACGAACAAAACGCCGGCCATGCATCCATCGTGTGCCTCATCCCTGATGCATTCGATGTCTATGATTGGGCTGCATTTATCCTGATATACCCCGGCGGCTCCACCCGTGCCTCCTTTTTCTCCGGCCATTTATCCCCGTGGGGGGGCTGAATGGCAGCATCCGGATCGTGGAGGGAACTTGCCATGGGATGACGCCGTCTTTGGCCGTATGCCGGTCCGAGTGAGACTGAAACTAATTAATCGAGTCTGTCTGCTGAGCGCCTGCTGATGCCGGCTTTTCCGGATGAACTAAGCTTTGTGGCACAAAGCGCTTCTTGGCTGAGGTAGTTGATGTTGGAATTATTTATTGTGTTGGGTATTTATTTATTAATTATTTATTGTGGTGGGAATTTATTATGGCTGCTCTAGTTATCTATTGATCGTGAAGATATGATCGTGTCAGTTCAACTAAAATCTGGGGATAATCTGGGGAATGGGAATAGAGGAATCTGGGGATTTTGTGGGCTGCCGTGGGGATCCGGACGGCACCACATTTAGCCGCCAGCGTCGCATTCTCCCGCCCGCGTGGCTCCATCAACCGGGCTTACGAGTATGTCAGTCAGACAGTCGACGTAATATCCATCTGCATTGCGTTATATAGCCAATCATATGTACAGGTCATTGCAAATCACTCCTCCAGTTTGACTTCTTCCATCTCCGACATCACCGTCGTTAGTTTCTGGTCTTCGATCGACTGATATTCGGACCACGGGGTGCACGTCAGGACCGTCGCTAGTCCGAGTCCGAGCGAGTTGAGATTGAGAAACACCTCCTGGCACCATTGATACTGCTCCGAATACCCATGGCCGTGAAAGAATTGTGCCGCCATCGCGACCGGGAACAGCAAATGGTTCCCCCCTAGCACGTTCATCTCGGGTCGCAAAAAGTATCCCACCCCCCGACAAATTTGGCCGGCATAATATCCGGCCTTCAAAATCGGGTCTTCCACCTGTTCCGATTCCAGCTTGGCTGGTTTGCCATGTCGGCTGTTCTCGTCTGACGCCGGCTGCACCGGTTGGCCAATGATCATCTGCAGTCCACTCAGGAGTGAGTGTAAGAGAACAAGCGCAACCCAGTAATACATGTGTACCTCTCCGATTTCCAACGATGCAAAATGTATAGCCTCCGGGAAAGGATTCCTCCTACCCGTGTAGGGTATCTGATTATTGGTTGCAGCCTCCGTATAAAGCACTTTGTTGGCGGACTGCAGCCGATCATACCACGAAAATGTTCGTTGCTTCAACTTGAGCAGGGATTTCAATATTCGATTACCAGCTTGCGCCTGGTTATGTGCTGACTGTAACGCACCAAGACGTTCCATAATGCCAGTACACTCCATAAGAATATCAAGGATTTCGTCAACAGGCTCCGGTTTCGCTGGAGTTAAAGAATGCCACATTGGACAGAACCTCATAGCGCAAGTCGCTTTTCCAACAGCATTGTATATCTACGCATAGTCAGTATTGTCGTGGAGATAAAGGACAAGACTCACGTTGGATAATTTCAAATGGCGATACAATTCAGTCGACTGTCGGCTCTCCTTCAACGACCCTCCATGCCGGGACAAGATTGCATTTGCCCCATGCATATGGACCATCCATCCCAGAAACCCAGAGGGACAGTTTATAATCTACCAGCCTTTAGAAACGCATCTCTAGTGACGCTGTAGCTAACTCACCTCATACAACTGAAACACCACGGTCGCATAGAGAAGCTCCTCGGCAGGAACTCGGCTCCGCTGAATCAATAACGACAGGATCTGGATAGCCTGATTATAGAGTCTAATTCCATGATGAACAAGCCGGTCATCTTGATGTGTCTTGCCGACAAAGACAGACGCCAAGGCGGAGATCGCCTTGTCTAGTAGCGCACTGTTCTTCCCACCCATAAACTGAGGCAATTCCTCGACCAGATACGGCGTCTGTCGATATCTGTAGACAACCTGGCCGGTGGGGTTAGGTGAGGAAGGCACATACGCATCGATAAACAGTGAGAACAGCTGTGAGCGGATTTCCGAGTTGATATTCACGGTCGGCAGGATCGTGTTGGTCTTTGCCCATTGGATGGCTTTCTGGTCATTGGCGAGGCCTGGGGTATCTGCAGACTGGTGGATGAATTTGCGTGCACGCTCGTACCCGCCACAGACGACTCCTCGTTTGATGCATCGCGCACACTGGGGTTGTTGAAGATCACACTGTCGCCCTCTGTCAGCCGGTTCCTGCGCCGAACGCGACCATCGAACATACCCTGACTTTCCTCTTCCGACAGGTGTTGCAGCCCCGGGATGTCCAGGGAATCCCACCCATAATAGATAGACTGGGGGGCTTGGTTCATCAGCCAGACTCTCCGATCAATGGAGATCATGTCACGGGCCAGAGATGGAAAGGATCGAGTCGTACAGCAATGAAAGGAGAGTGAAAGGACGAGGAAAAGAAGCGCATCAGGAGATCGACGATGCCCGTCAACAGGTGGTCCCTGCGGGCCAATCAGCGGCAGGATTCGCCACTCTTGGCTTTATATAGTGGGGTCTTTCCATTTTAGGACTACGCTAGTCCATTTCGGAAAGGCCACAAAATTGGACCGGCTGTCTGGACTATAGACAGGCTATATAATAGGGCATACAGCTATGAGTAGAGGTAAAGTTCATATTGTTTCTTGAAATATAGATAATGCGCTAGCTGAATAATTTTACAATCCATTAAATCATATATGGCAAAAGTATATCCGTCGTGGTCGTACTGCATGTAAGCGTTGATATATATTTCTACACCACTTTGTCCATAATCGGTGTCAGTTCTTGCATCTTAACCGGCTTGGTCAGAAACAGATCCATTCCAGATGAAAATGCCTCTTGCTGTGCGCATCCACTAGCCAGCCCTGTCAATGCGACAACCGTTGCTGGCTTCCACGTCGATCTTGCAGAATCATCAAGCTTGCTCTCATACGTCCTTTCGAACCCTCGGATTTGGCGAGTTGCTTCCAGTCCATCCATCACCGGCATTGATATATCTACTGTAGTTAGCAAGGATATCAAAATAAATGAGGAGTTGGAACAAACCCATCAATATCACCGAAAACCTGGTCGGGTCAGTTTCATACGCTTCCACAGCCTCCACGCCGTTTCGCGCGATTCCATAGTCGTAATTGCCTTTCCTCATATACGCAACTAATAGGTTGAGGTTTATTTCATTATCCTCAACCAACAGCACGGCTGATCGCTTATCTGGCGCTGCTTTGTTTTCAGTCAATCGGTATGGTATCGATGATGTAGTCGGGCATAATATATCGGTTCCGTACCCATCACCCTCCCGGGCGCGATCGTCTCTAACATCCACATCTGGTAGCTGATCCTCAAGAAAAGGCTGTTTACTTTGTAAACGTTCTGTTGTTGATCTTCGCGATATCGCTGGGGGAATGTTGGATGACTGCTGCACATCAAAGCCCGCACCAGATTCATCTATACCTTCACTCGACTGGAATATGGACCCTTTTCTCGACCTTCGGCCCTCTTGCTGCTTCATGCATATGTCCAGCGCCTTGGCCAGCTTCCGAGGTCCGCATGGTTGACTGATGAACTCAACAATCGCAGTGTCTCCGGCGGCTTTGGCGGCTAAGAACATATCATGTGCCGCATCGGGTGACTGGCAGATGGCAATGGCTGGGGATGGGAAACGCGCATTGCTCGACAGTAGCTGTAGCTCTTGGCTTTGGGACGGGGAAACATCCAGCTGGATCACAATGTAAAAGTTACACCGTACATTGCCAGTTTTCATGTTGTCGAAAAAATAGATATCCATCCCAAACCAATCCCGACACAGTCTCTCCAGCGAGGTACGCAGAGCGGTGTCTTGCTCTGACGCTCTAGATGTTCCTAGTCCCAAAACACCTATCAATTTCCCGCGCGCCTTTTTCTTCATGGATAGGAGGAGAGTTTCCGGTGCAGAGTCCTCCGACAGTACAGGGGAGCGGGAACGGCAAAGAGGAACCTCTATAGTCACTTCGGTACCCTTGTCAACTTGGGAGCTGACCTCAATATAACCTCCAAGAGAGAGGACCGCCTGACGGGCGATGCTCAGACCTAGCCCATTTCCTGGTGAAAGCGAATTTTCCTGCATAAAAGGAGTAAAAAGGGAGTTTTGTAGGAACTCCGCACTAATTCCCTGGCCGGTATCTTTAACTGACAAGACAATTGGACATTCGCCAGCTTTACGCCCTTGACTAGCGGAAGTATGACCATTGCCCCCGCCTTTCAAGGCAACAGCAGCAGATGGAGATGGCGCTAATCGAACATGGATGAAACCTGTCTTGGTGTACTTGAGCGCGTTTCCAAAGATGTTCATCAGGATGCGCCGCCAGGCACCGGCCTGCGTGTAGAAGTTCCATTTAACCGCTGGATCGACATCAAAAAAGACTTGCACCGCTCCAGATGGTGAAAAGGCAGTATCGGACATTCCCGATGCATCGGTTGATATGGATGAGCGACGGTTGGTAGACGGGGACTGTGATTGTGGACGGTTGTAAAAGCTAAATCCGGCAAAGACACTTTCGAGAACCTCTTCCAGAACCGCGTCGAGCTGTACATTAGAAGTCAGACTAACCATGTTACCACGCAGCCTTTTGTTAATCTTCGACTCGCTGACAATGGATGATATATGGGAACGTTGTGGATTTCGACTGTCCTGGCGTGACCGCCCCTTTCGGAACTTGTTGATTTGTGCAAAGTCGAGCAAGTGATTGATAGTATCCAAGAGCGTGAGGGCGCACGACTCGATGGTATGGACCATCCCTTGCTGTAGTGCATCAAGGGTAGTGTCGTTCAATAATTCGGAAGTGCCAAAGATTCCGTGAAGCGGACTTCGCAGCTCATGTGAAATGCTGCTGACTAGGTTCGACTTGGCCCTCTCCGCTATCTCAACATCCACACGATGGGCTTCAGCCATTGCTGAATCACCAAAGGCAGCAAGATAGGTCAGCTCATCTTCAGGAGAGAAGACGCGCTGTGGGGTATTTGTCCACACGAGACAGCTCGCGAACCATCGGCCGCGATGAGAATCCCATAGTGGCAGCAGAGCGATACTTCTAGCTTTAGGAAGAAGTTGGATCAGACCATCAGCGTCCCGTTGAAGAGAATTCCCCCGGGCTCTTCTGCGTTCTTTGGGTCGCTGTTTATTTCTTTCTGGTACACCGCTCCGGGATAGCTGACGTTGGAGGGCAAGTCGAGGAAGACCATCGCTGCTTTCATCAGAGGATATGCCTCCACCTTCATCAAAGTTGAAGATTTTACCATGAGGATAGCGGCGCATGAGAGTCTTGAGTAGTGATTCTGGCATTAACACAGTGCTATCATCTTTCGGCGCATCGTCGATGCTGGAAACTGTAGAGGTTGAATACCCCAGAACACCACAAATGGCTGCGCTATCTGTTTGGCTGTCTTTTCCGGCCCATGTTGTTGATTTCAAAGATGGCCTTCGATGGGCGACACCTTTGTCGTCTGACGAATCCGTGTCCGAAAGACTGCTGTCAGCCTCTGGTCCTTTCTCACTAACCAAACCACCGTAAGATCCAAAGCTAGCATCAACAAAAGCGACGCCCTCGACCTCGATTGACTCCCGAACGAGATTCGCAGCACGGGAGAAAACCTCTTTGATCTGAGTAGCGAGAGCGTCGTTCTGGATACTGTCCGTTGATGCCTGGCTTCTTACGGAGGTAGCCCTGTCTGAGGTAGATTCTTGTTTCGGACCATTTTTCACGTGCCCATTCGACTCATCCTTGCTCAAAGATCCAGGTTCAGTTGGCTGTAAAGGACTGATAGACGGTCGTGAGGTAGCATCATGGCCTCCTCCCACGGGGCTTGGAGTATCCGATAGGCTTTGTTCCTCCTGTTGTCGCACATGCGGCTGACCCTCGGAAGCCTCAACCAGGCCTTCTGCGACAATAGATGGCTTACGATCTCGTAGCCACGAGCTACGGAGAGTCGATTTGCCTTCAACAAAGCTCCCCAGACCCACGATCATCCTCTCCGCCCGACGGTGTTGGACGCTGACTCTGGCCATGTCCAGATGTTTCATTACCGTGGCCGCCATGTCGCCCATAAAGCGCAGCTCTGAGGGTTCCAGCCTCAAACGGGGTTGGTCATCAAGGATGCAGTACGACCCAATCGTGATCCCTAAAGGGCTAACGATGGGGACGCCTGCATAAAATCGCACATAGGGGTACTTGCGGACCATGCTACCCTTACTGAAGCGCTCATCTTCTCTGAGATCAGGCACAACAAATGCCACACCGTCCACCACTTTGTCATCGGCAGATAGCCCGGCCTGAGGTAAACCCGCAACGTGCTTGCAAAAGCCGGTCTCCTTGGGAATAACACAACAGCCCACCCACAGCGCATCCGATCCTTCGTGCACAGTGTCGTCCTGCAGACTCAGCGTCCGGGTCGCTTCAGCAAGGATGTGTTGGTGGGTTTGGTCGAAGAGGGATATCATGGCCCGCTGCGCATTCAGTCGCAGAGCGCCAAGTTGAGCGAAGGCTGTCAACGCGGTATCAGACGAGGATCGAGCGGTAGAGGCATCCTGACCGTCATGTCCCGTAGGAGGAGAATTGAATTGGATATATCTAAGGGAAGGCTGCGTCAGTTCTATTCAACCCCGCCTGAGGTCGCATCACCCACTTGTAAAATTCCCGCTCCTGTCGAAGCTTGGATGAACGTTGCTGCGCCGGTGGCGGCGAGAAAGAAGCCATCGGGGCCGACTTATCCCTGAGTGCGATTCGGATGAATAAAGTAGCAATATAAGTAAGTTGGAACAAAAGGCATCATCAAATGCCCCAGTAGAGTTGGCAGTTACCGAAAAAAAAAAGGCAGGACAAGAAGTGACGATGGAGGAGACAGTCTGGTTGCAGGGAATCTGAAGCAGACCCACTATTCAGTCTGGCCAATGGGGGCTGTTGGATGGGGTGATCCTTGTGTGGGGAAATGTAAATCAGGATTCCAGCCAATGGGACTGCTTTAGAATGTGGAGAATGCGCATTGATGACTCCTACTGGTCCAAATCCATTAAGCTACAACGCTAACGGCATTAGATAGAGAACATGTGATCAGACAGTCACATGGTCTCCAACACTCTCCAACTCCTCGACAACGTCAACCAACTCTGCCACGATCTTCTCCATCATCTCATCGATTGCAGATGAGCGTACAACGATTCGGAGCACATCAATGTTCTGACCGTTCTTTCCCCGTCCATTCAACTCATAATCTACAGCGATCAGCAGGTGTGAGTGGACAGAGCACAGACTTACGTGGAATTCAAACTTCCTATCATGCATCTTGTCACTCACGTGGGATAAACTGGCCCAGTGACATCTTTGTTTAAAGGCATCGGAGAAAGTAAACACCTCTACAGGTAGCCCTGATTCAAACGAGTCGCAGTGGTGATGACAAGGGATTCGAATGTTCTTCCCTGGCTCCGATTGCTGCAGGGCACTCAAAAGAGGTTGGCCGGACACATACCTATGGATATCGCTTATGCAACGATAGTATCCGGTGTCTTCAAGGCGAAAGCTCAGCTCCCGAGCTGTAGACAGCAACGTATATATGGCCTTCTGGTATCCGTCTCTTCCCAGCCGACGGAGATGATAGTACTGAACAGCCACGGGAGCATTCGGTCGCGAGAAGCTGAGGGTAAATGCCAGCTGCGTCCAACGAAGGTAGTCTGGCTCAAGAATAAGGCTCTCTGGCACAAAGGAACGATCCCGCCAGACCACCCATCCGACGGCGCATGTGGCCAGTCCGAATTTATGACCGGCGTCGTTGATAGACCGTACTCGTGGCAAATTAAAATCCCTGCAATCACCAGACATGAATAATTCAGCCTGCCGTGTTGACATCCTACCAGTCGACAGTATTCCCGTGCGTAAACGGGGCTACAAATCCCCTGCTGGCTGCGTCGACATGAATCGGGATATTGTATCCAGTGCGAGCTTCATATCCATCCAGACAGGCTGCCACCTTCACTGGGTCATAATGGCCGGTGTAGATACTCCCAAGTTTTAGGAATACGCCAGCTGAAAAATGTTAACATTCTTGTCCGTTTGACTTAGTTCAAGGCTCGTGCTGGTTTTGTCATCCAGATAATCCTCCATTTTGGTTGCATCAAATTTAAACCCACTATCCTCATTCACTGGAATCACTCTCACCTCGATGTCAAAGTATAGATCCGCGAGCATCGAAACACAGTCTTGATGGAAGCTATCCCCTGTCAGCGGTGATTGATCTGTGTACCCTGGCCCTCATACTTGGCAATTGACGTATATTCTCCAACACAAGCGTGATGTTTGTCTGAGTTGAGTGCCATAAGTCGAGTGGCTGCGCTGTCCTGGCTTGTTGTCACGAAGCTAGATCTTCAGGCTGTGCACCTGAACCCAATATCAAATTCTTACCTCCCCAGGTTATTGGCTGGGCTAATATCCTGCGCCGTTGCCTTTTGCATCATCTCCTCCATCGCATCTGCATGTGTCCCCGTTATTGAAAATGACATATTTGGCGTTCTTCCAAGGTTTAGCTTTGCCTGTCTATACCGGATCATTAGCTCATTATATATATATGTCCAATCCGGAACCAGCAAGGGCGTAATTCTATCAACGGTGTGTCTCACTACATGTATTCGCCATCAGAGGAAGAAAAACATTCAATGCCATGTAGTATTACCAAAGAAGCGACTTCATCCCCTTCAAGGTAGGTTTACCGAATGATTGTAGCTATACAATAGAGGTGAGGTGATACAACATGTATTGTGTTTGCGATAATCCCTGGCATACGGAGCACGAGTAGCTTTTTCTGGCACTCCATTCCTGCCAGTTTGATGGAACTATCCCATCTTGCCATGTTGTCCATGGTGTCACAAGGCGTAAATCAGTCACTCAGTGACTCGGCTAAGATGGCTAACAGCCCATTATATACTAACTAATTACGCTTGTTCCTTTTCTTCATCATTCCTCTGCCGATCTGCAAGCAGGCATAAGCTCCGTACATGTCTTGATAAATCGTCAATAATGACAAATAAAGACCTGATTCGGCTGTCATAATGCACCTGTCATTGGTTTTGCTGTTTTGGAATTTCTGTGCAACCACCAAGGAAGTAACACCACCATTCACAATATATCTTCCAAAGCACGTGGAAGCAGGCAGTTACGTCAAGTGTTTCTCAACTAGGTAGGTCCATATTTCATCTGCAAGGAGTATACTGATGATGCGTTATCTCAGCTCTCTTTTAGACTTTAACTCAACAATCGATTGATCAATCACATCAAGGTTCATCAAAGGATTCTGTAGGGTTTGCACTAATGCGGTGTCATTTCCATTTTTGGAGTATGACAGTCAATCTTATTCAAGTGCCTGTGAGCGGAGCTTCCGAGTTATTCGTATGCAGAGTAGCTAAGGCATCGTTTTCAGGTATATTCAGGGAAGTATAGACTATGAACCTAATATAAATACTAAGGTAGAGAATTCTTTCTGCTCAGTATGACCATCATGGAAAACATTCAATGATTCTGCAAACAATCAACATTCGAAATGGGTATTCGAAGATTCCTGTAACTCCCACAGCCTGCGCTGCTTCCTCGGCCTAAATCTCCTGATAAACCAGACATCCTGTCTCGTTGTTCCCCAGGACGCATCGCTGGCCACCCGTTTAGAAAGGAAGCCTTCCTCGTTTCTGCCTTTTCATTGTTGGTTCATCAGTACTATGACCAGTCTGATGTCTCTTTTCTTTCAGTCCAGAGTGGAAATGTCAGCTCTGGTTCTCCGGCTCCGGTGGTGGAACGGTGTCGTGTTACAATTGACACAGATGCCACGTTGGATGATTTGACGTCTTCGATTGCCATGACAGACCCGACGTGTGATAACCAAGAGGCAACGACACCGAAACCTGCCATATATATAACCGACGCCAATTTTGCAGTTGAAGATGATTGGGTAGCCGGTCTGTTCCATGAACTTGATGGTGTATGTTGGCTGAACACTTGATTATCTGGCTGTTCCTAATTCTCTCAGATTGATGTACCGCTGGTAGTATCTACATCACCCGATAAGTTGATCACCCGCACCTATGTCAACGATAATAATAAGCCGACGTTCAGCTCTCATGCTTTTGTGGAGAGCTATAGACGAGTATTAGTGGATGTTCTATTCCAATCCTCGGCTCGGATTGGAGATATCCACGCCCTTAGCACTTTCGACGGATTGAGACTCATGGCATGGAATGAACGCATTGGCACCGAGGGATCATCCACTATACACGGCTTGAATCAATTGCAATTATCGGAGAAGACCATCGGATATCGCGATTTCTTCCACAGATGAAAGCATCACCTATCGTGATCTAGGTCAGCGCTCTGCCGCAGTATCATGCTATCTCAAGAGCATTGGAGTGCGGAAAGGAGACAGTGTGGGAATCTGTTTGACCAAGTCGCCATGGGCCATCGTTTCCATTATGGGTATCCTAAGGGCTGGGGCAGCCTATGTCCCCATTGACCCTGCGACGCCGTCTGAGCGAATTTCTTATATTGCTCAGAAGGCGCAGATGAAGTCTCTGGTTACTGAGGAGAGTATTGTCAAACGATTGAACCTAACGATCTTGGACCTCAGATAGTCACCACGGCGTTATACCAAGATCTGAAGACCCCAGAACTGTGGGAGAAGGAGACTGAGACAGACTCGTCAAGCCAAGCATATATCATAGCACAGGGATGCCCAAGGGAGTCGTTCATGAACACAGTTGTGTCGCAGGGTCTGTGCTTGAATCTATCAAATCATTTGATTTGAATGACAAGACGCGTTTTCTCCATTTTGCATCGGCTTCATTCGACGCAAGTATTCTAGAGATATTTGCACTGCTTACCACAGGGGGTATTTTATGCATACCATCGGAAGACGAGCGACTTCAAAAATTGGAGTCCACAATGGGCCGGCTTAAGGTCACAGATGCCAGCCTGACACCTGTGGTTGTCAGTCAAATCTACCCACGCAATGTACCGACTTTGAAAAGCCTCAGCATAGGGGGTGATGCACCCACAAAGGAAATACTCTCGAGATGGTCTAGCCAGGTCCGACTTAACAACGTATACGGGACCACAGAGACAGGCGTCTGGGACACGGTCAGGTCTTATATGAGCCCACATGACCATCCCAAACATATCGGAAAAGGTATCGGAGTCACCTGCTGGATTGTCGATCCGTCCAATGTGCAGAAACTAAGGCCCGTCGGGCTCAAAGGCGAATTGCTCATTCAATGCCCTTACCTGGGACAGGGCTATCTGAACTAGCCATCCCGTGAAGCTGAAAGCTTTATACAACCCCCGGAATGGGCAGTATGCTTTCCCTGGGCAACCTCATATCGAATGTACAAAACCGGAGATCTAGCACGACATGACCAGAACGGCGATATCATATTCTTTTGGAGAAAGAGTGAGTTTGTCAAGATCCGCGGGTTGCGCGTGGAACTGGGTGAAATAGAGACCAGAATCAACTCGTTGCTGAATGGTGGGCGATCAGCTGTTCTGGTTAGGGATAAAGATGGCGACCCGGAAGTCGTGGCCTTTGTGGAAAAAGGGCACGGGCACGAAATGTCATCCACCAACTGGATTCGCAGAAGGCTGAGAAACTTTCTCCCCTCTTACATGGTTCCATCTATATTCATCCCCATCGATACAATGCCATTAACCAGTTCTAAGAAGATTGACCGCCAGTCCTTACGAGTTAGTTTGGGTCGCCTTGCTTCGAGAATCTCATGAAGCTCCGAAGTGGAGAAGGCTCAAACCCAGATTGGCAGGAGATCCCTGCCGATAGGATCATCGCCATTGAGATCAGCCATTTGGTTGTTGATATCTTGGAAGCTAAACGGACGTCATCCATGGAGTTTCTGCGCGAGCCAGACTTCCCACTAGTCAATGCCGGTTTCAATTCAGTCCACATCTCGTTTCTGGCGGCGTCAATCCGCAAGAAGTACGGAAAGAATATCACTATTACCGATTTGCACCGACCAGGAACAACGGTGTGTGGTATTGAGGAAATGATTGCGGGAACAAAGGCCGGGGAAGTCACAAAAGGAAGCTCTAGAAACCTTCTCGAAGATCTCGGGGCAATAAAGAAGAGGCTCCCCTTTTCAACCGAGACTCCGCCCTTTCAATTTGCCTCAAAAACGATCCTCCTCACCTCCATAACCGGATTCCTGGGAAGGCAAATGTTACGATTTCTATTGCAACATCCCAGCGTCAACCGAATTATAGGTTTGGTCAGAGCCAAAGATCTTGACCAGGCTCGTGAGAAAATCAAACAGCAAGCCTTGATCGGACAGTGGTGGCGTGATGAGTATCAATCTCGCATTGAAATCTGGCTAGGCGATTTGAGCAAGCCTCGATTGGGTTTGCACCAGAACAATTGGGCTGCGTTGGCTGGAAAAGACGACCAAACACAGATCGATGGGATCATTCACAACGGAGCCAAGGTAAACTGGTTGGAAGCTATGATACCCTCGAGGCAACGAATGCTAACAGCACTGCTGATATTCTCTCTGCGATTGCAAATATGAAAGTGCAATGTCCACTCAATTATGTATCGGGAGGATATCTATCCTTCACCAACGAAACCCAACACCAAATTGCTCGAAACCTTGCAAGAGCTAGCGGGTACGACCAAACCAAATTCATGTCCGAGTTGATAGTTGGCGAATACAACTCGTACCTTCAGAACCATGCCTCTCGTTTCCCTCGTGCTATCACAACGAAACCGGGGTTCATTGTTGGGACAAAGGATGAAGGGGTGGTCTATACGGACGACTTCCTGTGGAGATTGGCCTTTAGCATCCTAAAACTTGGTGCCATCAGCCAGGACCTTGTTGAGTCACATATTCCCGTAGCAGGTGTGGACCACGTAGCCTCAAACACGATCGAGAATCTCTTCACAGCACCCGGGAGTACGCGGATCCAACTCTTGGATGGTGTGAGCATGGCGACCTTTTGCGATATACTGCACAGTCAAACTGGTATCCCCATCAAGACGATGCACCATGGCCCGTGGATGAAGATCCTTCAGACAGATGTCGAGCAGGCCGAGTACGACCATTCATTTCTCCCTTTAATGGAGTGGTTCCGGGCAAACGCGCATGATCTCATGGGCAATCCATCCAATGATTACAATCAGCATTTCGATGAAGACATAAAGGCTGCCTTGGTTAAGAGCACGGGATACATGATGAATATTGGCTTCTTGCCTTCTGTCTGCGGATGGACACAAAAGAAAGATGTAGCACTCTTCAGTCGGCCTGGATGATTGTATGCAGCAGATATCATTTACTGTGGCTAGAATTCAGAAATATTCATTCTGCATTTCGCGTACTTTCCTGGTTAGGGAATAGCCCTGCATGTTTCGTCTCTTCGCCCTGCAGAGAACGCCGAATGGGGGTCTAGTCTTCGCAGATCGGTCGAAATGGAAATCTATACAAATGAGACGACTATTCTGGATAGAGAAATAGTCTAGATTGGATGCTCTCTGCCGTTTCCTAACCCGAAAAATGAATCTGTTTGATCTATGTATCTATAAAAGGGCGTTTGGGCTTAGTCAACCCCACAAAGATCGTTGCTGGCAATTTCAAATAGCCTGAATTCGTGGCGTTCTTTCATTCGTCATAGGTGTTCAAATGACAACTAGGCATTGAGAACAGGGACGTTACGAGTCAGATAACCCCGCCATTGTGGCAATGTTCGCTTCCACGGTGTATTCGTCACTCTCTGTACATCCTCAATCGCACTAGCATACTTGACTAGGGATGGTTCTGCAAAAGCCGTTTGGAAGATCGCAAGTCCATATGGCATGCCAGAAACTTTATTAACCCCTGCTGGGATTGTGACGACTGGATATCCTGCCTGCGCGGGGATCTGGACACTCTGTGCAACATCCGGAGGTACCAGCAGACCATCTAATTGTCGGTTCCCGTACTTGAGAGCGGCATCGATTCCTTCTTCGCGGGTGGTGCGGTGGCAGAACGAGAGTGCCTGCCAGTATGTTACATTCTGGATCCCTTTCGAAGCCAAAGAAGCTTCAAGGCCATCTTGACCGGAGCCAAAAGCTGGGTGAATACCCGGATAGCCGCCCTCAGAGCCGTAATTATCAGTATTATACTGGACCAGGTCCTCAAGTGAGCGGATAGTCGTGTTTTCGAGCTCTGCTAGATATGCTTTGATGTTATTATAAAAGTCGACTTTGATATAAGTGTACTCAGACTCGTTGGAATATCCTCGTGTGGTTCCATAATCCCAATCCCAGCCATCAGGTGACACTATAGTTTCATAATGTGGGAGCTCGGTGCCATTAATAACGGTAGCACCAGCCTCCTTGATCAATTCGATAAGTTCAACGAGTTGGGAAATTTGGTCGGGATCGCCGAATTGCCAAAATGATTTCCATGGTAGACCAAAAACAGCGCCATGGAGAGCGGAGCGGTTACTCAGGAACTGCGCATATCCACCACTTGGGGTCTTTCCCGTCTGCGCCAATGTATAGTTATCGCGGGGATCAACGCCATAAATTGCATCGATTGCATAGACTGCATCGCGCACGGTTTTTCCAAACGCACCGACAGAATCTTGGTGAAGCGACTCGGGGATCACACCGCCACGAGATGTGAGCCCGACCGTGGGCTTGAAGCCAACCACAGCATTCCGCTGTGCAGCATTGATCACTATCTTGTCAGAATCGCACACAATGAAGATGAACAGCTATACATACCACTGCCGTCTGTTTCAGTTCCGAGAGCAAAGGGAATGAGGTTCGCTCCAACCCCCACACCGGACCCCGAACTACTTCCCCCTGGGTTTACAGTGAGGTTATACGCACTGCGACACTGCCCACCACGACCCGAATATCCTTCAGAGTAGTTGTTCGATCGCATATCAGCCCATTCGCTCAGCGCTGCCTTCCCCAGCAATAGTGCTCCCGCTTTACGTAACCGATCCACGACAAAGGCATCGCGAGGGACAATGGAGCCTACCAAGGCCCAGCTGCCGGCAGTGGTTTCCATACGGTCCTTGGTGGCGATGTTGTCCTTGACGATGAACGGGATACCATGCAGATGCCCGCGAACCTTTCCCTGGGCACGCTCTTCATCAAGAGTTTTTGCGATGGCAAACGCGTCGGGGTTGTGTTGGAGGATAGCACTGCGGGGTTAGCAGGGGGATGGAGAAGTTGACGGTTAACATACTTGAGATAACCACTGGTCTGGAAGATGCGTTCCAAATAGCAATGCAGCAGATCGACACTTGTCAAGACACCGTGGGTCAAATAAATCTGAATCTGGTCGATGTCGGCCTCCTCCAGCTGAACCCCACGACACGGGCGCATGGGGAAAAGAGACGCGCCGCTGTTGGTGATGAAGGGAAAATCATATTCAGACGCAACGATGGTCTGATCGATATCTGTAGCGGTCGCCAGCCTCAGCCCTAAACTGCTGATTAGCAGGGGTACAAGCCACATTGTTGAAGCTGCTAGAAGAAGGGATGGAGTCGAGCTACAGCCCAGGGGGGGGGGGTTTGTCGTTTTTGTTTACGCCTGTTTTGTTTTAATTGGGCGGAGATAGTGGGTTGGCCGACGGAGATAAGCTGAAATGCCTTGCATATAATGGTCTGATCACGACCGTCTATCATTTAATATCATCTAAAAAACATGCATTCTATCTTCAGACATAATACATGAGTTTATACAGTAAACTTGGTCTTGTTCTCCTCGGCGCTGTCCTTTGCAGCACGCTTGACTGCATCCTCTCCGGCCTCATCGAAGATGTCGTATCCCCATCGAGCAGGGAAGTTGAATCGCTTGTGTCTCTCCAGCGAGTTCAACTTGACAAATACCTCGTCTGACAATTGTCTCACTTGGAGGTTGCTCAGAATACGTGACGGAGTCACGCTCTTAGGCAGAACCACTGTTCCTCTCTGCACTCCCCAACTGCCCAGCAAGACACCGGCGTCCATTCCTTGTTCCTGGGCGATCTGCTGAACAAGAGGGTCATCGACGGTGCGTGGCTCTCCGGTCTGGTTGTTTCCGAGTGGCGAGTATGCCTCCAGCACAATGCCCTTGTTTTGGCAGTATTGCAGCAGATCCGGCTGGGTGAGATATGGGTGGGCTTCGACTTGGTTTGCGGCAGGAACGACATCGACCTTGGACAGCAAATCTTCCAATCGACGGATGTTGAAGTTGGAAACGCCAATTGCCCTGACCTTTCCAGTTGACAAAAGCTTCTCCATCGCCTTATAGGTGGCAACATAATCGATATCAACAAGGTCAAAGACACCGTCCTCCTTCAAAGGAAACCATTTGTCTCCTTTGCGGAAAGCACTATTTCAATCAGCTATCGTTCTGAAGCCCATTGCATTATTCAAACTCACCATGGCCAATGCATCAAATACAAATCCAAATAGTTCGTTCCCAAATCCTTCAACGTCTTGTCGACAGCCCCCTCAACCTCTTCCGGGTCGTGCTTCGTATTCCACAGCTTGCCTGTGATAAAGATCTCCTCCCTAGGTACACCAGACTTCTGAATTCCGCTTCCCACACCAGTCTCGTTGCGGTAAATAGCTGCGCAGTCAATGTGACGGTATCCGGCCTTCAAGGCATTTTCGACAGCAGCTTCGACTTCAGAGTTGGGAGCTTGCCAGGTACCGAAGCCGACGGTGGGCAGTTTGGCGCCAGTGTTGAGGGTAATGTGAGTGGGAAGCATTTTGGCTATTTCAATTTGACCAGAATTAATCGATCAAGTGTGATGAGGGGTATCAACGTGGGATGCGTCGAGATATAAATATGGATTGTTTCATCCCACTTGAATGCATATCCGGGGCGGATAACGAGCGGAAATGCACTCAAATCCGCCCAATCGTCATGTTCGGATTTTGGGTTTGGAGGGGTATATTTCCACATACCCACATGATGGAAATTCAATGCATTGTTCCTGGCATATGGGAGAATTTGCATGACATTTATGGAAGTGAGTGACCCTCGTTCTCTAATCTGCATCACCACATTCCAGTCATTATCCTTGGTTTGACAATGCCGGGGTAGTTTATAGACTCTGATGACGATACTTTGACGACTTTTAACACAGATAGTAGACTACAGTGCGAGGATTTCGACCTTATGAATACCATAAGGTCCAGGTCTACTTTAAAGAGCGTATGCTGGATGATATTTGAAGTATAAAATGAAATGGGATCCACAGTTTGTTTCAACTCTCTCCATAGTGATGCACTGCCGGCCATTCTAGTCTGGATTGGAAAGACAGAATCGTTGAACATGGCGTCCTCGGTTATGCAATTTAGGCTGGGTCACAGGGGATATAGCTTAATTGTTTCTCGACTACGTGCGTTTCCGTCTCGGTTCTGGAAGTAGCCACCACCATAATGGGAATAACCTTCTAGAAGTGTTATATCCTTTTAATTGATGGTAGATAGAATAATTCGTATGAGCGGCTGACTGTAGAACAATTCCAATAGTGGCAGGTTGCACCGGTCCACCTGCCATCTGGGCAGGTCGGAGGTCACGTTGTCCTGGATCTGGAGCAAGGCATTCACTGCCGTTGAAGGCTATATACCCAGCTTTGAAGCTTGGTACGCCAGAATATCAAGCTTCAGCTTCATGTGTGGTTGCTTCCCGGTTGGGTCAAGAGTGCCAGAAGAACCATCGTTAGAACCTTTTCTTCAGCGGTGTTGCGTGGAAGGCATGTTTTCGTCTTTCAATCTGGCTATATTCATGTTGTCTTAAATCGGCCCATAGCAGATTTGTAACACAGTCAACGGTGTTGCTATTTCCTGGCATAGCTCATGTACTCAGGTGAAGTTAGTCCTGAATCTCGGTGGTATATACGACTTGACGGTCAATACGTATCTGACCTGTGGCTTTTTATATCGGGATAAACTAGAATCAATCAGTAAGTTTTAAGGGATTGGGGCGCTGGGTGTACATACTGGTAGACAATCCAGCTGCGGCCAGAAATTCAAGGATGGATCATTATCAAGCGCAAAGCTTTCGAATAGACTCTCTGCCCGCGTGTCGGGGAAGTTAAACTCAGGAAGTGCAATATCCATTTTCTGAGCTCCATACTCAGGCCCTGGTATATGAGGGCTCAGCATTTCCTCTGCCATTGTTTCATTGTTTCGTGTGGACTGGGCTCGGCTAGAGCTGGGTTGATGGTCATCCGATTCCGAATCAAGTACACGATTCACCTCACATCGTAGTCCTTCCAAGATAGCGCTGTATCGCCATGAGGGAGCGTTACGGACAGTCGCTTGTGCGAGGTGCTGCTGGGTGGTTTCAGCCAGCTCATACAAAGTGCCTTTATCCAAATCGAGTGAGCTCCAAGAAGAGCACGCCGGGATGCGTCCCCGTTTGACTTGGATAAAATAGATATAAATCGCCGACAATGCATTGAATGCAATATATTGTGAGTACCAAAAGGACGGAAACAATTGATCGTCTTTGACAAAACTCAATATAAGCTGCACTGTGTTTCTGGCAGCCATGACACAGGCAGTGAGATAATGCTGATATAACCCTTCGCACTCAGGTAAGTCCTTTGCGTAATTTCGCAAAAGCAAAGGTCTGGTGACAAACATTGTTGCATGAAATAGTGCCAATTGCAGGACGGTGAGCTGACGACGAAAGATGGGAATAAGGCTGCTGGGCTGGATGGCACCAGATAAAATTGGAGGCAGCCGATTTTTCCATTCGGTGATATCCTCACTCAATGACCGGATTGCTTCAATCTGCTGGGCATCCCCCATTGAATGAAGAGCATATTGTTCCTTTGCTGCCCGAGCTAGTATTCGAGACAACAAGGAATGAAGAATAGGTGCGTTCATTACGCAGTCTTTTGTAGGCTGTGGCCTTGATTCCATGGCCTTCAAATCGTCATCATTCACAGCCGTTGGGAGCTCTTGGTCAACATCCTCATCCTGCAACAAACGTGGCCGGCCCAGGATTAGACTCAGATATTTATCCAACGTGTACGCGCACCAGAATATCCGCTTCTGACATTCTAAAACAATATGATCTGGCGTCGCCCATTCCGATACAGACTGTTTGCGGTGCAGCCCTAGACACATCATGAGCTGCACCATAGTTCCAAAGGTAAACCAGGCACGATTCGCTCGTGAGGAGCATAAAAAATACAGCACCATGAGAAAGCGAGACTGCACCGATCTCAGAGTAGGCGCCCCGGCCTCGTAGGATAATCGCTGTTCAGCCATGGTGAAATAGATTTCGCTGTGTCTCCATCCTTCTTCATCTGCATCGCGCAGCCGACCATTGGAATCCACACGGAACATCACGGCCGTGGCAAACACCATAAGTAGTGCGGACTGGGTGGCAGCTGGGAGTGGACACGATGGTGACTCCTGGCTGTAGAATGCATCGACCCAACTGTCGACGGTGGCCTGGTGAAGTATCCTATAGGTTGGAGAAGCGAATTCAAAATACCGACGGACTAAATCGCGCGCTATCATAATATCTGGCCAGTGAAATAGACTTTGATCGACAGCCGGAACTCTGCGATCTCCATGGCTGAATATGGAGGGGGAAGTTGATGCATCCACGTCGGGCTGGGTTGTGATCGAGTGTCTAGAAGTGTTGGAGAATTTCTGAACAGCCCTACCCAGGAAAGAGTGGGTGGATGCTGGGCCGCAGTACTGGCCCACAACATCTGTGACCGGATTTGGCTCTTGTGATACCTGTGGCGATGGGCTATCTGAGGGACGCAATATCGACAACGGAGTTTGATGTACTGGTGAATCAAGAGGAGTTGTTGGTACATAGGGGGAGTGATTCTGATGGGAGGAAGGAGGAGGCAAAGCAGCACCCCGACTGTACGAGGAGTTGTACGTGCAAGCTGTGTTGAATCGCAGACAAGGAGCACAGGGGACATTCCCCGTGCAGGCTTTCTTCTTCAGCTTGCAGGCATCGCAAGCCCTAGTGACCTTGCTACGTCGTTTGCGCTGTCGTCGCGTGGTGGAAATGCTGCTAGTGGTTGCGATGACCGAATTTGTTTCATCCATGATGGAAATCCGCACGTCTGCATGTAGCAAGTGATGCATCCAGCCCACCCAAGGCTTCTTTCTTCGCTCCACAGCGGATTTGCATGATTATATATTTCGGAAATGCATCGTGGTTCCGCCGGTCGGATTCTTCTCCGCTCATCCGCAATGCGGAAATGAGGAGAATATTTAAATGAAGGATTCGCTTTGCGGGGTAATCATGTTGATAGAATCTGGTCTCTCGGTATTTTGTGGCGGTAGAGCCCTGATTTCAGGATTCCCGGTTCAAAGCTCTGCAAATCACCAGGCCACTAGCGTTCTACCCAGCATCGCTTGCTGGTTGGCGTGGAGTTTCCACCTCTTGTGTGATGAACTGGAGCAGAGAAAACCAGAATCGACTGGTACACAAGGCAAATAGACAGGAATAGGAGCTGTCAGCCTCTTCCTACAGTCTTTCCACATTCAAACCCACAGTCCTGTCTGTAAATCAACCATCATTGTAGTAGTCGAAAAAATATTTCCGTATTGCCGACATCGTTTCATCTAGCCACGGTGGAAAACGTGTGTGGTTGACAGTAGACAGGTTCTCTAGGAATAGGACTGAAATGATTAGCTGCACTGATAGAGGGAGACACCAAGAATGCAGGGAGGCTCTTGAACCACAAGGAATATCCCAGATATAGATTTTTAAGACGTGATGCAGTGGGCCTGGAAACAGTAAATCCATTGATAAAGTTGATGAATTGTCTGAGTGATGGAGTTGAAGAAATCAAAACAGATGAAGACAGAGAGAGAGAGAGAGAGAACCCCATTTCCGCCTTGCTTTTCAGGCTAGCATGGATTAGCTAAAGCGCATCCCGATTCGGTAAACACTTAGCAGCCAGATCAACTTCGAATTGGTTTGTTATTCCTGTATTATCAAGGTCGATACCTATAATTTTGAAATAATAATACTGCATTAACCCAGTCACAGCACCTGTACCAGCCCCAGCCTTTCATTTTCTGCCTTGCTGCGACGACTCCATTCCGGTGCCTGGTCTTCCCCAGCGTCTTCCTGCGCGTCGCCCTCCTCCTTGGTTTGGTGAACTGTTCGAGAGTCATGTTCCGCAGGTGAGTAGACTGTGACCACCTCCAATGGCTTCTGTCCAACATTGAGGAACTGATGCTGCGTGCCAGCAGGAACGATCACTACATCGCCCTGTTTGACTTCTTGCTCCTTTCCAGCCACAATCGCACGACCGTTGCCGTGAGTGAAAACCAGGACTTGGTCCACGGTGTGTTTCTAGTCGATTAGCGAGTCACCTGGACTTTGGAGTCGACAACAGTATCCTACCTCATCTCCGATTTCACCATTGACCGGAATCTCCATTGCAACCAACTGCGAGTATAATCCTGTGTGCAACACTTTCCTGAAGACTTTGAAGTTTCGCTCCGGAGAGACCAGTCCCGCAAAGTAGGCCATCTCATGCTGAGGCGGGCCGGAGCTCATGTTGCCGTTGAAGTGCGAAGTATTTTGATGAAAGCCTCGTTGAATGGGATAGAAGTTATAACTCAGAGAGACTGGCTGGATGCGATATGAATTGATGGGAAAAGGTGGCCGTGCAGAAGCTTGTCGTCTAATGAACTGGAATAACCGATTCATTGTGTCATTTCTGTCTCTGGTAAGTTGAAGAAAAGATGTCACTGGTTTATAGGGTTTTGTTGAAAATGACGTAAAGACATTGTATGTTCATCATGAGTCCGTTTTCGATCATTGTTGACGATGGGATCTCGATTTGGAGAATCTAGACTTTCGGGGGTAGATATTTGGTTCAATGAAATAGCGATATTTTTCATTCTTTGCAGGCGATCCAACCTATATAATCCTTCAATGCATCGTGGATATTCCATCGTTGTGTTGTATGTGCTGCGTCTTCTGCCTCAGGCACTGGAATCACCTGACGACACGTGTTGGGCCTGTTTGATCGCCAGAGTCAATCCTTAATCCTCACAAGCAACACCTCCACGATCATCATAATCTTATTATCCCATCTTATCACGCTGATCAGTGGCCAAAGAAATTCCAGAATATTATTCAAGATGTCCAGTCAATCCCAGTTCTGCATTATGGCTGTGCCAAAGCCGACTCAAGTCTCAGGCTCACCACTGGACGGGCGCTCGGTCATCTTCCACCAGTCGATCCTCCCTTTATTACTGACTGCGCAACGGAACTGATGAGGACCGTCTCTAGAAACCTAGCTGCCCCTGGGGCACTGCATGGTGACCGCCATATTTTAAACCGCAGCGGCGCAGTCCAATCCATCTGTTCTCCGACCTATCCGGATATGGCTTTTAGCGAACCATCCACGCCAAACAACCCCAAGTGGAGCGCAAAACAAAACTAACGAGACCAACGGATTTCCTACGACGCGTCGCTCCGAACTTGTGTCCGCCGGCGCGAAAGCTTCGCCAGCCATCTTTTGGCTCAGGTGAGCCATCGCCACGTAACAGTTGGCCATTCGCATCTCTAAGGCATCAAGTCTTGGGGGCGGGCCTGATGGCTGTCGTCAGCTGACGGGCCATCAATGTTTCCTCCTCTTAGAAAGAGAGAATTACACCCTATCTCACATAAGGCTGTTTGGCGGTGCATATGCGAGATACAAAAACAAAGAGCACCTCAGACAAAAAAATTTTTCGACCGAACTGATCCTGCCTTGTGCTTGCTGATCACTCCTTTTCTGAATTTTTGTGCCGGTGATAGACCAACCAACGCTTCGATGGCGAGTTCTAGCGTCTCGGATAATGTTATTGGAGTGGAACCAGCGGGCTGACGACATGCAGCCACATCCGAAAGCGCATGTACAAACGGAGTGAACGCGGATGGAGGATTTCCTACTTTCTCTCAGTCGCAAAATTTTTCTAGGATTTTTTTGATCGGAAATCGTGCGACCCTCGGTATGGGGTTTCATATGGCACCTTGTGAATATGGCTTAATTATACTTTGGGCGTTCAAAATGCCTGCCAATGGCAGGTATGCCCCCATCCACTAGCCACCAGGCTGTGGATTTGCGGATACTACCATAGTGCTACTCAGCCCAGCTCTATTTACAGATTCAAGCTACGGTCTATTTTTACGACACAATAGCCTGATAGGAGGCTGGGATCTTTTATCAAGGTTCCACCGTCAAATAATAGCCGCAAGTTGTGTCCACAAAACGGCGCCTTTCAAAGTTTCTGCCATTCATTCATTTTGCCCTTAGCTCCGTAGCCTTGTCCTTTGGCTGTCCGACTTCTCGATTTTCTTTCTTTCGCTTTCCCCGTTATTTGATTTTCAATTCATCCTCTCTTATTCTTTCTTCCAGATACCTTCGATTAACTATTTTGTTGCCCATCGGCGGAGCTGTTCACGATGGGTACCCCCATGCCCCATTCTTCTCATTCTCCCCCGGTCAGTGAGAGCCATTACGGCCGTAGCACTCCGGGCAGTGAAAGCCATTATGAACAACACACGCCGTCTCGCCGCGTAAGTCATTTTCAAGACGCAGCGGAAATCCACCATGTTTAATTCTTTAACATTTGTTTTGTTATACAGCATAGCTATGATTCGGACGGAGAGGAGCAGGAAGAGTCTTTACTGCACCGCGGACAGGCTGGCCCCTTTGACGGCCCATTCGATGACCCTACCTCAGACCCCCAACGTCGATATTCGTTGCGCGATCCTGGCGGCGGTAGTATTTTCCCTGGTGCTACGCTAGGCGCGGAATCACAGATTGAAAGACCAGTGTCCTCGGCGGGCTCGATCAACTCGGACGCATGGCAGAAACGACAAAAGCCCGCACCGGGCATGTTGCGTCGTTACACCACAAGAAAGATTAAATTGGTGCAGGGCTCTGTATTGAGTGTTGACTACCCCGTTCCCAGCGCCATTCAGAATGCAATTCAGCCAGAGTATCGTGAAGCCGAAGAAGGGTTCTCCGAGGAGTTTACACACATGCGGTGTAAGTGACTCGTGAAGTGATTTTTCTACCATAATGCTGATCTATCCCAGACACCGCCGCCACCTGTGACCCCGATGAATTCACCCTGCGCAACGGTTATAACCTTCGTCCAGCCATGTACAACCGGCACACTGAGCTGCTGATTGCTATTACATACTACAACGAAGACAAGGTGTTGACGGCCCGAACTCTCCACGGTGTTATGCAGAACATCCGCGACATTGTCAATCTGAAAAAGTCAGAATTCTGGAACAAAGGTGGCCCAGCCTGGCAGAAAATTGCAGTTTGTTTGGTCTTTGACGGTATTGATCCATGTGATAAGAATACACTGGATCTGTTGGCGACTGTCGGAGTGTACCAAGATGGCATCATGAAGAAGTCCGTCGATGGGACTGAAACTGTTGCTCATATTGTACGTTTTCTTGCCATATTTCCCCTTTTGATAATTTTCTTTTTAATGCTCCGATCGGGTTGGCTGATACCGATTTCTATAGTTCGAATACACCACCCAACTCTCCGTCACACCAAACCAACAGCTCATTCGGCCACACGATGGCGAAACAACCAACTTACCACCAGTTCAAATGATGTTCTGTCTCAAACAGAAGAATAGCAAAAAGATCAACTCCCACCGTTGGTTGTTCAACGCTTTCTGCCGTATTCTCAACCCTGAAGTCGTTATTCTGCTCGACGCAGGAACCAAGCCCGGCAAGAAATCTTTGCTGGCACTTTGGGAGGCATTCTACAACGACCGAAACTTGGGTGGAGCTTGTGGTGAGATCCACGCTATGTTAGGAAAGGGCTGGCGAAACCTGGTCAATCCTCTTGTGGCCGCACAGAATTTCGAGTATAAAATTTCGAACATTCTGGATAAGCCATTGGAAAGTTCTTTTGGATACGTCAGTGTGCTTCCCGGTGCGTTCTCAGCTTATCGGTACAGAGCCATCATGGGTCGTCCATTGGAACAGTACTTCCACGGTGACCATACATTGTCGAAGAAACTCGGCAAAAAGGGTATCGAGGGAATGAATATCTTCAAGAAGAACATGTTCTTGGCCGAGGACAGAATTCTGTGCTTCGAACTGGTCGCCAAAGCCGGCTTCAAATGGCATTTAACCTATGTGAAGGCGTCCAAGGGAGAGACTGATGTGCCCGAGGGAACAGCTGAGTTCATCAGTCAGCGACGACGATGGTTGAACGGATCATTTGCGGCCACTCTATATTCGATCATGCATTTCGGGCGTATCTATCGCAGCGGGCATAACATCATTCGTTTGTTCTTTTTGCATATTCAGCTTCTTTACAACTCTTTCCAGCTTCTCATGACTTGGTTTTCGCTTTGTATGTTTATCCCTACTCACTTGATCCGCTTGATATGCTGACTATTTAGCCTCCTACTGGTTGACCAGTTCGGTGATTATGGACTTGGTGGGGACTCCCGCCGAGTCTAATCAAAACAAAGGATGGCCATTCGGCAACGAAGCAACGCCCATTGTCAATACTTTTGTTAAATACGGATACGTCTTCTTTTTGATGTTGCAGTTCATTCTAGCGCTGGGTAATCGACCAAAGGGGTATGTTTTCCGAACGAAATTATTGAACCTGCAAGGCTGACAGGACCAGTGCCAAATTCTTCTACACGCTGTCGTTCCTCTACTTCTCCCTCGTCCAGTTCTATATCCTCATCCTGTCCTTTTACCTTGTGGTCGGGGCGTTCACCGGTGGTATGATGGATTTCAACTTCAACCAAGGATTTGGGTCCTTCGTTTCGTCCTTCTTCAGTTCCAGTGGTGGTGGTGTCGTTTTGATCGCGTTGGTGTCTACCTACGGTATCTACGTCGTTGCCAGTATCCTCTACGCCGATCCTTGGCACATTCTCACCAGTTCCTGGGCCTACTTCTTGGGAATGACCACTTCGATCAACATCCTGATGGTTTACGCATTCTGTAACTGGCACGACGTCTCCTGGGGAACTAAGGGATCCGACAAAGCGGAAGCACTACCAGCAGCTGAAACGAAGAAGGATGACGCTACGAGCAACTTCATCGAGGAATTTGATAAGCCGCAGGCTGATATCGACAGCCAATTCGAGTCGACAGTCAAGCGTGCATTGGCGCCATTCGTCGAGCCAGTGGAGAATGAATCAAAGAACCTGGACGATTCGTACCGGAGCTTCCGTACGAACCTGGTCTTGCTTTGGATTTTCAGCAACTTGCTCTTGACCCTGTTGATCACCAGTGAGAATGTCAAGAAGTTCTGTTTGACTGTAAGTTTTACTATTTCTCTATTCCTGAGACGAAAAATGCTAATATATCCAGAACACATCCACTACCCGAACATCGTATTTCTTCGAGGTCATTCTCTGGTCGACCGCCGCCTTGTCGCTGTTCCGATTCATCGGAGCGTTGTGGTTCCTGGGCAAATCAGGAATCCTGTGCTGTTTCTCGAGACGTTAATGGATTGATTTAGTGCATAGATTATATACCAAAATCGTTTTGTTGTTGGAAGTTTTGTTGGGAGCCATGTATGAATCTTAGAATAATCGGATGGAAAGCTTGAATTCCATATTTTATGTCTGATTTTGCCATTCAATAATGTTTAATAGAGTGAGATGCTCTGTATGACGATAGCTGAGTAGACGCTGTATGTCTTGCTTTATGCGTACCTTTTGTACAGTCTGGAGGGAGCATGCTGCTCCAGCTTAAAATGTGCGTCTTGATTTTATCGTGTTAATCATTTCCAAGTCCTGTATCCCCGGATCCTGTCGATCTCTGATCCACTATGCTTAGCCTGCTTAGCATTTTAGTGTGGCTTCTATATACCATTTTGTCCGTCTTGCTCTTCTTTCCTAGTTTTCCCTCTTTCAGACTATGGTTTACATATATAGCAAAGGAGCCTAAGGTAGTTTCCAAGCATTTAATAGAACACTTATTCTCATCCGACCTTTAATTTCTCACCCCCATCCTTTTCCCGAACAGACGTGACCTCATCCATCGAGATCGCACCCGTAGCTACTCTACCTAACAAATCCATCAAATGCTTCGTCTTGGGATTGAAATCATCCGCGAATTTCGCAAACCGCCCCACAGGCTTAAAGCACGACACCCACACATTTTCCTCCAAATAAATCGACGATGGTGACGACGACGACTTTTCCAAAAGAGGCGCAGACTGCTGCATCTGCATACCATCTGCTACCGTCCAACGCACCAGAAAGTCGAACCCGAGGAGCCCCTCTTCCAACACCGAAACCCCGTCGTCGATATTGGTGAAGGTAGCGTTGAAACTGAGAGTGGGCGATTCGACAGCTAGCTTGGTGGATGAGATGGTCGAATTGAGGGGTCGTATTGTTGATGATGGCCAGATATGGTGTGCTAGAGAGGAATGAGCGCGCAGGATTTGGGTGGTTTGGTCAGGAGTTAGATTTCGGGGGAGGGCGAGATGCTTCGGACCCCGTTCGACGTTGGTGAAGAAGACTGGCGGTGTTAGATGGGCTGGGAGAGGGGTGGGCTGACTTACAGGAAGACATATGGAAAATGATGGGAGGAAGAAGTGAAACTAGTTGAGAAGTGAGAGGGAATTCAGTCGATGTTAAATGCAGGTGAAGGCACTAATTATTAAGCTTCGTCCCACTTGATATCGAATTCATTATATTAAGAGATAGGATACTTTTCTCATATTGATTCTTATTCTTATTCTTAATCTTTTTTTTTCTGCTGTCCTCCCAAAGATAAATTCCTTTTCCTCTAACCTCTCTCTGTAACTAAATAACTATTACACTATCACCGTACTATGTCAATATGAATCCTTTTGCATCTGAGACATGTTTAATATAATCAAGCTTCGAGCGGAGTTGCTCATAGAACCACGAACCCAGTCTCCACCGTCCTACCATAGTACTACTACATATTGAGCTTGGCCCCCAACTTGTGATTACTTTTCCCTAATAGGAAATGCAGAGGGTCGTGTATTTCCTCTTTCGTTCGTTCGCTCCGTATCTGTGCACTAAGGATTTGGCCAATATCGAGTAGAACCACCATGGGAGAATTCTTTCCCTATGATAGGGCTATGCATTAGTCGAAGTATCTCAGAGAGCCTGATGGCAATATGGACAAACCTGTTTCTTCCGTTGGGGGCTGGAAGGTGGAATTGTACACTGAGACTGCTCGAATGAAGAGAAAGAATGGGCTCAACTATCCTATTTTACCCACAAATTTCTACAGCTTCACAGCATAAAAAATTCGCGCAGTTATACTGAAAGCTCTGCTTTATCCAGCTCAGATTATCCGAAGTATATCCATCATGGGAGATAAATATGGCCATCATCCAGCGGGAATACCATCAATCAGACTCTTCATCTCCCATTCTCATTCTACCTTTTCTCCCAATGGCCTATTCAGACCAAAAGCCCCTCTGGAAAGAGGAGAACCAAGTCCCTCCCTCTCTCCTCAGTCCTCGCCAGAATCGGCGCCTGAAACGGTCTCTGCACGCTTTGTACACCCTCGCCTTTCTTGTCATTCTTCTCCTCATTGGCTTCGTCTACCTGACCGTCCAACTGGGCAAAGACCGTGACCTCGCCCTCCACCTGCAAGAGCAGATCCAAGCTTACGAGCAACACGGCACCAACCCTCTCACCAAACGTTTCCTGCCGTGGTACCTGGCCGCTGCATTTTGGACGACCAACCAAGTCTTTGCCTTCTGGGGACTGGCCAACAGCTGCTCTGGCTTCAACGAGAACAACACCAACAAGGCCTTTTGCATCTGGGGCGCCATTTCCACCACCGTCACCTTCATCGGAGCGTATAAGAATGGCGCCACGATCACCAAGGCCATCAAGGAACACTGGGCCAACAACGCCTTCAACACCGGCTGGAAGCGCGACGAGGTGATCTCCGAGGTGGAAGCCGGGCTGACCCAAGCCTTCGGACTGCCTGTTTCTTTCGACGGACACATGCGCCACGATCATCCCAAGCTGTCTCTCCTCGGCTTGGAGGAGGGCATGCTCTGGCCGGTCTTCCACATGTACAACCACCACAACACCAGCATGCACGTCACCGTCACCGGCTACCACGACACCCACTCCGTCATGTCCATGGGCTTCGGGCCCAAGAGCAACAAGACGGCCGTCCAGAAACGCGACTCCTACGAGAACGACTACTTCACCAGCGGCGGGATTGACTTTACCGACTGCTGGAACACAGATCAGAACCACGAGGCGCTGAACACGGGCTCGGATTTCGACCAGGTGGATAAGGATGTCCAGTGCTATTTCCCGGATTTGTCGACGACTTGGGGCACGCAGATTCAGCTGTATGATACGAATGTTGGGGGGACGATTGGGGCTGGGTCGATTGCGCCGTTTAGGGGGAGTGACCATGCCAGCAGTATCAGTGTGATGCCAGGATGTCCGGCTGGAATTACAGGCAGTAGTGCTTGTAGACGTGCATCTTGATATTATACGAGAGTATATACAAACCAAAATTCGATTATACAAAATGCACTGCAAATAAAATATCGAAGAAGACTAAATTAAATTACAATAAAAAATTTAACTTGATTCATAATCCACCATCCAATAAGATGCGCTATACCGCTGATGTGGATCTGCCCCCAGCCGACCGACGGGTCTTCCATTTCCGACCGATCCTCACGGCGATGATTGTTTCAACCTCTGGACATCCATCGCTGCCTCGGTGGAGTCGTCTACGCAATATAGATATCGCCAGCATGCCCTCCCCAGACCTGCAGTGCGCGCAATGCGCCCCGCCCAAGAAGTTCCGTCGACGGGAGCATCTCCTGCGCCATCTGGCATCTCGTATGAGCCCCTCGTGGTGGGGTGGCAGGAGAATTGATTGATGCTGATCTTGCCCAGATACAAATAAAGGCCCTTTTGCTTGTATGTATTGCACCAGTTCATTCAAGAATAGGTATGTTTTCTTTTCTTTTCTTTCTTCTTTTTTTCTTATAACTGATATTTTTAGCGATTCTTTGAAACGTCACTTGAAGATATGCAAGTCACGGCTGCAAAGTCGCGATGGGTGCTCGACGAGCCATCTTCTCTGTCCATTTCCATTTTCGCAGCCCACCGGCAACAATCTGGCCACTACGGATGAATTGCCGTTCATGAGACGCATGGCGATAGGAGCTGGTCTGGCAGAGTGCTTTGGCAGTGGCAGGGGCCCCCGTCGAACCAGCGTCACTGATCAAGACTTCCCCGATGATCTATCAGTCCCGGTGATGATTCCGTCGGCTGAGGATGATCTGAAAAAGCTGTGTCCTGAATTAGCGGACGACCTGTTGCAATCATCGACTGCAGACATCTGGCGCTCCTTCACGACCAATGCGGATTCGGATGCCTTGGCTCAGTGCGTGTTTGTCGACCCTCTCGAGGCCGTGACCACCACCATCGCACTTACCTTGCAAGAGCTCGTTGAGTCGCAAGACACCGTCACCAACAGTATTGTCGAGATCGAATGGTCGACCCTGATGGACGGACAGTGCACCCGATTCTTCAGCCCCAACAACATCCGCAAATTCCTGGATCTGTTCTGGTCGCATTGGTATCCGGTCTTTCCAATCATGCACCGAGTCACCTTTGACATTCAGAACACGCCTGTCCCGCTACTCATTTCAATGCTGCTCGTCGGCGCCCAGTTTTCGCCAGACGAAGATGACCGCAGAGCATGTCGCATCTGGCTGCGGACGAATGAAGCTCTCGTCTTCGATGACCCTTGTTTCAGAGATGCTGTTGACGGCTTCACGCCATTGCAGACAGACTCGGCGTGTAGTATGCAGTTGTTGCAACATGTCCAGGCTGCGTTGCTTATGTGCGTCTGTCAAAGCTGGGAGGGAAGACCGGAGAGTAAATTGCGCATCCGCCATTATCGATATGGAGATATTGTAGCGGTAAGCCCCATATCCATGAAACTACTTAAACTACTGCTAATGATAAATAGGTCGCGCGATATCTCCATCCCGCATCTGCGTCTCACAAAAATCTGGATCCGGATCCATCGAGCTTCAACTGGTGCGACTTTATCGAGACGGAAGAAACCATAAGGTATGCACGACTGCGAGTACATTAACGCCATGCTAATATGCACCTCCCAGAACACTCCATTTTATATTCTTTCTCGACTCCCTCTTCATGATCATCCACAAAACCCCACCGCGGATGGCCATGCGAGAATTAAAAATGGACCTGGTTTGCCCCGAAGAGCTCTTCCAGGCTAAATCATCCGAAATGTGTCTCCGTCGTCTGCAAGCATATAGGGAAAAGAGCGTCTCGGCAGGAAATTCCATCTCGGTGGATGCGGCAGTGAAGCAGATCTGCAGTACCGACAAGAGTGGCTTGCAATCTCTTGCGCATCTGGACAAATACAATCTGTTCACTCTGATCTGCGGTATGTACTATCAGTTCCAGTCCAGTCTGATAATCATATCAGTAAAACTAATTATTTTAGCGATCCACGTATCAATCCACTACCTGCAAGCATCGATTGTGCTTCCCGAGACACTGGCTCCGATTACCAACGCCCTCGACAACTGGAAACACCTCTGGCACACGACCAACGCAGCCGCTTCGAGGAATGCCAGATCGATCAACCACGGCGTTGAATTCTGGGTGTTGGCTAGTGCTCTTGTTCAGGGGTTGCAGAATGAAGATGAGAGCGCTCAGGATTATGATACGCCTGATATGCGGAGTCTGCCTGGCTTGCTGCAGAGCTTTCACTTGCAGGAATAGACCGGTCTAATGGCATTAGATGTTTGAGATTCCATAGGTATCTGTTTATCATGCGATATGAATAGAGATTTTCTTACTTAAATTGTATATACCTTAGGGAACAGTTTAATTGTGTTTAATCCCATCCAATACAGCATATTTCTACATAATCTCCACTCTTATATATAAATTCATGCTCCAGACTATTCCACTCTAATCCTACAGTAGCGTGCAGAAGTTCCAGTATTTGAGAGGCCTCGTGGGGTGGAAAACATATGGCTGGGGTTCGAGGCCTGGCCGCATCAGTCGCCCAGAGCTCTCTATATAGTTTGAATCGCCCATTTTATTTTCTCCTGTCGACACCTATCAGTATGATGTTCAGGTGAAGTTGATTTGATAAACAAACCTCTTGGGAAATCTGTATTATGATAACAAGGAAAGGTATTTTCGATGAGGTTCAATCGCCTTTGGGAATCGCAGGCAAAGGCCTGTTAAGCTCGAGCGTTGTATATCATGGTAACAGCACAGTATATTCCGATGCGCAGCGAGGTTTGTCTTTGAAGCTTTACCTGCCGTTGAGGCTAGAGTCACTCTGGGCAGCTGGGTAATTATGTGGTCCGCAGAGCGATATTGGTTGACGTTTGCATAAATTAGTACGCCCTCTGCGTAAAGTTCATTATCATCGGTGGTAAGTCATCGTAAGTTTTAGCATCAATTTCATGTTGTCCGTCAGTAAGGAGGTTTATCTAGCTTCATGTCAGTCATGCACATCTAGGACTAATCAATCTCACGTACATCGAAATTCATGATGATAAAGGCGGCTGCCTTCTTCAGCTCCAGCCATGACACATAAATCCCTGGAGATATGCGTCTGCTGACATTAAATTCCAATAGCGCCTGCTCCATGCGTCGACGGTGCTGAGTATCGGTAGTGAGCCAGCGCTCCGGTCGAAACAACTCGACATCTTCGCCATAGACAGTCTTGTCCCTCCTGAGGGCTTCTATGTGACATTCTAACATGGTTCCTTCCGGTATATATCGATCATCAACTATGACCCCACCTGCGGGAACAACTATTTCCAGACCAAACGACATAGCAGGAGTGTGTCGCATCGACTCCTTGAGGACGGCGTCTAGGTACTGGAGCCGGTTCGTTTCTACCCATCGAGGTGGATCAGATAGGGCACCACGATGAACCGCAATGTCTATTTCGTTCTGTAGTTTTGATATGACCGTTGGGTGCTTCATGAGAAGAAAGAATGCGGTGGGAAAGGCCTTCGATAGGCTTGCTGCTCCGGCTGCAACAAAGGAGGGCTCGCCACACAGTAAAGTATTGCTCGTGAACAAAGATAGTCCTGGGGTAGCAGAGCCAGCATTACTAGATGGGATGTAGGATACCTGCTTCTGGGAACTGTAAGAAGCATATGCCAGATCATGGCAACGGTCTCTCTTCAGTTTTGCTACCGGACTCTTCAAGAGGAGGTATTCCATCATTGGCAAAGCCGTCTGGACTCTTGTATAGTCTTGAGAGAGACGCGATGAGGCAAGTGTGCCAAGGATATCTCCTGTTCCTTTCATATTATCATCAGCCACCATCTGACCAACGAATTCGGCAGCGAAGAACTGAAAAGACGTCGTTATATCTAAGGTCCGGTGTCTTCGAATAGCTGTTGCTAGTCCAACTATTAGCCGGTCAATAAGACCCTCACATTCACGAATTTCTTCGAAACCAAATCGGGACTCGATCGTTTCGCCCATAGCTGGCCGTTGAATCTGGTTCGTGGGCATAGTTTGGCTGCGTATGGACATGGTATCGTTCAGAAACGCCTACTTCACGTCAGCCTACTTTGCTACTGGCCATATCTTATGTTTACTCGTAATACCCTTTTCTCCCCTGCGCAGGCGCTTGAGATTTGACAGAAGACCGCTGGGTCAGAAACACTGATCGCGTTCGGCCCAACGCGCACCATCTTGCCATACTTTTGATGCAGTTCAGCCAAGCGTCGACCGTAGTCGGACGAATTTCGAGCGCATGTTCGCCAGAGTCCAGAAATACCAGCAAGTAATGGACCTGGGATAGATCCCAGGCAGAAATGGTTCCAAAACAAGCGTGCAAACACCAGTATAATCAGCGACACTGCGAGTGCGACCATGGTGAAGCCTACAGCACGAAGGACTTCCAAAAGGCATGAGCTTTATGAATATCATCTGCCTTGACCATTCTTTGGGCAGGATTTAAACCAAGTATAATTTCCTACACAACATCATCAAACAAGTTGGCCCCTTTTCTACAGCCGCGATATCCCGAGCCGAGAAAAATACCCGGAAGAGTCGAGGGGAAGGCTTTATCCCCAGCCATTTTAGTGTGTTATGGCCCGACTTGATGCTTATTGCTGCGTTTCCGAGAAATATTGACAAATTTGGCGGGGGATCCCATTGTGGCTGGTGGATAATCTTACTGTTTGCCCAGCAGCTGCAGTTTGGATGACTGTTTTGTGTCGCGTGTCGGCCCGATAAGGCAACATCCAGCGTGACCCCAAGACCCCAAAACACGAGAGCAATGGGGCCCCGGGAAGACTCGTAGTTGTGACTCGCGAATTGTAATAATAACGATGGTCGGGGACCGTGGATCCATCGCTGCTGCACCGCCCATGCGACCGTGCCGCCTTCTAAGAAGCTCGGCATCAGCCAACGTCCACGAGTTGAAGCGGAGAGCCCGGGGTGTTGATTCTGGATCCTTGCAAATATCAGACGACGAACAGGATCAGCCTTGTTTATCCTATCAGCATCCTCATAGGTTTCTGGCCCATCACCGGAAGGAGAGTCAGCATCTGTGCTTTCGGAACATTTTGTTATTCTAGTTACCTGAAGCTCTTGATCAACGGTCAGCGTCGGGCCAATCTCAAGGGACATTCACCAGAATCCCCACACACAGTCTTTCCGACACTGTTATTGCTCCTCTTCCCTCTCCACTCTGCGATATGCTTGTCGTTCGACGGTAGACATCATTGCGAGATGGTACAGGGAAAAAGACCCCGAAGTGCATCACAGCGGGCGCTGGACGATCAGTCGAATGCGAAACGTTCGATGGTAGCGTATGCAATTGGACGAACTGCGTGTCTGCGTTGTGATGTCGACTGACCTCAAGGTGCTGCAGATGCAATCGATGCCGCAACAGGAAGACCCGCTGTGCCGGCAACCCTCCTCATCCATGTGCCGCATGTGAAGATGCCGGGCAGACGTGTGTGTATTCAGAAGCAGAAAAGCGAGTGTCTATTTCTGAAAGGTGAGTAGCAAGTCTCAGTAATTGGATGTGGGGAGGAAAAGAAGGAAGAGAAACGTGCAGTGTTGACCCCCGCCCAGTTATTTCCGTCAACTCCAGTCGCAGTCGCAGGCAACACCGCGACAAACCACATCTCACCAACCCCATTTTCATCAACCCGAGGAGCAGTTCTCTTCGTCTACCATTCCTAGTTTCGCTCAATCTAGTCCCTTTCCTAATGTCGAGATACCCGGAGAACGGGATGACTGGTGGTACAAGGGAACTGACAACCTGTTCCTGAACCGGTCTGGCGAGCACCGTATGCCCTCTATCTCTCAATCATTGATGGGAATTCTGCTAATTTGACAATAGACTTTGTCGGCGCATCATCAACTACCCATCTTGCCAAACGGTTGAATCCCACTTCAACCAATCTCGCCTGGGATGTGCGTCCTCTCTACGACGACCCTTCGTCGTTACGTCGATCAGTCACTCGGGCTCTTCCTCAAATGCCCCCGTACGAATTTGCCAAGAGACTCTTTTGGGTACAATACAACTATATTGGAACTATCTTCTCTTTGATCCAACCTGAAGATTTCGAACGACGCTTGAATATGGTTTATAACCCCTCTCCTGATGTATCTAATCGCGAATCATCCCTCGTATATTGCCAAGTACTACTTGTCATTGCATTTGGACTTATGTACTCGGTGAATCAATGGTCTGGCGATGAAGGGCCACCTGGCTTCAAATATTTCAAGCACGCATTGCGCTTCTTGCCTGACATTCACGAAGAAGGCTCTATCTTTTTCGTCGAGGTCCTGTGCTATGTTGCCTATTACATGCAAAACCTCAATAGAAGAGATGCAGCCTTTCTTTACGTATGTATTTCACTGCATACTGAATGTACAATGCTGATCAATACAGATCGGTCTTGCACTCCGCATGGCCATTTCACTAGGCCTCCATCAGGAGGTCTCTGACCCAGACATTAGTGACATTGACCGTGATCGTCGACGTCGAGCTTGGTGGTCGGTCTACAGTTTGGATCGGTCAGTAGGAGCCAACCATGTTAATTTTGGCTAGATTTGACATTTTATAGGATACTATCAGTGAAATCAGGGAATCCGATCACAATTCAAGATGAGGATATTGGAACTACATGGCCGATCCCAGAGGTGAGTAGTCATTCACCTTCTTACAGACTATCAACTGAAACCCAGCAGGATGCGGCAGCACAAAACGTCCCATGGCCATCTATCGTGCTCACCCACTATACCAAATTGTCTCGGATCTTAGGCAGGATTGGCGAAGGTCAGGGCACATTTGATACATTTGATTACTACAGAAGATCTCATACTAAACCATACAGCAGAAATCTATCGCAAGAAGCCTCACTCCGGATCAAACCTCATAGCCTCCGTCCAGAGTATCACAAATGCTCTTTCCGATTGGCTGCGACAGGTTCCCGACCGGATCCGAATCGACTTTAGTACTCTTGATTCGAACATCAATCGTGTCTCCGTTTCGATTTTCTTGCATTTCTACTCTTGCGTCAACATGACTGCTAGACCCCTTGTCTTCTATGTAATTCAGCGACGGCTAGATGCGGAGGCTCGAGGATCTGCCACGGAGGATTGGAAGGAGGGGTTATCGCAGAATACAGTGGCAGTCATTGATAGTTGTATCACAGCATCTCGAGCGACAACCTTTATCATGGATGCCGCAGCAAAACACAATTTAATCGGTTTGTCTCTCATCTGACGTATCTCTTTTCCATCCTCAACACTGACCGCTTCATAGCAACATACGGTTATCTTGATGGCGAATATGCCTTTTCTGCCGCACTCCTTCTGGTCATGGTTAACGCGGCATTTCCACACAACGATAGCAACTTCCGGACAATGGAGATGGCATTGAATCTTCTTCGCGGAATGGCAGATCGTGGGAACACCTACCTTGCATCTCGTCACGCATTGCTAGTGGAGCTCCAATCCGCTCTCCGCGCCAAACCGTCCAAGGGAGGAAATCCTGTACCCGCAAGACCCGTTACACCTAGTAGCTCGCAGCAGCATAGTCCTCCTGCGGAGGAGGTCGATGAGAATCCAGGCATTATACCAACTGAGTGGCCGTTAGAGCAGGATCTTCCTTCTATGCGGGATATATCGTTTAATTTTGATATCAATGACGATCCGGGATTGTGGGAGGAGGTTCTCAATCAAATTGATATTGATATGGATACGGATTGGATTGAGAATACTCTAAGAAGATGATATCGTATTTATATCTCTATTAATTTGCTTCTTGTTCATATAACTTTGACATATACATAGTGCTGAAATTAGAAGTATCAGGCCATATACATATCTCCCTGCATCCAGATCTTTTTGCGACTCTAGACTCCTCCCGTAATTCTTATAAATTTGAAGCCTTTTCACCTATTTCATGGCTTCTATGTACTCATCATAATCGTATCTAGTATAGTCATTCCCGATTACCTCATCCATAACCAACCATGATCACAACGAACCCTCCAGAAGTATGTCAAAGAAGTGATTTTTACTCTATATCAAGTATAATTCTGCTCATTAAGAGCTAATGTTTTCCGGGTTAAATTCTCTCTACAAGACTATCTTGATATTGAGGTTGTACGAGAGTGTATGTCAATCTATATCGATGAATCCGCAGATATATATTGCCCTGTATAACATGCACGATGTTTTCTATCTGCAACCCTATCAATCTCGATATTGCAACTAATACTGCCTATCTCTCAATTACTATACTGTTCACTATCATCATCAAGATAGACTTCTATCTATTCCCTAGTCTATACCCCTCCTCTCCATCGGCCCGATCTTCCCGATCGTCGACCGTCGGCCCGACACGTGATTTACTTTGAGGAGAAACGACTGCGACGCCCCGAAATCCACTTGGAATTGATGCTTTCCGCTGGGTCCAACAGACTGAGAACCAGTCAGAAGAGTCGGATCATTCGTCATATTTCCTTATCTGTTATCACTATGGCGGAGGATAACGGCTGGAGCTGCTGCTTCTCCAGATCGGATACTATTTTAACCCGCAGAATGCCCCTCATCACCATCACCTTTTCTCTCCATCCTCTCAAGAGGTTTTTACCATCAATCACATTCACAACATGACAGACTCTGGGAAAATAACAATATCCATCGATCGGGGTGGCACTTTCACCGACGTGCATGCCATTGTCCCCGGCCGCCCTGATATCATCCTGAAGCTACTGTCCGTCGACCCCGGCCACTACCAAGATGCGCCTACTGAGGGTGTCCGCCAGATCCTCGAGCTGGTCACAGGGGAATCTTTTCCGCGAGGACAGCCTCTGAAACTTGACCGTATCGGCTGCTTGCGAATGGGAACGACCGTGGCTACCAACGCCTTGCTTGAAAGAAAGGGTGCCCGCTCTGTCCTCTTCACCACCAAGGGTTTTCGCGATCTGCTCAAGATCGGCGATCAATCCCGACCCAACATCTTCGATCTGTCTATGGCTAGGCCGGGTGTATTGCCCGAGGGTGTCGTGGAGGTTAATGAACGTGTGATTCCCTGCCATCCAGCAGCCGATAAGGACTGCTTTACTGGTGCCCGTGTTGTTGAGGGTGTCACGGGTGAAAAGTTCCGTGTGGTGCAGGAGTTGGATCTGGACCATGTCAAAACCGAACTTGAACGACTAAAGGCAGAGGGCTACCAGTCCTTGTCTGTTGCCCTTGTTCACTCTTTTGCCTATCCCGAGCACGAACGCCAGATTGGAGAATTGGCAGAGAGCATGGGGTTCTCTGTTACCCTCTCGTCCAAGTTGCAGCCCATGATCAAGATCGTGCCTCGAGGCATGTCTGCTGCCGCGGATGCATATTTGACCCCAGTCATCAAGACCTACATCGATTCAATCGAGTCCAGCTTCGAGGGCGGTTTGGACGGCCAGCATGCCTGCCGTTTCGAGTTCATGCAGTCCGATGGAGGACTGGTGGATTTCCGGAAATTTAGCGGATTGAAGGCAATTCTGTCTGGCCCAGCTGCCGGTGTTGTCGGTTTCGCAGCAACCAGTTGGGATCCCACCGAGCGTACACCCGTTATTGGCTTCGATATGGGTGGTACATCCACCGATGTTTCGCGATTTGATGGTCACTTGGAGCATGTCTTCGGATCCAAGGTGGCAGGCGTTCTCATCCAGTCTCCGCAACTTGTAAGTATTGAGCCAGCTTGACTATTACCTACATGGCTAACCTATTCAGGATATCAACACTGTCGCTGCAGGTGGTGGCTCCATCTTGACCTGGCGCAACGGTCTGTTCTACGTTGGACCTGAGTCTGCCAGTGCCCACCCTGGTCCAGCATGTTACCGAAAGGGTGGTCCACTGACCGTTACCGATGCCAACCTGTTCATTGGCCGTTTGTTGCCCGAATATTTCCCACACATCTTTGGCCCAAACGAGGACCAGCCGCTCGACATAGAGGCAACAACTAAGCTGTTCACTGAATTGACTGAAAAAATCAATGCCGAGCGACGAGAGAAGTCCCAGCCTGAATACACACCCGAGGAGGTTGCGTTGGGATTCCTGAAAGTTGCCGACGAGTCGATGTCGCGCCCGATCCGCAACCTCACCGAAGCTCGTGGGTTCGAAACTGCATCTCACCATCTGGCGTGCTTTGGAGGAGCTGGTGGTCAACACGCCTGTTCCGTCGCCGCTGTTTTGGGCATCTCTCGTATCGTCATTCACAAGTACTCTTCCGTCTTGTCGGCTTACGGCCTGGCACTGGCAGAGGTTGTTAAGGAATCTCAGGAGCCGATCTCCGCCAACTATGCGGACTCCCACTCAAGCCTCGAGAAACGGTTTGACGATATTACTGCTGCAGCAACTGCAGACATGGGTACCCAGGGATTCGCAGAAGATCAGGTCCGACATGAGCTGTACCTGAACATGCGATATGAGGGCTCCGACACCAGCCTGATGATTCTGAAACCTGAAGATTCATCTGATTTCCTGGAGCAGTTCCGAGCCCGTCACTTCAGAGAATTTAACTTCAACTCGGAACGACCTGTTCTGGTCGATGACATCCGTGTGCGGACCACTGCTTCCTCGAAGGTCCGCACAGAAAAGAGCCCTCTCGTTCAGCTGAGAGAAGCCACCCTGAAAGATGTCTCAACAGCACCGGCAAGCATCACAAAAGCATATTTCGACGGTCAATCTAGCCGCATCGACACGCCAGTCTATCTGCTTGACAACCTCGACAAAAACACCCGCGTCCAAGGACCTGCAGTCATCATTGACAAGACACAGACAATTGTGGTGGTCCCCGACTCCGTGGCCAGTGTTCTGGAGACTTGCATTGTCATCGACCTGAAGGACGCCAAGTCATCGAAAACTGATCCTGCTGTGTCCTCGGAGATCGACCCTATCCGGTTGACTATCTTCGGTCACCGCTTCATGTCTATCGCCGAACAGATGGGTCGCACACTGCAAAAGACCTCAGTATCCACCAACATCAAGGAGCGTCTGGACTTTTCTTGTGCTTTGTTCTCTCCCGATGGAGGACTGGTTGCCAATGCACCTCATATCCCTGTGCATCTTGGTTCTATGCAGTTTGCCGTTCGTTATCAGCATGAAAAGTGGCTGGGTAAACTGAAAGATGGTGATGTTCTTGTTTCCAACCACCCCAGTTGCGGAGGCACTCACTTGCCTGACATTACGGTATGATCTTTGGATTGTGAACTCGATACCCAATCATTTGCTAATTATGTCTAGGTTATCACACCAGTTTTCGACCGCCCTGGTGGTACTGACATCATGTTCTACGTGGCATCCCGTGGTCACCACGCCGATATTGGTGGTATTTTGCCCGGTTCAATGCCTCCAAAGTCGACCGAACTCTGGCAGGAAGGAGCAGCCATCGAAGGTGATAAGATTGTCAGCAATGGTGTTTTCGATGAAGACCGTATCACTGAGCTCCTAGTCCACAAGCCGGCTCAGTACGAAGGATGCTCTGGTGCAAGATGCCTCAGCGATAACATTTCCGATTTGAAGGCGCAGATTGCCGCCAATACCCGTGGTATCTCCTTGATCCAGGCTCTGTTCGCAGAATACGGCGTGGAAACTGTTCAAAGATACATGTATGCTATCCAAGCGACCGCCGAGAATGCAGTTCGGGACCTCCTCAAGGGTCTTCATCAGCGATTGGGCGGCCAACCTTTGGAGGCAGTGGATTACATGGACGACGGCACTCCGATTAAGCTCAAGGTCACTATCAATGGAACCGATGGCTCTGCTGTTTTCGATTTCGAAGGCACTGGTCCCGAAGTCTACGGAGGATGGAACGCCCCGATCGCCATCACCCACTCGGCTATTATCTACTGCCTGAGATGTATGATCAACGCGGACGTCCCACTCAACCAAGGCTGCTTGGCACCCATCGACATTCACGTCCCATCTCCCAGCATCCTCTCCCCCACCAAGACAGCAGCCGTTGTCGGCGGAAACGTGGTCACATCCCAGCGTATCACCGACGTCGTCCTGAAAGCCTTCCGCGCCTGCGCCGCATCACAAGGATGCTGCAACAACCTCACCTTTGGCACAAACTCCAAGACCGACCCCGAAACCGGCGCCACAATCCCTGGCTTCGGATACTACGAGACAATTGCAGGTGGCAGCGGTGCCGGACCAAGCTGGGACGGTGAATCCGGAATCCACGTCCACATGACCAACACACGCATTACGGACCCTGAGATTCTCGAAAAGCGATACCCGACTCTCCTCCGCCAATTCACCCTTCGTCAAGGATCTGGCGGAAAGGGCAAACACCCCGGTGGTGATGGCGTGGTGAGAGATATCGAGTTCTTATCACCGATGCAGTGCTCCATTCTGTCTGAGCGTCGTGTACATCGCCCCTATGGATTGGAAGGTGGAGAGAATGCGGAAACTGGTTTGAACTTGTGGATTTCCAAGGATGCGGAAACGGGCGAGGAGCGCCAGGTGAATGTTGGAGGGAAAAATACTGTGTCTGTCAAGACTCATGATCGGTTTGTTATTATGACTGCTGGTGGTGGTGGTTGGGGGGCAGCGTAGTTGCCTTCATTTCTTGTATTTCCTAGCTTTTCATTCTACATACCCAAATATGACATTTTTCTAATTTTTATTGAAGCCTTCAACATATCAAAGGTATCCATTATTATCTAAGTCTAAGTCTATTATTATTGAGCATCGAAGAGCTCTAATCTATTCCTTTTCTTCACACTCTTC